ACAAGGTAAAAAAAAAACCAGTGTTTGTGTTCACAATTCCATAGCTGGAAAAGTACATGAGCGATTTTAGGCCTAATGATTCTTTCACTAAAAGAAAGCTTAATAATTTGGGCTTTCACATCCTAGATTTGAAAAACGCTACATGCAGAAATTCTTTACAAAAATAGAGGGCACCATTAAGGTTTCCTTTTTTTTTTACTCACACTGTAGCCTATATAGTTCCCCTCTCTCTGAATGCCCTGATCCTGGTGCAGAATTTTGACTTAGTTTCCTGTCAATGTTCGAAGCCTTCCTGCAAAATGTCACAATTTTCGAATTCAGACTCCAAAGCAAACGTACGGGGGAACAAGTCATGCGTGTTCGTACTAGTTACACTAATACTTGTAAATTATTCTAACATTGCGCGTAAGGCTAATAAATAATTTGAACAAACGGTGAGAAAACCGCAAAAGAATCGAAAGTCATAAATTTTGTATAATAAACATCAGGTGTAAGCCTGGAATTGTAGCGCCATCGGAAGCAGTTAATTTAATAAATTTCGATCATGTATCCATGCGTGCTTTTAATGATTTAACGATTTCTGTCGTCGTAATTCCTGTAATAAAGGTAAAACAAGTAACAGTGAAGTAATCAATATGTAGTTTAGTTTAGCTGTCAAAATGTTCACACCAAACCAACCTTTCCCATAACTTAAATAATTGAGTAATTATTGAACCTTTTAGATTACCAACGCAAGGCAGTTCACCCACAGTTAATGGTAGTTAAATGGACTACGCATGTAATGTACACAGAATTCAGCAACTTCCACCTGATATCTTTTCAAGTGCAAATATGCGGTATCGACTGGAAATCGCTGTTCTTCAAAATGAACCCGACGTCCGGTGATCTCTGATTCCAATTTACCACCGCAAATCTCATATTAAAGCAATTAAATTTCTTCCAATGCTCCACAGTCATCGAAAAGTGACCTTAGGTTTGTTTTTCCTCCTCCGCCTGATTTTAATGCACTATACTTTACTATGCATCACGCACGGTCTGAACTTCCGGACTTCTCGATCGGGCTAATTGGGAAAACATCAATGGAAGGAATTAGACTGAGTCACTGAGATCGACCCAGAGACAAATTACAACCTCATTTCCAAGCTGCCCACCGTCTATCAATCTTAATCAAGTCACCATATTGCATCGTTACTGCGCTGCTCCTGGGAAGGGCCCCGACATTGCATTACTGAAGGCAGAAATAAAATGGCGGGAAGAGTGCACGAGTTTCCACTCTGCATAGCGCAAAGTGATTTTCAAAGGTTGGTCGCGCTCTGTGAAATGCGTAATGGTTTTTTTGGCGGCTAAAAGCAACACATAGTGCATATCAATCATGTGATTTTTTTTGTAATTGATAGTAGGCGGTTAATGAATCATATTTCATGTCTTGGGGGTGACATAACGCGCTATGTGTTATGTGCCTGGCCGGGTGCAGTAAAAATATCGGCTACCCTTGAAAGCTTTGCATAAAAGGATTCAGTGAGCCTGCATTAGTCACCTAATGTCGACCACGTTCGCACCACAGTGCGGGGAAACTTCGATATTATAGCAATTAGTCTTTAAAGCTTAACAACTTTCTTGCTCATGATATGATTTGTTCAGGGGTTCATGGTCAAAATACTAATTTTTTTATTAAATGAAAGTTTCCGCTAAGAAATGAAACGAGCCCCCTTCTTCCTCTAACTTTTTAAGCTCTAGCAGGAGCTTCTACATGTCACTTGGTGGTCGGTCTGTCTGTCTGTCTTTCTGTCTGTCCCCGAAAATTTACCAAAACATTTTTGACGAAAATTTGACAAAATGCCATGCCGTCGTCAGTAAATGCACTCTTGACGAAAGCTATCCAAAACGGGCTTTGTCTCGATCGATGCGCATGCGCGTCTATTTTGCATATGTCTGTCTCCGGACAATTGATCAAAAACAAGCCCTTAAGTTTTCAATAGAATATAACCACCAAATTTTAATTAACAAGAAAAAAAGCAAACAAAAGAAATTAAATACTTTAAAAAAAATGTTTGTAACATTTCTATTTGGTCAATTTGCAGGAGTGATTTTCGAGTGGGCGGCCCGGGCTTGTTTGAAAGCACAATCATGTCATGCAAGACATTAATGCAAGGCGTCCATACTTATTGTGCGCTCGCACTTGTTCTTCTTCTGGGTGGAATAATAAAAGAAATTCAACAGTCCCTCTCGCGTTTTAGATATTACGCCATTTTGCTTCTAGCAGTGAAAATGTTGTGACTTTCCCGCGAATATTGCAATTAACAGCATCAAGCGCGTGCTCCCCTGCCAGCATTCATGTACATCTGTAAGCACGATAATGTCAACTGGCGTATATCGGTTGGATTTATTTGCACAGACTTTAGATCCGACGATTTCTAAATAACGCGTATTTCATGTCGCGTTGCCGAGTCAATCGCTGGCACCTTTATTACGACTAGCTCTCACACACACACAAAAACTCTTCCCATCAGGAAACTCTTCGCTTCGACAGAGTAAGCCTATCAATATCTCACGGTGGCCCGATTTTACGGGAATGACACACCGATCCACGGCCCGATCACTTCTCTAAAACAACGTGATCCCGTAGTTTTTGTTTTGTTTAGACGAAAGCAATAAAGCGGCGCTGTGGCCGCTTTGACAGTTAAATTAGAAGCAGTGGTGAGCCCACTATTTGCATATCAATCACGCTGTTGTAAGAACGGGCTACGCGAGGGTTGACGAGAATACGTCATCGGTCGTTTTTCTTCCAAATTAGGAAAGGATGATGAAGGTTTCAGATCGATCGTGGCGACAGGTGTGAACCCTGGGAAGGAGGTAGCATGCACTCTTCGCTAATACGCCCACCGAAAATATATAACGTGAGGATGTTACCTCTATGAATGATGCCCATAGCTTCCGTGAGCAATCTTCGTCTGCATGCAACCGGAAGTTGTGACTCGGGGTCACCACTTCAGCAGAATCCATGCAATAAGAGATGACAGAAATTAACTGTCGCCAACGCCTTATGATATCGGTTCAAACAAAACAGCACCAAATCAGACAGTGTAGTTATTCTAATTGGCATGCTAATTAATTGAACGCATGAGGCTGAGAACATCCCAATTCATCATTGTTGAAGTCCATCTAATTGCACCTGTTTGTACTCCAAGTAATCATAAACGAAATGCTCAACCAGTTTGATTCAACCAAGTTTTAAAGGGAATTTATACAACACATGCAAACATAAAAAAAATACCAAATTATTACGAAATACCTTACTGGACTTTTAGTGAATCACAGTCTAAAGCAAAATTATGGCGTCTGGTGTGCTGACATTTTCAACAAACGTGAAATGTTTGTATCAGATTCCAGTTTGAAAAAAAAAATGTTTTTTTTTTTTTTTAAATTATACCGCCCCCGATTTAACCATATTTAGTTAGTCCGCATTTTGTTTGCAATTGGTTACACACCTCTATATATGCACGGGTACATGCCAGCTAGATAGGTTCCCGACCTTACAATTCCCCGACGTCTAGGATAAATTGCTCTGTTTGATCTGAATTGGGGTCAGGAAGCCAGACTGCATGAGCATGGTTGTTTTTCTTGATTTTGTTTATCTGCATCTACGAACACAAACGTTTAAAAAGTCAGTGTAACAATGTAATGCTTAACCCCCAAATCCATCCATTTCTGAAAAGTACAGCAAAAGAAAATGTTGTATATTCCCGCTAGCAGTAACCTAATTGATAATTTAATGACATATTGCAAACGTAAAGACATCCAGTTCCAAACGCTTACACAAAAAGCAAAGATAACTTTAAACTCGTGATTCGCACATAATTATTCCATTTCTAGTAAATTTATCAGAACCTAGATATGCCAAGCGCCTACTTACCATTCATAAACGTATCAGGCAGCTCTTCAATATTTTTTGGCTTTTAGCGACAGGTGTTTCTCTACACAGTTGTTTTATGCATGAATCTCTCCCTGGAGGCACATCAGGTGCATGATCGCTATAAAACACATCTGGTAACATTCTAAATGCTAGACACAGGACGCGCCGTTGCACAAACTAGCAAACTGGAAAATGATAATTATATTTTCATGCCAGAATATTCGTAACGTATCCAGTCGGTGCATGGAAAATCTGTCCCAAGACGATACCCTAGTTTATATATATATATTTAAAGTAACATATGAAATGGTCTTCAACCATAGCTCATGTATCCGAATACAAGAGCACGTTCATTTCAGAAGCACATCAGTCTTTGCTATAGCGATGTGGCGGCTACTACAATAAAGAACTTAAAGCATGGTAGCCATCATCGAGGGTAGATTGTAACAATATCATTCGAAGGCTATACTGACATAGAACATTCGGAGAATTAAACACAGAAAAACATGAAGTAATCTGGGAATAAAAATAAAAACCACTCTACAGACGTGCAAGGCCGGAGATTGAAAGGAATTTCGAAGGCCATTTGGGCCTAATTGATTTTGAAGTATTTTATTTAAAACAATAATAGACATACTGAACTATTAAGAACATATCGAAATGTTCTGATTTTGAGTACTGAACCGATGTTGTGTATTCCTATTTTGCATAAATAGACATATGTTAATTTAATTTATTCCATGTGTTTTGATGCGTATGTTTCACATATCTAGCGCGCCTACCGATCCTGTTTACTAGGGACATACAATTAAAATGATCAACTAGCAAGACTTAAATCAGTGATTTGACCCTATATAACGTTAACAATCACACGAATCATATTTTTCAAAATAGCGTTTGAATTTTTTTTATTTGTTGATTCCCTGTTTCTTTGAAACTGGAATTATGTTATTGTTAATCTTTCATTTAAACAGTAAAGTACATATACTCCAGTTAGGGCCTGTCAGCCATTCTAGTCATTGTTGGTTTCTTGAACTCCCGGTCTCCTGTAAATATTCCACGGACGGTCTACCTGCCTTCGGTCGGCCTACCCGGGTCGTGAGGGCTCACCTGCACCCCCGGAAGGTCTGCCCCCAGGTCTTTCCCCCGGTCTACTAGTACCATCTGATGGTCTATCCCCAGGGCGTGACGAGTCATCGGTACCTCCCGACGGTCTCCCGCCCCCATCCGACGGTCTCTCGCCAGGTCTGGTACCGGGGCGCCCTCCATCATCTCCACCGGGTCTCACATCAGGGGGTTGTCTGGTCGGCACTGCTTCGGTTTCCCCCGAGTTGGGCAACTCGTCTCTCAATTGGCCGACTTCGTTCGTCAGCGAGTTCAGCTCGTCTCCGAAGTTGTTGAGTTCGTTTTGAAAGGTGTCGATGTTTTGCCCAATTGCATCGACTATAGAAATCAAAAGAGAATACTCAGTTATATTTAACCAAACAAAAATAATAATAAGAGGGACGATCAACACTCAATGAAGAAGGACGATCAAATCCCTGTAAGATTATTGAGGGCGCTGTTTTGGTTGAAAACGAGCACTTTAATGGAGTGTATTGCAACTATTTGCCACGGGAATTGTCCACGAGTCGCGAGCCAAATGCAGCAATATTTTTTTTTAACAGTCTTGTCAAGTTAAGCATAATAGCTACCAAAGATTGGAGCATATTGAGGAGCTGATCTTGACATTTTTCATTAGCATACATACCTTTCTCATCGACATACGTGATTTGCTCTTGAAGCTGTTGCACGTCATTCTTCAAAAATTCGATTTCGGGCCCGAAATTCACTGTAAAAATGAGAAAAAAAGCTTTTGGATAAGTAACTGTTGCATGGTTTGTCCATTATAGATCAATTGGCTTCAAGTATGGTTAACACTTAATACCTAAGGGTCTTCCCTGACTTTTTAGCCGGAGTCTTATGAATCTTTGGATACCCAAAACATAATATTCCGACCATGGGTTGCCGCGCAGCGATTTGTTTTCCGGGCTACGCCCCGTGAACACTGAATGTTCCCATATATGAAGTGTACACAAAGCAGAATTACCATTTGTACATATGAATAATTAATTAGCCATAAAACCAAAACCCTTTAACCTATAGTCATGACATTTCTTGGGTATGTTTACATTAAGTTGTTCTATGCATGCTACGAGTTTCATAATTTTTCGTCTCTCGATGGCCGAGATCTAAGGGGGCGGGAGGGGATGACCCCCCCCCCCCCCCCCCCCCCCCCCCCCCCCCCCCCCCCCCCCCCCCGGCTGAGAGATGGTCCAATAACCCGGCCCTTAGGGTTGAAGCAATGTTTGGAAGAAAAATCCTATGTATATCCTCGCGCAGGATGTTATTATCACATTTGGGTCCACAAAAAGTAGCAATTCTCTATTAATTCGATTCAAATCTTCTTCGGATTTCCTACACTGTTACACTGTAAAAAAGTTGGGCAAAATGGGTCGATAATTCGACCAGTGTGCTGGTCGAATTATCAACTGCCTACACTCTTGGGCAAATTCTTCCCGATAGTTTGACAGTTTTTACCCAATTCAACCCAATATAAGGTAATTTCGTACCAATGTCGGGTAAATTACATTGCCCAGCAGTATTATACCTGTAGGTGGAGGTGTGACACAGTCCACTTCGTCCTCTCCGTCTACGCAATCGTTCATGTCGTCACAGACCTTGGATGACGCAATGCACTTCCCACTGTTGCAAATAAAACCCAGTCCAGAGTTGCACAAACCTGACAAAGGAGGCAAGAAACAGAATGCAATTCGAAAAACAACCAAATAGTATACATTAGCGTGGGGAAAAGAACATTTTTAATGAAAAAAATTATGCACTCACTCGGTCCACATCTGTCTGCGTTTTCATCCTCCTTCCCAGGGAAACAGTCAATGGTGAAGTCACAGAGTTTAGATTTGCTGATGCATTCTCCGGACTCGCACTGGAAAGATCGGGGAATAAAATCAAACCAGTCATGTTCCCTGTATCCAATAACAGTTCTGACTGATAATGTTTTTGTGCCGAAGGAACCAGACTATTTTTCCTTCCAGCCTCGCTTTGGGTACGTTGATTTGAAAGGGAAAAAAATCAAGACGGCCGCAACATGATAATGGTCTATTGCTCACCTGGTACTGTGTGACAGGGCATCCTGGGCAATCGACCTCGTCCTCGCCTTGACTGCAATCGTTTCTCCCGTCACAAACTTTCTCACTCGCGATGCATTCCTCATCCCGGCACTGAAAATTGACAGGTGGATTGCAAACAGGTGGTGCGGTGCCGCAGTCTCGCTCGTCCGATCCATCGGTGCAGTCGGACCTTCCATCACAGAGGGCCGAGGCAGGAATACACGAACCATCCCCTGGGCAAGTAAACTCGTTCCCTCGACACGGACAATCCGCCTCATCGCTAGCGTCCGTACAGTCCTCAATGCCGTTGCACACGGCAGACGTCTGGATACACGACCCATCTGAACACAAAATCAAATGTTTATGAAACTACAGGGTGAGTAAAAAAAAGAAACCCAAATGTCGGGACCATTTTTAGTGAAGTTTTGCATGTAGCACTTTCAATATCTAGGATATGAAAGTCCAATTCTTAAGCTTTCTTTTAGTGCAAAAATCATTCAAATCACTCATGTACTTTTCAAGTTACGGAATTTTAGCAAAAGTATTTGCTGTAACATACTAATCCACCAAATCCATTTATTTCTGAAAACTGCAGCAAAAGCAAATGTTGTACATTCCCTTTGACAAATGGAAACGCGCCTCCTATATCTCAACCTCTTACCCAGGCATTCATACTCTCTGAGTTGACACCCACAGTTCCTCTCGTCATCCCCCGATGGGCAATCATCCACGCCGTTGCAAACCTCGTTTTCTTGGATGCACGTGGTGCCGTCCGAACATTCCGTCTCCCCATTCCTAATGCGGTGATTAATCCAACGAATACATTAATTTATTGTCGTTTGGTTCAGGTATCAAGTTAATGCTTGACTTTATCAGACTTGTTACTTGGAATGTTCACATTCAGTTTATGAAATTCGAGATATTATTAAAACGCTCCGAACACTTTTCGAGTACTTGGCCTGACACGCAGTGATGTAGCAGATGTTCTTTTCGTCAGTCTTGTAAGTTTTAAACTGAAATGTGACTGGGTAGCTAGGTATGGGTATATAGGAGACTCCCGCGCACTCACTGATTTTGATAAAGCCTAAATGGTTTTTGGTACGTTTCATTTTTTTTTTTACAACTCACTTTAGGACAAGACACTCACCCACATCCACAATCTTGCTCATCTTCACCGTTCGCACAGTCCGTGAACTCTCCATCACACACATAAGTTAATGGGATGCACTTATGAACTGGTCCGGTACATTTGTATTCGTCTCGCTGACATGTCGGTGTAATGCAGTTGAGCTCGTCCTTGCCATCGATACAATTTCTTCGGCCGTCACATAGCTATAGACGAGCAAAATAACAGCCAACGTGACTAATAAAACAAAACAAAGTAACCGCAAACTGAAGCGTCACCTTTAAGATGACGTCACATGACCCATGATGACGTCATCATGACGTCCTTTCAATTGTCACGTTCCTGTATCACATTCCTGTCTTTGAACCCAATCGGCCAAGTAGTTATTTAAATATAGGCAATTGAAAATTGCACTTTAAGATAACATCACGACACGTGATGACGTCATCATGACGTCACCTCGATTTTCACCTATAACACATCCCTGTCTATTTACATACAAAATTTGAGCCCTATCGGCTAAATAATTATTTAGACATAGACCTTTGAAAATTGTACTTTTCAGATGACGTCACATGACAAATATGATGACGTCATCATTACGGCCATCAACGCGGACCTTCTTTTCTATATATGGTCGTTGATTGTGTAGGCCCCTAAAGTTTGATCAAGATTTGAACGTGAAAACTGTCGAAAGTGCGCCTTGAAAATTCGCGTAAATAAAACACCGATATTGATTTACAAATTGAGTCAGCATTGAGTGGCAACAATGTGACGTCATGATAATTATAAGGTCTTCATACCTACCTGTGACTTTGGTATGCACGATCCAGGTGCGCACTCAAACTCCTGCGAGCTGCATCCGCACTGCGCACCCTCGTCGTCTCCCGTACTGCAGTCGTACCGCCCGTCGCACACTGCACTCATAGCAATGCACGACTTGTCCGCACACGTGTATTCCGTCGATCTGCAATTCTGCTCGCATGGCGGAGTCCCCTCGTCCGATCCGTCTAAGCAGTCGCTGTGCCCGTCACACAACTGTAGATAAGTCAACAACTTTATTGTAACACGACGAAAAAGACATTTTTAGGCCATCAGACTGGGTTTTGGTCGGTTTTCAAATGAGGGGAATAAAGCTCATTGTGATTTTAAGCAAATGCACCCCTGTAGTTGGATGTGATAGCTTTGCAGCAGTGGCAGCTTTTTGGGTGCTATCACTTTATTTAAAAATGGCGGCAAAAACATACATGTTACACACGTATAATTAATTCGTTAACAAGCATATTGGCGGCCATGTTGGAAAAAAGTAAAAAGTGACAACACTCAAAAACTGCCACCGCTCACAATGCAAAGCTATCACACATCTTTTTAAACTCTAGATGTGCATACCTTGCCAAAAACGCTATGAGCATTGCTCCTTCTGATCATTAAAGATACCGGTGGCCCAATTTTTGGACCGAAGGAAAAAGCCTATTTAAACAAAGTTTCTAAAATGTATAAACGACAATGACACTATTCACTTTTGACTTCGGACTCTTTCCTTTCGATTCTCACTTCCAACTGTAAATAGTTTGTGCAGCTCTAGTTTCGTTTTCAATGTGTTTTGGTGTAATAGTAGTACTTCAAATTAGCTTCTACTTCGTAGAAGCGAGCACCTACGGTCCAAAAGGCTCTTCAGTGGTGATATGATTCAAATTAGGTGGTGCTATTGATTATTAACGGCTTCCAATTCTTTTCAAAATCACAGCATTTTGATGTTCCTAAATGTTGTCAACGAATTAAACAGTCATTGTTATGCAGACTTTTTGTGACAGTTATATTTTGTCGAGAAAGTCATACAATGGTACAAAATGGACCGATCCAGTAAGCACCGCCCCATGGTATTCTGACCAATCACAGCCATGATTTATGACCGACATGCGTGCACAAAAGTCCGACATGCGTGCACGCGCGTGTGATGCGCGCGGCAGGAAAATGCAGTGTGGCATTGGAGAGAAGCACGTGTTAATTTGCCCACGTGCGCAGTGGGAGGGGCTTACTGGATCAGTCCATTGACAAAGCATTAAACCAAAACAGAGCAGAAATCTTACCCAGGATTGTTTAATACATGCACCCGAGTCACATCTGAATTGGCCCTGGCTGCACGTGTGTATGGCGCAATTCATCTCATCTTGACCACCAGGACAATCGTTACGCCCATCGCATTGCCAGTAGTCCGCTATACAGAGACCGTTAGGGCAACGGTACTCGTCAGCAGCGCAGTAATTATAACGGACCTCTGCACAATTCTGCTCATCCTGGGTTGACAAAGGCAAATATGTAGTTATCGTCAAGTTATTTTTTTTCTGAAACGCCCCTGAAACCCCCAATTAAAACAAACAAACCTGCAAGTTTGTTTTAGGACAACCACAAGTCTTAGGAAATCATATAGGAAAGAATCTTTAAGTTTTAAAAGCGATGGGCCGATGAAAACTTTTTTTCCCCCGATTCAATTCAACTGATCATTTCTCTTGAAAATAAAAGGCCTATATTTGTTGTGGGTTTTTGTTGTTGTTGTTGTTGCCTCTCTTTTGATATTTCAGGTCTTCCACTGCAAGACCGCAGGCGCAGGTCTACTTAGAAATGATATTGAGAGCCAAGTCTACGCACATTACATACAGGCTAAATATATCGGCAGAAAGAATGTAGTATAGACGCCACTTCTGTGATTGTGAACAAAGTCTATGGACAGTCGAGTGCATTGTTTTTCTAACCAATTTGGCAATGTTGGTTAGAAAATTTGTTCAACCATTTTTTTTTTAAATGACTGATCTTTATAGAGATAATACATAGTGCAAAAATTGGCGTCAGGATGCCATATTCAATCCAAGATTCAAATTTGTTCAACCTTTTTTTTTTTAAATGACTGATCTTTATAGAGATAATACATAATGCGAAAATTGGCGTCAGGATGCCATATTCTTTCCATATCGGCCTTTCGACGTTTACTTCTGAGAGTGGACGAAGATGTACCTCTAGATAAACGTTTTTGTTACCCATAATTATGTGCAATACCTGACCGTCGCAGTCACTCGGATCGCCGTCGCACACGTACTCGCTCGGTACGCACTGGTCGGTGATGTTGCAGAACATGCCATCAACACACGGGCACCATTCCGGCAACTCGTCTTCCGCACCTGCGCAGTCCGGATTGCTGTCGCAGACTCTTTCCAGCCGGAGACAGACGCTGCTATTGTGGCAGTGGAAACCCAGTACGCCGTCTTGTATACAAGCTGGATTGCGGGGAACACAGTAAAGTCTTGAATAGAAGACTGCTAAAACTAACACACAGCTGCACTGAAGTGCATGCTATAAAATTGATGGTTTAGTGATTTTGTAAAAAAAATATTTGCAATAACATACATTTTGAAACGTAGGCCCTACACGGAAAAAAAATCATGGACCGGCTGCACACATTAAAAACTGTACTAGTTTTCTTATATTCTAACGTTACAAAGTTCAGATCTAGCACTTTTGTTTCACTTTAGAATACACAATACACGTTTGGCATGGAACTACTAATGCTAAAGCTGGAGAGTTGATATTCTTTTGAGTATACATACCGTTGAATGGCGCTGTTTTCTCCTTGGTCTCATTAACATCGGTATTCGTATCCAATGTCGAGTTGGAGTCCTTCTCGGTAATATAGGGTGGGGTCGAGGTTACTGATCTCGCTAACCTCTTCAGGCCTCCATCGAGGAGATGATCTCGGACATATTCCTGTCATGGTTGAGAAAAATGCACACGATGAGATGAAATCCTAAGGTGATAGGTTGTGGGTTTTTTAAAACATGTTTCTGAACTTCGTTTTTTTCTGCTTTTTTTCGACCACTGAGTCTCATACGACTTGTGCTGTTGTGTACAGGGTGACAAGTGATTGCCAGATGTGGGAATCTTTCATTGAATTCATACTTTCCATCATAATTGCTATGATTGACTGTCCAGGTAGAAGGCATTAGGATAATAAATTATTTCCGTAGGCCTACGCTTCTTCCTAAATTGTATATTTTATTTCAGAAAATCGGTCTTATCCTATATCCCGCCCCCGACGCTACACATTTATGGAAACAGTCAATCGTCACCTAAACTGTTTTAACATGTACACGTTTTATACAAGTCATTTATAATGCCTCCAATCGAAAAACTATGCCTTACCAGTATTCTCGGGGAAGAGTTGTCAGCGTCGCCATTCTTGGATCCGAAAGGAACACCATGTACATAAAGACATGAAATTATTACCAAGACCAGCGCAACACCAGGCGAGTAAGCCATGCCACCGGGGGAAAAGTGTGAACGGAACCGCGCGAGCCCACCACCTTACCACGCTGCATTCCTCTAAAATACGCAAATACCGTCTACCAGAAGTCACGCTTGGTTGGTAATGAATATTCATTATGCAAAATCCTGCATGGTTTATATTTATATACAAAAACATCAGGAGGGAAAGGTAAATGTTCATGTGTTTATTTTTCACTAGACACAAATCGATTGTCATGGTTTGTATTACGTCCATGTTAATTTTGAAGAAATGCAGGAATTTTTAAACAGTGCAATGTTTTTTTCTATTAACATGCGCGACAATTCATAAATATTCATGATCTCAAGTTTATGCCTCAAATACCAACATTCCAAGAGCTGGCCCTGGGCGGACAGCCTTAAAAGCGAACTGTACCGAGCGGCCTCGCCCATTCATACCGTAAGAGCCGGTGTTTGCTACGGGGAAAAACACGTCTGTCTCCGGTATAGCGACACGCCCAGCCCGGTCGGCCGTGTTCGTAGTCACGATGCATTGCTTGATTGCTGTGATCATACTGCTAGCTTCGGTGCCTGGCGCTTCGTTTCAAAAGCAGGCTCAACAGGTAAGGATGTTTTGGATGTCATTTTATTTCTAAATAGGTTTATAATATTTCTGTTTGTATGTTCCGTCGTTTTGGAAAGAATGTTACATCCTGACGTTTCATCATAATTCATATATCATCTCAATGAAGAGCAGTCATTGCAAAAACAGTAGTAGAACTCGAATCTGGGACGGTAAACATTTCCAATTTTGTTTAAAAAAATCTTTGAAAATGCACTTGACTCTCCACCGACTTTGCACACATCAAAAGAAGCGGCGCCTGGATACTACATTCCATGGGCGGCGGACAAGGGGGTAGAGGGGGCACTTCCCCCCCCCCCCCAGATTTACCCAAGCGCCCCTCTAGCGGACATTAATGTGCCCCCTCGAGCATAAATGTGCCCCCGAAAAAAATGTTGCAACCTGACGCCACTTCCACGATTGTGTACAAAGTCTGTGTAGAGTCAAGTATTTTCTAAAAAAATTGGAGAAGTTTCTCAGTCCCCTATTCATTTCTTATCATCATTTTGAAAATGAATGACCTTCATTGAGACGATATATGAGGAAAAAAAGTGGCGTCGGGTTGCAACATTTTTTTCCATGGTATAGAGAGTTCTGATATGATCGAGGAATATGAAAACCAAGCCCCAAAACCCTTACAATGCGCCCTGAAAATGGGCATATAATGCGTAGTTTGCATAATGGCCTGTTTTGAAGAGTGCACCCTATTTTGGAAGATGGTACCAGCCCCCCCCCCCCCCCCCCACCCCCACCCCCACTATTTGATTTTGCGGAGGCCAAGTGTCCGGTGAAAAAAACGCGTCGACATTTCAGCACGGATGTGCCAAAAAACTGTCCCTTTTTGGTGATGTCCCCCCCCCCCCCCCCCCCCAGTTTGAAAACCGTTCCGCCGCCGTTGCTACATTCTTTCCCGTTGGGTTTATAGAAAATCTGCTGCACAACTAGAGAGTATTGTAATGATGATCACAGACTATTAATATATTGAATTTAGATATTGAATGACTGTGAAAAAATGTTGCAACCTGACGCCACTTCCGCGATTGTGTACAAAGTCTATTGAGAGTCAAGAAAGTAAAGGTATTTCCTAACAAATTGGAAATGTTTCTCAGTCCCAGATTCATGTTTTATCATCATTTTGACAATGAATTACCTTCATTGAGATAATATATGAAGAAAAAGTGGCGTCAGGCTGCAACATTCTTTCCACAACGTTTACTAAAAAGTCAAATTGAGCAGGGAAAATATTGAAGCATTTTCTGAGAAAACACTGAGACTTGTTTGTGCACAGGGGGTCAAGCGATATCCAGGTATGGAATTCTTTCCGTAACATTTAGGCCTTGACACGTGCCACGCCTTTACTCGTATAAATATGACCGTTTGCGCATGCACCGTTCAGCAATTTTTTAAAATAAAATGTTTCTATTACCTTCTAGTAAACACTGACACTATTATTGTACATTGTCTGGGTACTGCTGTTTTGAGTAAATTGTATGGCATGCGATCATTTCTTGATGTAAGCTACTATTAAGTGAGTGAATTAACTCGTGTATCTTGACCTGACCAGCAAATACAATCAATTACCACTGTATTTGGTACTTGCAAGGTCAATTGGAGTCGCAATAACCTGGGAATTTCTCGTAAATAAAAGTCTTCAATAGCTAGTTTCCTAAATGTGTAGATAGTTTTGCCTTCTCCTCAAACTTCTTGTTACCACTGTAATCTCCTTAGGTCACTGAGACTCGCCGTGTGCCCAAACCTGCTCGAAATTTTGAAGAAGTCCAAGACAACAGCGAAGGTGACAATTTTCTTTTACGTAAAGTGTTTCTTTGTAAAGTTAGTAAACCACACACTAAACGAGGACGAAATGTTTTGAGTTCATTCAATTTAAAACAAAAATATATCTTGTCTTATGAAGTGAAGAATGTTTTGCCTGATTTAATATGCAGGCCTTCCTTAGATGCTCAACTAAAGCCTATTATTGTACCTTTGGGCCTATGATGATAGATGTATTCCACTTTTTGAAGCTCGTAGTTTGGTTTTTTTTTTTGCATTTTTTTTTCACTTTTGCCCACCATAGGCAGCCGGCATCTTCGTGATGTCGAGTCAAAACGCAGTCATCTCCCGCTATGTTCATCAGCCACTCAGTACGAATGTGAGAATGGCGACTGCATCCCATTCACCTACGTATGCGATGGCAAACGCAACGATTGCATCGGGGGCGAGGTGAGTTCCATTGTGTTGTATGGAAGGCAAATTAGGCAAAATTGTGGGCTTGACCACTCCTTTCATGGTTTAAATTATTTCAACAAATATTGTCCAATACGCATGAGTATCTGAAGTATAAATACATGCTGTGATATTTGTGACGTCATTTTTAATATTTCAATAGAGGTGGTCAGTGCTTGAGTGCATTGTCCATGTCTTTACATAGAATATAATTATTCCATATTTATTTTTAAAAAATGCATAAAGTACAGTACATGGGTTAGCTCCGTGAGTCATCAACAGTCTTTGTTTGAACTCTTCCCCAGACATTTTAAACTCTGACTAGGGTTTTCTCTCTCCATTGCATCTTATGAAGTGGCTCCAGATACGAAAAGCTTATGCCATGATTTTAATTTAAGATAGTCTTTAAAGTGCTACCTACTCTTAACAGGGTGGTAAAAAAAAAAAACACCCCCCCAAAAAAAAATCCACCGCAACGGCATACTTCCACTACTATGAGGCTCGAACAACCTGTACTAATTCATGGGGAATCCTTTTAGAAGAATTATGATACCAAAATCTTCTGATTCGGTCCAGAAGTTTTTGCTGCAAAACCCATTTTATGAAGCACACTTCTTTCATGTAGGTATTATTACATAACAGCCCCTCTATCAATAACTGAGTCAAATTCCTGGGCGTGGCGTAGTAATTTCATCGAGACTAAAAATGGCCCCACCTTGCTTCACAAACTAGGCTCTAAAACAAAAACTACTTTTTTATGTTTTATTCAAAGATACAATCAACAATTAAATAACAATAATCTACGTACATGCACAGTTAATCGTCTGCTCTATAGGTACTACTGAATTACACACAACAAAAATTCGAACAAAACAATTTACTCGACATGACGAAGCTGGAGTTCCTGCTCAAAAAGGATGATAAGGTTGGAGTACTGGCCAAATTTAAAACGACTCACTGTTTGTTTACCTTTATTAATTAGAGTATTCAGAAACCGATAACTACTGTATGTTTCCCCTACCCCTACAAAAACTACTGGACCGAATCAGGCAATCTTGGTTTCATTTTTCTTCTAAAAAGATTCTCCATGCATTGGTATATGTGTTTCGAGTCTCACGGTAGTGGAAGTATGCCATTCCGGTTTGTTGGACAACCTTGTATAACCACATTGATAGAAATCACATTTAAAGTAATCACATGAAAATACCGATTCTGAAATACTCTATACGCATCTAAAAGTTTTATTTTCTTTACTTTTTGCTATAATCTCAGGACGAGAGGAACTGCGATCAGCATGTCTGCTCTTTTGACCAATACCGCTGTCCCACCGGCAAGTGTATTCCCGACTACTGGATATGTGACGTAAGCAAGGATTGCAGGCCTGGGGGCGAGGATGAGATGCTCAACTGTCTGACCAGGCAATGCGATGCTGGAAAGTTCCGCTGCAGATCGGGTAAGCCATTCTAAATGCAGAGGGAAAACTTTTAGGGCTTTTAGCACTGAGTAATTCCTGTGGTTATAGTATATGCATGGGTTAAAAAAAGGTGCATACCTATGTTCCCCAATACCTATGTTCCCGTTCGCCTTACCCCAAGCCTAACCCAAACCCTAAGGATTTTGGGGAACATAGCTATTGGGGAACATAGGTTTTGGGGAACATCGGTTTTGGGGAACATCGGGAAGGCCCCAGTTGACTACATGAAAACATTTTGCCTGTACATGGCGAGTCGGAATGATCTGTACCCAAATTAAAGAAACTAGTAAAAATATGTAGCATTTATTATTTTTAAAAATGAGATTATTATAGGCTGGTATTTAGGACATATTTGGTGAAAGTTCCACGTATATCCATTATACCATTTTAAAGAAAAGCGCTATTAAAGAACAAACAATGCAGTCACACCAGTGCGCGATTTCAATAAATTTGTTGAACCATGGAACCGTGGTCAGAGTGTTTGAAGCGTGTGTTTTTTGCTAGCGCTTTTCTTCAAAATGGTACAAATGGATATACATAATTTTTTAACCAAATATGTCCAAAATACCAGCCTATAACATATCTCATTCGCACTTGTTTGGATAATTGCTATACAGTTTTAAATATTTTCTGTAATTTGGGTCCAGATGATTCTGACTCGCCCTGTAGAAAACCTTACTGGAAATCGAAGGCTGCCCACGGCCACTGGCGGAAGGGCCTTTAAGCACAACCACTATGCCATCAACATCGCGAGGTGAAATAAAAGTAAAATCCCTGCTGCCAAAATGTTCGATCCGCCTAATCAGAATAAAGGTGCGATAGTGGGAAGTGGAAACTATATCTGCAGTCTTGCATTCTCTTCGTTGTTTTCCTCATGACTTTTCTAAATCCAGAGCAAAAGGGGCGTCTTGAAATGACGTCGGCATAACCATGGAACTAATGGATGCATTACTAGGATTCCAATTTCACATCTATACAGGTGCCTGTTTGCCACAGTCCTTCGTATGTGACGGCGAGACTGATTGTCCTGACGGTGATGACGAAGTAGAACCTTGTAATAACATTGGTGTGTTCTGCCAACCAGGGGAGTTCCGCTGTAACAATGGACAATGCATACTGCAGGTAAGACTGGGCTAGGGGGACTTTGGACGGTTGGTGGCAGCAAACACATCAAACACTTTTTTGTTTTTGGTACATAGGTTCTGGGCACAAGTACCCCTTCAACGGCCAGAAAGGGGAGCTGGGCTAGGGGGAAGACTCGACTGGTTCCCGGTCCATCTTCTGCGTATTTCGAATGATCTTAAGTTATTGGGGGCGGGGATTAGTCTGGGAGATCATCGCAAATTAATTCCAACGAAGAAGCTGTGGCTAATAGCTTTGGCACCTTCAAGAAGTCGTGCGTACTTGGCGCTTGAACCAGTACAGTACAGTTCGCACACGCTGTGTGTCCCGCCCACGGGCACTCTCAAAAGTGGTAAAAACGCGCCCTCTTTTGTTCGCGCAGGGAGCCCATAACAGCGCAGCGCGTAATCGAAAATTACAGAATTGTCTGAGTTTGTCATAAATGTTACGGCCCCCCGCATCCACACGTTTTCAAGTTTGTCCGGGGAAAATCAGGTCTACTCTTCGAAGTTCATAGCTTCAAATATGTTTATATTCATTTGATTTGATTAATTCAATTCTGTTTTATGTACAGAGCAAGCACTGCAATCATGTTATTGACTGCCCTGGTGGTGACGATGAAGCAGATTGTCCACATCAATGTCCTGGTCAATTCATGTGTAACCGAGGAAACTGCATACCTCAAATCTCCGTCTGCAACAGGGTCAATGATTGTGCGAGTGGCGAGGATGAGGTGAACTGCCCAGGCAGGTGCCCTAATCAGTACGAATGCAGCAACGGACAGTGTATACCACAGGCCAGGGTGTGCGACGGACGGCAACATTGCTCCCAGGGCGAGGACGAGGGATCGTGCTTCAGGCCTTGCACCAGTCAACAGTTCCGCTGCGATAGTGGCAAGTGTCTGAGCAGGGAGTACGTGTGCGATAGCATTGTCGATTGCGGCCAGGGCGAGGACGAGCGAAGTTGCACACCGTGCCTGGGACAGTTCAACTGTGGGACATATTGCATCTCCACCACGAGGGTCTGTGACGGTCGGGTTGACTGCCCTGCTGCTATCGACGAGGCAAACTGTCCGGTGATCTGCGAGGGGAGATTCCATTGCGGCAACCAGCAATGTGTGGACGTCTCTCAGCGATGTGACGGCCAGGTGGACTGCTTTTTCTCCCAAAGTGACGAGATGAATTGTCCCAGTTGTAAGCGTGGTTTCCTGTGTAGCAATGGGCGATGTATACCTCCAGCTGCCGTCTGTGACGATGTGCAGGACTGTCCTCGTGGTGAAGAGGAAGTTGGATGTAATGACAGGCCGCCGTGCAATCCAGGCTATTACCGGTGCGTTAACAGTTACTGCATCCCGCAAAGGGGAGTGTGTGACACTGTGGTGGATTGTCCTAGCGGTGACGATGAGTCTCAGTGTCCGAATACACAGTGCAGCAGCAACCAGTACAGATGCCGTGATGGTTCGTGTGTCAGTCGCGATCGAGTCTGCGACGGTCGCGTGGACTGCAATGGCGGCGAAGACGAGCGGGGTTGTCCCAACAGAGGATGCTTAGCGACTCAGATCAGATGTATGGATGGTAGCTGTATTGATTCCAATAAGGTGTGTGATGGACGGCTTGACTGTTCTGCAGGAGAGGATGAACGGAACTGCCAACCTCCAACCTGCTCGGTGGATCAGTTTGAATGTCAGGATGGAATGTGCATCTCTTCCACAAAGGTCTGCGATCAGAGACAAGACTGTCCAGACGGGGAGGATGAGATGAATTGTCCAACACGCGGATGCCTGGCCAACCAGTTTGAGTGCAACGATGGACAGTGCATCCCGATGACTAAAAAGTGCGACAGGCGCCGCGACTGTACCGGCGAGGAAGACGAAGAAAACTGCCAAGGTTGTTTGACGAATGAGTTTCAATGCAACGATGAAAGGTGTATTTTGTCCTTGCAGGTGTGTGATCAGGTCAGAGATTGCACCTACGGGGAAGATGAACAGAATTGTCAAGTTCGTGAATGTCTAGCCAACGAATTTGAATGCAACACTGGACGGTGCATCCCTATGGCGCAGAAGTGCGATAGACGCCGTGACTGCCCTGGTGGCGAAGACGAAGAAAACTGCCAAGGTTGTTTGACGAATGAGTTCCAATGCAACGATGGCAAGTGTATTCTATTTACTAAGGTGTGTGATCAGCTCGGAGATTGCTCAGAGATGGAGGATGAACAGAATTGTCCCGCTCATGAATGTCTAGCCAACGAATTCAAGTGTAGCGATGAACGCACCTGCATTCCGTTAGCTCAGAAGTGCGATCGACGCCGTGACTGCCCTGGTGGAGAAGACGAAGAAAACTGCCAAGGTTGTTTGACGAATGAGTTCCAATGCAACGATGGCAGGTGTATTCTATTTACTCGGGTGTGTGATCAGCTCGGAGATTGCTCAGAGATGGAGGATGAACAGAATTGTCCCGCTCATGAATGTCTAGCCAACGAATTCAAGTGTACCGATGAACGCACCTGCATTCCTTTAGCTCAGAAGTGCGATCGACGCCGTGACTGCCCCGGTGGCGAAGACGAAGAAAACTGCCAAGGTTGTTTGACGAATGAGTTCCAATGCAACGATGGCAGGTGTATTCTATTTACTCGGGTGTGTGATCAGCTCGGAGATTGCTCAGAGATGGAGGATGAACAGAATTGTCCCGCTCATGAATGTCTAGCCAACGAATTCAAGTGTAACGATGAACGCACCTGCATTCCGTTAGCTCAGAAGTGTGATAGACGCCGTGACTGCCCTGGTGGTGAAGACGAAGAAAACTGCCAAGGTTGTTTGACGAATGAGTTCCAATGCAACGATGGCAGGTGTATTTTGTCCATTCAGGTGTGTGATCGGGTCGGAGATTGCTCGGAGAGTGAAGATGAACAAAACTGTCCGAGCCGTGAATGCCTAGCCAACGAATTTAAGTGTAATGATAGACGGTGCATCCCGATCGCTCAGAAGTGTGACACATTCCGTGACTGCACCGGCGGTGAAGACGAAGAAAACTGTTGTCGAGCCAACGAATTCGAATGTAACGACGGTTTGTGCATTTTGATGACTCAGCAGTGTGATAGACGACACGACTGCTCTGGTGGAGAAGATGAAAGCAACTGTCCTGGGTGTTTGTCGAGCGAGTTCAGCTGCAACGATGGTGCGTGTATCTCGAGGAACAAGGTCTGTGATAATTTCAGAGATTGCTTGCAGGGAGAAGATGAGCGTGATTGTCCATCTCAAGGCTGCCTGACTAATCAGTTTGAATGCAACACTGGTTTGTGTATCCTTTCGACTCAAGTCTGCGATGGACGCCACGACTGTCCGATGGCAGAGGATGAAGCTAACTGCCCAGGCCGAGGATGTCTTGTCGGTCAATTCATGTGCGATGATGACACATGTATCCCTGGTAACCAAGTCTGTGACCAGCAATGGGATTGTGCGAACGGAGAGGATGAGCACCTTTGCCCGGGACCCGTCTGTACACCTAATCAGTTTCAATGCAACAATGGTCAGTGTATCTCGTCTGAGCTTGTTTGTGATCAGCAGGGCCACTGTGCTGAGAGTGAGGATGAAACTGACTGTCCCGATGAGGCAAGATGTCTGTCTAACCAATTCCGATGTAATGACGGCACCTGTATCCAAGTTTCTCTGGTTTGTGACGGGAAGGAGCATTGTAGGAATGGAGAGGAGGAGGCTAATTGTGTTCGGCCAGATCGATGCCCGAAGCAGTACACCTGTCCGAATGGTCCCTGTATTCCCTTGGATAAGGTCTGTGATAAGATGATCGACTGTCCGCGTGGCGAGGATGAACTGGAATGTTCCATCGGAAGCCAGTGTGCCAACAATGAATTTCGCTGTTCATCGGGAAACTGTGTCCGGTCTGGGTTTACCTGCAACGGTCGTAACGATTGCGAGCGGGGAGAAGACGAGGAAGGGTGCACTGTGTTCCAGTGTCTGGGACGATTCTCTTGTCAAGACGGATCGTGTGTGAAACTCTCACAGCTCTGCGACGGCGCGCGAGATTGCAACCTTGGTGATGACGAGAGAAGCTGCGGTGTGGAACCGGAGCCTTGCGACGGGTACCAGTGTAGCAAAGATCAGTGCATACCGACCGAGGCTCGATGCAATGGTTGGCTGGATTGCTACGGCGGTGTGGATGAGTCGGGATGCGCTGTTGATCCGTGCAGACTTCTTTTCACGTGTGGTGATGGGTACTGTATCAGCCCAGCATTGATCTGTGATGGGAACTCAAACTGTCTGAATGGTAGAGACGAACATGGCTGCGATGACGATCCGTGTCTGGGGCATGTTAACTGCGGTGTGAACGGTGGGTGCATCGCGGCTCTCTTAGCTTGTGATGGAGTGCAAAACTGCCCCATGGGAGAAGATGAGATGAACTGCCCGCCTCCAGAATGCAACGAGGACCAGTTCACGTGTAATGATGGCACCTGTATCTCCCAGACCTTGGTATGCAATGGGAATCCTAATTGTGGTGGTGGTGCCCAGGAGGACGAGCAAGGATGCCCGAATCTAGGATGTCGAGCGGGCCAGTATCAATGCCGGAGCGGGAATTGTATCTCGCAAAGCGCTGTCTGTGATGGTAGAACGGATTGCTTTGCAGGAGATGATGAAACAGACTGCCAGACCCGTCAATGTCTACAAGACCAATTTAGGGTAAGTATAGTAGCAGTGAAGTAGTAGTTATAACTTGAAGTAATATTCTGGTTCATCGTCTCGGATACCAGGGCAAGGTACACCAATCGATATAAAACTTTAGTTTTAGCAGTGCAAGAAAACAATATAAAGATATGAATTATTTTGTTGTGTTATCCATATCCACAGTGTAACGACGGCAAGTGTATTCCGCAATCATATCGCTGTGACCATCGCTTCTTCGATTGTCCTGACCGGGAAGATGAGCTGAATTGCCCGGGCGTCTTTCCGCTGTGTCGCGGTGACGAGTTCCGTTGTAACAGCGGAATGTGCATCCCGGCAGCCGATAGGTGTGACGGACTATACAGAGATTGCTCGACTGGCGAAGATGAAGATAACTGCCCCATCAAATGTGGCGCGTTCCAATTCCAGGTAAGATCAAATTGTAAACATTCGCATTCCGACTACCAAATTTAACAGCCTGGACGTTATTTTATCTAACAAACCATCTAAAACCTTAAGAGAATAAGACACGTCTACTCATGGTGATGACAGATACCTTAAAGTACAGATCGAATGCATTTACTTTTATGGGATCTCTTAAAGCATCGAGTATGCATGCTAATAAAAATTACAACAGTGCCAAATTGCACTGTTTACAAGATTAATCATCTGACAGGCAAACTGCAATGTTACAATTTACATCGGAAAGAATGTACTTTCCAGACGCCACTTCTCTATGGAGAGTCAAGAACATTTTCTAAGTATTTCCTCATAAAATTGGAAATGTTTCTGAGTCCCAGATTCATGTCGTTTCAACATTTTTTGCAATGAAAAAACCTCGTTGAGATGATTTGTGAAGACAAAAGAAGCGTCAGGATGCAACATTCTTATCTTTTACGTGTCATGGACTTGTACAACACAGTTACACATATTCAAAGTTGAAAGGTAGACTTTGTTTTGTAAATTTCCAGTGCGGGAACCGATGCGTAACTGCCCAGCAGATGTGTGACGGAAACGATGACTGCTCGGAGGGGGAGGATGAGATGCAAGCAAACTGTGAAGACTTCCAAAACCTCGGTAAGAGTGGCTCATTTTTTCCCTTTTTGTCTTCTTCTTCTGCCTCACTTGTCCGTGAAAGTAAACCTTGCATTGGAGTGATGCCTATCTGGCGGTCTAGGTTGAGGTTCATAGCAATTATAATTTGCTTCGATCCCACCCACTCATAGCAGGTGGCCAAGGAGGACATGCAAACGTTTATTTTCTAAGGTAGGGATGTGTAACCCCGCCCAACCTACAAACTTGGGCAAATTGGCATTCATGACAGACCCGCTTTCCACCATTTATTCAAGGCCCGTTCTACCTTGATTTGATCGTTCGCTCTTTCAGACCAGTGCGATCCCCACTACGAGTTTGCCTGCTACGACGGCACGTGCCTTTACAAAAGGCAAAGATGCGACAGCATACCAGATTGCCCTGGGGGTGAGGATGAACGTCTGTGCATCGAAAGCGGAGAAGGTAACATTAAAAAAAAACTGTTTCAGTAAAACTATAAACCATATGCATACAACTACAACATTCTTACCTCTAATTAAGCCACTAGTCATTACCAAAGTTCCTACGAAAAGTTTGAAGCATTATTTTTTTTATAGTTTCAAGTAAATATCGCCTCTAACCTAGATCACTCAGTCGGCATGATCTTCAATAAATAGATGACCGTTATTTCTGGATTCAAACAAGCCAAACTACAACACAATTAAGGCAGTTTTCATTTTTACATTTATATCAGATACAAGCTGAAGATCATTTGTATCAATTGAAACAACAATATGACATTGACAAAGTTATAAAATTGGTCTTCATGTACAGGCGTCATGCGCAGTCTTGGTGAAACGCTCCAATCTCTTGAGACCAAGTTGAATACAATAGAAGACGCTATTACCGGTAAGTTGTCACACTGACATTTTATTGGAAGTTTCTCTTAAGGTAGTACTACTTCCCTGGAAGTAATTTATACATTACAAGACAACATTATGCTCTGATTTAGACAATAGCAACATATTCTCGAGTTGTAAGAGAGATCTCTTGTCTCAAACTGTGCGTGCGAGAACCAACTTGAACTTTTTATTTGGTTTACTCTGTAAACTGAAATATGTATTCAATTTCATTTAGTCAATCTAATCATATCGATTATTCCTATCTGGCACACAGGAAACGAAGATACGAACAACGAGTCTGCGACACCGAACGCGTCCACTGCGATGGGAAGCAATGACACGGGCCGAAAGCGAGAGTTCGCCAGAATTTACCGGGAAATGCGGAACGCTCGGAAACTGAAGGCATCTTCATCTGGCACCGACATCAAAGCCGCAAAACGAACACCAGAAACTGACTCAAATCCATAGAAAGCAAACTCAACCAGAATGACAGAAATTAAATTTCATTGGAAAAATATTTATTAGAATTTATAATAAAAATCGTATTTGAAAAATGTGTGAAACACATCTCTGTATTCAAATAATAAAAATGTGAAAAAAAAATAATGATTAAATTTCAGATCAAAAATAGTCAACAGTTGTTACAATTATATTGGATGTCTTCTGCAAGTTTAAAATGTCATGACCTTTGCAGTAATTTTATAAACCTTTTCAGTAATTATAAGCCAAGTGCATGCATAATAATCAACTAGTGAAGCTTTGCGGTAACACCATGTAGAAATCTCTCTTCGGAAGATGCACTATGTGTGGTTCTGAAAGAACCGGTTGCATGGTTGTAAAACTTGACGTTCTCCTGAAGACGACCAGAGCATATGGATTGCAACGTCGACTTTTACAACCAACCGGTTCTTTTCAGAACCACACGTCTTCCCAAAAGTTTCTACATTGGCGTTACCGCAACCCTCACTAGTTCATACCACCACCATGCAAACTTTCAAATCTTATTAACATAAGATCGTTAAACTTGTCATTTATTTGCACAATAATGTTCACATATCTTGACTTTATTTACAAAACTGTTTAACCACATCTTATTAAACATTCGAATCCATTTGTTACCAAATTAAATCAATGTGTATGCAATACTTCAATATCTTGTACCGTACTATGATCATTCACTACCTCAGTACAGATCTATTTTCAAAAAAAATCCTTTAGAAATGATAAGCGAAATTGAAAATAAAATCGTGTGGCAACTAATAAAGTTGTGATGATTTTGTGATTTGTTTCGTACACGACGCCTCCATGGTTTTTCTTTTAAGCGTTACTCGGGCTTAGTATTACTTTCCAAAACGTGACACTAGTATTATAGTAAACTGTCATTAAAGTATTAAAACATATAGCAGCTAACGACAACATGAAAAACCAATCTATAGCGATTCCTGCTCGATATTAGTTTATGAAAATAATGCAATGTCTTTATTATCGGTTGCAACTTTGAGTCAAATACAATTGCCTTAAGATAATTTCATATTGATGCAACTACAAAATACAAAAGCACCGATTGTTTCAAAGACAGTAATTAGGAGCCGACATTGGAATGGATATATCCCCAATGTCAATCGCTAGCTCTATCCTCGGAGACTTGCAGCTCCGGTTAGGCACACTTCCTATAATTGTTCCGTTATCTCAACAATTCTAATTAACCTCCTTTGCAAACATGCATTCTGGGCAAAGTTGTCCTTTCAATCAAAATCAATCAAGTGCTCCCTGCCTATACGTAAAGCAGGATTGACTGGCTGGGACTGTTTGTGTAGCTTGATACAGCTATGCTTTGACTGTAGGTGATTGATAAGACACCTGTGTCAACCAATTGCCTGCTTTTGTATTTTGACTGAATTTGACTGGTCAGAGTGCTTGCTTAAAGTTTAATCCGACTGTTGGTGACTAGACGTGTAAACAGCATGAGGGGAAGTGAATAGAATTTTTGACTGTCTGTGACTATTGAAACAGTAGTTAAATTAAGTACACTTTGAATATTATAATTTGTTAATTGGTCTACATTTCAAAAGTGGTTCAGTTTGGGCGAAGCTTCAGACAAACGACTTCTACAGCTTGTGGGCCGGTTGGGATGCCATCTTCTGAAGTAGGTCGGCCGGGTACCAGTGTGTACTGTAAGCTGTCAAAGATACAAAATAAAAATGACACCAAAGTTATGTTTGTACAAAACATTTCACAAAGTGAACTAAAATTGTTGATTCCTTGCGATTTCCAATATTTCGATTTAACCGACTCAACTAAATGAGATACCTATGTAGACTAATTGAACAAATCGTTTTAACTCTCCTATATGAATCTTTCATCTTGGCTATCACATGATTTCTTTGCTTTCAAATTTGCATCTTAGATGCATAAGGGTGTGTATCTTATATACTTTCAAGATGTCTTCTTCAAATATGTTTTCAGATATATTGCTATTTGTAATCTTTTCTGTCTACTTCGCATATCTAAAATAACTAGTGTCAAAAAATTGAATAATTTTTTTTTAAAGAACAAACAAATGGCATCTTTCATTTTCACGACTACAAAACTTGAAAGTTTAAAATGCTTTTTCTCAGTATTTTACTTTTGTTGACAAGTCGATAAATGCAAACTTTAAACAGCCATAACTTGTCAACAGAATGTCTGATTGAAGAGCAACAAACAGTATTGTAAAGAGAATTGTATGCTCTTTCGTTACACCCCAAACTTCATTTCGACCTCTGCCCGGTTCTGCCTCATTTCGCCTGAATGGCTGACATTTGTGTTTTCTCTGTGATACTTACGGAATTGTTTCTGGTAGTGCAGGATCCGCTCGTACACTCGCTGAAGTCCAACCTGTTTGGCATAGAACATGGGTCCGCCTGTGTGCCGTGGCCAGCCATAGCCGTACAACCTAAGCCGTAGAAAATAGTAATGACATTCTACAACCAATGTAGCATTCTGCATAGCCTCTCATAATATAGCTTAGTCTCTAATATAGCTTAGCCTCTCATATAGCTTAGCCACACATCTTACAATGATCATGCGATTATACAGACTGTGGGTCACACACATAGCCTCTTGCACAAATTTAATTTATAGCAATGTAAATATGGAAGCTATTGCATATTTGTTTGGATCCAGCATTACGGAAGGGGGGGGGGCTGAAAATGGAGGCAAAACCAAATGTTACAACAAGGGCATATACTTGGTCATGTGGGTGAAAATTTCTGTCTTTGAAGTGATTAAATGACAAGTTGACAAGAAATGAGGGAAAAAGACAAGACGTACCTAAAAAAAAAAAATAATAAAATAAGTGAAAAATGGGTGGGGGGGGGGGGGGGGGTGTGTGCTGGCTGCGCTGACCCTTCCCCCACCCCTGTGGATCCGCTACACTATTTATTGATATGTCTCATATAATCATATAAAGACTTCAGCAATGAATCAAGAATCTCAAGTATGAGACAGGGAGGACTATTATAATAGGAGGAACTCACCATGTGATGTCAATTTCTTCCATTGTCCTGGCGATTTCTTCCTGCAGGATTCTAAAGCCCTCATTGATGAGTGGGTACAGACATCGCTCGATAATTTCCTAGCATGAAATGTTTTTGATAAAACTGCGTCAAGTGGGTGCCACCGGGTACTCACTGGGTATAACGGCTGTGACAGGTGGGGAACCTATAGGTGGTGGACTGGGTATCAATGTCAAGTGGGTACCACCGGGTACCTACTGGGTGTAAACGGTTGGGTAGGTGGGGAAACCTATAGATGGTGGCCTGGGTATCAATGTCAAGTGGGTACCACCGGGTACCTACTGGGTGTAAACGGTTGGGTAGGTGGGGAAACCTATAGATGGTGGCCTGGGTATCAATGTCAAGTCGGTACCACCGGGTACTTACTGGGTATAACGGATGTGACAGGTGGGGAAACCTATAGATGGTGGCCTGGGTATCAATGTCAAGTGGGTACCACCGGGTACTTACTGGGTATAACGGATGTGGTAGGTGGGGATAGCTAGGTGGTGGCCTGGGTATCAATGTCAAGTGGGTACCACCGGGTACTTACTGGGTATAACAGATGTGACAGGTGGGGATACCTAGGTGGCGGCCTGGGTATCACAATGGGAGTGGCAAAACATTTTAAGAAAAAGCCCCGAATTCCAAAACCCTTTGACCTATAGTCATGAAATTTCTTGGGTATGTTCATGGTGAGTTGCTCTATGCATGTACTGAGTTTCAAAATTTTTCGTTACTCAATGGCCGAGATCTTGGGATCCCCCCACCCTCCGGCTGAGAGATGGTCAGAATAACCCGGCCCTTTTAGGGTTAATATGGGTTCGCTTAGTTTTCAATGGGAGCCTTTCACAGATATTACCTCAGCATAAATCTGTCTGCGCTTGATGCCATGTTTCTCAGAGAAGTCCAGGATGAGTTGTTCTACTTCTGGATCTCTTTGTGGCATTCGGCCGCCTGGCTTGCCGTAGTTATAAAAGCCCTTGCCTAACATAACGCAGGAATAAAACATAGGAGGCAATGTGCAATATACTGCTTTCAAATACTTTTCAATTAATTGATTGGTATATTTATTAGGAGAGTTTCTAATATAACTTTTTGGCTGAACACTTGCTTTTTAATTTATAATATGAAATTATTACTAAATGATTATGTTTGTCTTCTACAAATTTGATCCGTTCAAAATTGTTTTGCACGGACAATTTTAATTGTTTGAAGAAGTGCACTTTTCCATAAAATTAACAAAAAATGGATGTCAAATAGTTTTCATACATTTAAAAGGAGGAGAAAGTTGCACAAATATATATACTTCATCTCATGGACCCCTTAATAATTTTACTGATTTACAAAGAAAGTTGACCTGTAACTCTACATACAGTTATTGTTGTTACTTACCAATGCTCATTTGCAGTAAACATTGTCAACTGTCAATACTGGGTGAGTCCCGCAGCTAATGTAACGCTAATCGTTCTCAGAAAAACGCAACTGCAGAATTCCCGCTGCTAGCACAGCAAACTAACGATCATATATGATGTTGAATTCAAATAACTGGCAGAATAACCCATGAACACGGTGACATATATTGCACCTACCTGTTTTTTGTCCCAGTCGTCCTTTCTCAACCAGCATATCTGCCAGTGGGCTGTAGCGCTGGCCGTTTCGGTATCGGGCCGGCTTACTGCCGTCGGTGTCAATCAGGCCACGCTCTGTGCGTCCCTTGTAACCAATATCCAAACCTGAATCAAAACATCAGCAGGTAACTCACGTTTGCAAGCCATCCATTTCTTTTCTCCATTTTTCATCATTTCCACTCTTTCACAAAAAGTACTCTTTTTTTCTGGACCCCCTTCCCCCTTCTCCAAGAAAAGGGGGTGGGTAACTGTCTTTCAAACTATTTTCAGCGCTGCCAACTTTGAGCAAGAGCTGAGAGTGAGAATTTGACCCTGGAGCTTGATCGGGATAAATCATGCGCGAATCCCTACGGACGTGGGTACGAGGCTCGCTTAAGGGCCCCAAAAACTTGCAGATGACAGCCTGAGCCTGCCTGGTATCGAGGCTCATGAAAAACAATCCTGGACCTGGGTCCGGTCAATGTCAAAATAATCTCGGCACGAAGTGGTTAAAGTAGCTTTCATAGACACAGATGATGATTTCTCTGCTTATCATGGAGGTAGGTATTATCATGATTTGAAGTTATTTTTAAAAAGTGTACATGGCCCCCTTTTTTCCTGTGTATATTCACCAGATAGGTCCGACATTTGGAACATGCCCATGGGCAGTCCAAAGTCTCGCAGTGCCTGGTCCACTTCATGGGGTAGGCAGCCTTCCTCTAGCAAAAACGAAGCCTGTGGAAATGATGGAATCGGCATTGAAATAAATAGAGTCACTACTGACAGAAAAACCAAAAATTCACAAAAAGATGAGAATTCAATGTATTGGAGAACAAATTTGTGCAAATTGTTCGACTATACAGCCTAACTAAAGGTCACTTCCCTTCACCATATGACATGGCATCATTTGCAAGAATATCCAACTTTCTTTAAGATCCATGGGCGTCGTGGGGGGGGGGACCTCCCTTCACCCACTCCAGAAAAGCCACCCCCCCCCCCCAAAAAAAAAGGGACCGTCAAAGGAGGTGAATTTTTTTTTTTTTTAAAGGCAAGAGGCGAATCATATTGTTAATTTATTGAATACTTAACAACATGGACCTTTTTTAGGAAGTGTCGAGTGATATGTCTAGCACCCCCTCTCGATATTTCCACAGCCGGTGATCATCTTTCACTTCTGCTGAGTGTTTGTCTACAAAAAATCCTCGCAATGCCCATGTTCACATCTGATTATTATTTTCCGTTCCCCTGAGTGCAATATCTTAAAGGTGGCGTTTAGAAGCACAACTCCATTGTGAGACACTTACTTCTGTAGCGTATGCACCAAGCATCCGGTTGCCTACAAAACCAGAGCAGTTCCCCACAAGCACTCCGACCTGAAAATTACAACAAGTCCAATTTCAGATATCTATGTTTGTTATCATTGTTAAATTAAGAAGATTAAGAAATGTTTCTTTGAATTCTTCCTGGAAGGAACATTGTGAAACCGTCCGTTAGATAATACTTCAGATTCAAGATGGAATGGGAGATAAGATCAACTGCTTTTAACAAATGGCAATAATGGCGGAAAATGTTTTGGAGTTTGGGACGCCAGAACAGAAAGGAAAAAAGATTGAAAGCAGAAAAAAAAATGAAATCTCACAAACAAGCAATCTGTTCTGACCTTGCCCATTTTCTTGGTCAGATCCATGACGGTTGCCATGGCAACAGCCGACGTCTTTTTGCCGTAGATGTTCTCTACGAGTCTCATGATGTGAGCGGGGGCGAAGAAGTGCATGCCGATCACGTTCTCAGGCCGTTTTGTTGCAGATGCCATCTATAAAAAATGGTATAAATAGATTATGTTGCATTTTAAGGGATTCTTAAAAGTGAAAAGGCTAAGTCTTCTTCCCATAGACATATGTTACAGCAAGCCACAGCCACTGGACATAGCCCAACATGTACCTGATCGATATCCAGTCCCGACGTATTGCTGGCCAAGATGGCGGAGGGCTTACAGACAGCGTCTAGCTTGCCAAACACTTCCTGTTTGATCTTCATGTTCTCAAAGACTGCCTCGATGACGATGTCTACGTCTTTCAGGTCTCCGTAGCTCAGCGTCGGTTTCAAGAGGGCCTGGAGCTTCTTAGCCTGGGGGGCGCCCATTCGACCCTTTACTACGTAGTAACCCAGGAAGCTTTTTACCGTGTCTACACCACGTTGCAGAAACTGTAAGGGATACATAAGACTTTAGGCCATATTACACTCACGGTTTTTGCGTCAATGTTTTGGATTGCGCTCAAAAACAGCATCTTGCACACGTTCTCATTCAGCTGATTGCAGGTACACGATGTCATGCACTGAACCGACAAACAAGAGCACACACTCTTGTTTTACTATACTCTCAAGGACAATGCTTTGTGTTTCCTTTGTCCCTGTAATATAACACTCTCCCATAGACTAAGCACACAAACTTTCTACAGAGGACCGTTTCCAACAAAAGACCCAACTCCCGAGGACTGAAAGGATCTGTTGTTATCCCTTTTGACAGATACTTTTGGGATAGCTGCAAATAATCTACTCTAACTTTAAAAAAAAGGTAAGGGGAGTATTTGCTGAACTTACCTCATCATTCCGTTCAATCATGAATGTTGGGATACCGGCTGATAGGAGAGACATAGCGATACCTGCTCCCATGGTTCCCGCACCAATCACTGCGGCTGACTTAATGGCGAGAGGCTTGGCCGTTTTGAAGCCGACACCGCGACTTGGTACCTCCCACTGTCAATAAAGGACATATACTTGACAGCATATAACCACAGACAAATACAGTTTGACGGTCACACCTAAAGAACATACCCCTCTATAATAATCTTACCTTAGTAACCGCACGTTCAGCAAAGAATGCATACTGCTGTGCTCTAGCTTGTCCTGATGTCATTAACATCATCATCAACTCACTCTCTCTAATAAAACAAGACAACCATGTTATTCACAATACCTTCTCAAGACAATCGGCTACATCTTGCATTTAGCCAACTGGCTCAATGGCAAATCAAGTGGGAGATTCTTGAGCTCAATGGTAGGCCTACTTACTTTCGCAGACCCTGGGCATAGGTAGGACTAGTGACTGCCGCCTCCACAGACTGTAAGCAGGTCAGGGGTGCGATGGCACCACGCGATGACTTGATCAACTTGGCACGCATCTCTGACACAGAAAAAATGTCATTCACAAATTTGGAAAATGTCAGGATTTGGCACAGTACCCATGTGCATTTTTTAACAAAAAAATGATGGAGGAGACAGGATTTGAACCTTAAATCAACCAATGGACAGTGCAGACTTCAAATTGCTTGGATAATTTTAACCCTCCAATACAGTCTGTGCAAAGTTGTCCTTTCAGTCAAAATCAACCAAGCGACTGTTTTCAACAGTTAAGAGCTCCCAGCCTGCACAAAGCAGGATTGACTGGCTGTGACTGTTTAGGCAACTCGCTGCAGCTATGCTTCGACCGTACGTGATTGATTAGCCAGCTGTGCCACCACTTGCCTGGCTTTGTCTGTTGACTGAATTTGACTAGTCACGGTGCTTAATTGAAATATGATCTGACTGTTGGTGACTAGCCTGTGTAAACGGCACGGCAGGGTTAGAGGATTGATTTTTTGACTGTCTGTGATTGTTCAGACAGCAGGAGGGTTTACAATGGTCATGTGAGAAAACAAGGATACTACATGTACATGGAGATGCTTACCGTCAAAGATTTGTCGCACATTTGCCGGGGCGTTGACTTTCATCTGACTGATGCGTCTTGGAGCGACAGGCTTACCGGCAACAGACTTAGCGAAAGCGATTCCTTGCTTGACAATGTCACCCTCCACAACCTGCAAAATAAGCAGTCATGTTTTCCATTGTTTCAATAGGACTAATGATTGTTAAATTTCAGCAAAGCAAACTTTCAGCAAAGAAGGGGGGGGGGGGAGTTAGAGCAGCTTGACAAAATATGCAAAGTAATTTTCAAAATTTTCCATCCAAAGATAGTCTAACAGATAAACAACCCCAATAAGCCAGTTCGGTATTCCAAAATAGTCTGGTGCACAGCAAGATTCGATGATTTCTTTTTCGGGATAAACGTGGCAGTTAAATGCACATAAGACTTTGGGGGACGTGGTAACCAAATCTGCGTTCTGTGCAATTTTTCGTGTAGTGGAAAGGAGATGGAACTTTCGTTCCTACAAAAGTTTCGACACACAAGACACCTCAAACACTTCGCTGTCCAAAGGTTTTTAGCAAAAAATGTTATACATGTACTTCAGAACACGATGATTACTTTAAGTTTGCTGGTACCCTGCTATGCTTTTGCAAGCATATGATGAAAGTTTTATCCCGAAAGAAAAATCGGCAAATCTTGATGTGCACAGGCGCAGTTGGAATTCCGAACTCGCTTATTGTTTTAACTTCTGAAAAAGATTACCCATACTGACATAACTTAATGAACTGCACAGGAAGCTAAATCAGGACACAACGATCAACTTCTCATCAACTTCTGTTATCTTCAAATTTAATTGGAAAAAAAAATAAATTGACAACCAACTCTTGCTGACTGACCTGATCAACAATTCCTTTAGCGAGGGCGGCCCTGGCAGACAGTGGTTTGCCTGACGTGATTATCTCCAGGGCGTCGGCTATCCCTGTCACTCGAGGCAATCGTTGGGTTCCTGTTCCCCCTGGTAGGATACCCAGAGTCACCTCGGGAAAGCCAACTCTGTTGGTCAACAAAACACTCAGAGATTATATACCCCACGAGACTTAAAGGAGGGGAGTGTGGCCTAGTGGTTAGGGTTCGTGACTCATGATCAGAGGGTCAGGGGTTCGAATGCAGTTGCTGGTCATATATTGTGTCCTTGGGCAAGCCACTTCACCCCACTTGCCTGTCACCACCCAGGAGTATAAATTGGATACCGGTATTAGCTGGGGAGTACTGTGATGGACTAGCAACCCATCCAGGGGGAGCCGAAATATTCTCAGTCGTTTCATGCTACTGAAACTGGAGATAAACGCCGGCCTGATGGGCCACATTGGCTCGTGACAGACTCTATTCTTTAAACACTGTTTACCTTCCATCCTTCCTGATGATACGATAGTGACATCCCAGGGCTAACTCTAGTCCTCCTCCGAGTGCCGTTCCATGGATGGCTGCCACGACCGGTTTGTCTGTGGCTTCGATGGCATGGATCACATCAACCAAGGAGGGTCCTACGATAGAACAGACAAAGTATTGAACACTGCACCGACATGACACTACCGTTCAGATATAGTCTTGGCCAAAGTCTTGGCCCTCGCACTAACGTCCTGGGCAATTTGCAGCAATTGGGGCGTGGCCATTTTATGTAAATTAGACCAATGGTATATATTAATATCTTCGAACAAAAACGGCCACTCCCAATTTGATACCGGTAGTCACATGCTTGCGCGGGGGTATTGCTGCGTTGCATATTTATTTAGCGATGTTTTATCACTGCACATAGCACGTATGTTGAGTGCGCGCACCTGACTATAAACCATTTCGCGATAACCAATTGGTTCCCTGAGAAAGCCTAGGGAGAAAAAAAAGAAAACAGTTAAACAGCTACTACAGAATTCCCAAGACGTTAGTGGGAGCAGGCGCGCTAGTCTAATCGTACCGTTAGACATACACGATCCACTATCGATCACTAGCATCTTGGGCCAAGACTTCAGATTTGAAAATAAGAACTCAATCTATGCGATGATGCACTCTTTCTCTGGTTGTTGAGAGAGTAGGCCCTATGGATCTATATTTACAGTTCTTCCACTGAGTTCACAACTTACCCATTCCAGCTTTATTAGTGCCAAACTCTGAAATATCAGCTCCAGCTGGGAATGTCCGACCGTCACCACACAGAACGATGCATCGGATGGACGAGTTACGACTTGCTCTCTGGACAAGGCAGAAAGCACAGAACCATGCACGTGGGTGAAACATATTCAGTTACTGACAATTGCCATGTCTAGCCAATGCAAAGATTATGTGATTATCTCTATAAAGGGGGTGTTGCAAATTTATCATGGAACCAGAGGTTTACTAGACATCTGCTTATCGGACATAACGTTATAAGAATAAAGAGGCACAAATACGTTTAGGATTCTGAATCCTTCCTACCTGGATACAGTCCCAGATGCCCTTTCTGACGGGAAATCTAAAAAAAAAAGACAATAAATTATTACATGAGCATCACTCAACATCAAATCTAAAATCATGCTTTAGTTGTTAGTAAGATGCTACTGGAGAACATTATGTCATGTCTCCTGTTCTCATCAATTAAATTATATTTGACTCACCCTAGAGCATTCACAGGTGGATATTTCACTCTCACAACTCCAACGTCCCCTACAGTTGAAAGCTCAGCCATCTTGAAGTTAGACCTAACAGTTACCTGCAGATGGAGAATTACAACGAAGCAATTCAAGACGCACTAATCACGTAATGTACACGACAGTTCATGTTTTCAAGACTGGTTTCCAGTCCACCCACTGCATACATTGTATTTCGAATGGGGAGGGGATTAGTCTGGGAGACCATCCTAAGTAAAATTCGAATGTATTCACGCACCGACGACACCCAACGTCACACAAAGCTTGCTGTGTGTGGCAGTGGCTATTCAGAAAATCATGCATAGGCCTACTTCGTCTTGTTCGTGCGCGAACCAGTGCAGTGCAGTACGCACACCCTGTGTGTCCTGTCCATGGCTCTCAAAGCATGGAGGAAGGTGGCAAAAACGCGCCCTCTTTGTAGCTGGTGCATGGAGCCCATGGGACCGTAGTAAACATTTACGGGCTGCCCTGTCATTGTCAAGCGCAGCGCTAGGCCTATACAAAATTACACGCGGGCGCGCGGTTTAGCATGACTTGTCACCTAAACTCATGACATTGACACTGCACTCTGCAGTCGGCATGGTCGGCTGTCATGACAGTCATGCAATCAAAAATGTAAAGAAAAATAAGTAATTACCAATCGGTTAATTGTGCTTAGTCAGGAACCGAATGCGATGCAGCTAGCCCACACACACAGATAAGGATTGATGACATTGAATCAAAGATAAGAAAGTTAACTATTGACAGAACAAACTCACGCAAACTCACCGTACCCAAGCAGTCAACACACCGAGCGCCACCAACAGTTTGAATTGTGTCACGTCTCGATGTCAAAAGGGGGCGTGGTTAACTGATACCGACCACACATTATCGTGGAACGTCCCTCGGTCAGGATCGGGATGGAGTTCAGGTCCTGTGCTTATATAGTGGCTAGAACAGCGATGTTTTGTCTCCATACTCGGATCAATGGTCCGAGTCCAATTGCATACCTAATCGTTATCAGCGGCGTAGCTACGGGGGGCGTGGGGGGGGGGGCGCACCCCCTAATAACGCCGCCCCCCCCCCCTCGGCCCACTTGAAGTTAAGCAATTGGAAACGTCCCGTTGAACGCGTATAGCGATACCAATGACTATGAATTGTGTTTTGAACAGCGCCCCAATTGAAAGAAGTTGTCACCTCCCCCCCCCCCACCAAACTAATTGATTTTACGGGAGGTCTGCCTTTGAGCACGGACAAATTTGGGCGTCGCAAACCGAGGCTACACTATAACATCCACCCCCCCCCCCCCCCCCCAAATACACCCCCCCCCCTCCCAGGATGAGAACCCTGGCTATACGCCGCTGATCTTTACTAACACCACAAAATGACAACCAGCACCTTTATTATCAGCGTTTATTATTAGAATGACGTGCATAATTATTATGGTTATCGGGATGGGAACAACTTTAAAGTCGAAACGTAAATCAAATTTTGATTTTGTCAGAGCGCCCTTGTTTATGATTGTCAGCTATACCAGCAATTTATTCCAGTTGTTATCACTAAAACCAGAAAAGTAGAAAAGGACAAGATGAAATACAATTAGCTCATTCTGGCAAAGTTTGTCTAAGCTAGTTAGACAGATTTACTCTGAACGTTCGTTTCTCTTTTGAACTAGATCGCCACAAATTACATCCTAATATTTCGCTAGGTCCCCGGCGAGACGATAGAGTGCAGCATCACATGATGGAATCCAACGAGAAGAAACCGCTCTTCCTTAAAGAAGACACTATGCGCTCAAAATCAAACGATGGGTAAGATTTTCTTTGCTGTCGTTTGCTGCAAACTGATCCAGCATAGAGCCGAAATAAACTTTGAGTGGAGCATAAAAAGACATGTGGCGTTATCAGTCGGTTACTGTTCAGGTTCCAGTTCATCCGGTAGCAATAGCTATATTGTTTTTCAATATTATTGTAGAAACGAAGAGCCTGGTTCGACTTCCAATCTGACTCCTTCATCAAGCGGCTATTCAGCAATCGCAGGGTATGTTTTACCGGGCGGCGATTCGGCAGTAGGACCCGGGTCATCTCTCCCTCGATTCATCACACCGATCACGCTCGTCTGGACGAACATCTCCGTGACATTGGAACCAGCACCGAAGCGATGCAGGTGGTTCGCGGGGAGTACGGAGTCGGATGACCGATCCAAGGTTATCTTGAGAGACGGTGAGTATTCGGATATTGTATTGGCCCCAGGCCTATTCGGCGGTGCTATAGTGCTGGGGGCAATTAGTCGGCACGATCACTTTTTTTGCCAGCTGGATTATTTGGCTGTTTGGCTGACTAACAATTTGATAATAAATTGTAAATTTCTCCTACCGTTTGACAGTGTCTGGAGTTGCTGAGCCAGGAACGTTGACGGCAATCATGGGCGCCAGGTAGGTCAACGCTGCAGGTCAAAGAAAACGCAGATTTATGACGAGATTGACAATGTTCATGGGATGTGCAGAATTGAGGTCTAATTTCTCGACTTTTTAAAAAGTAGATCCCACATGCAGGCGCGGTTCTAGAACCAATATTTTTTTTTGGGGGGGGGGGCTAGCACGGTGGATCCAGACATTTTTTTCAGGGAGGCGTGCTGAAATGTTGACCGGTTATTTTTTCCAGACACTTAGGCCTCCGAAAATCAATAGGTGGTGGTGGTGGTGGGGGGGGGGGGGGGGGGCTCATGCCATATTTTCAACGGGGAGCGCCAATAAAATCCTAAAATCATTCACACTATAGCAAGGGCGGATCCAGAACACAATTTTATTGTGGGGGGCCCAAAAAAATGTTGGTCCCCCAAAAAAGTGGGTCCAAAAAATTACGGCGTGGGGTTCGGGGCCCGCTTAAGGGCCCCGAACAATTTTTGGATTCTAGATGCTCTGTGGTGCGATCTGAGGCAATTTCTGACCACTTTAACCAATTGTTTTTGAGGAAAAGATAGTGGTGTACTCATTGCCTGCCTTTATTGCGATGTCACATAAAAAAAAATTAAAAATTGGTTTAGTTTTTTTTTTTTGGGGGGGGGGCGATGGCCCCCTTTGGCCCCCCCTCCTGGATCCGCCCTTGCACTATATTAACTAATGCACCCTTGTCACGGCTATTTCTTCTTTAGGGGGAGACCGTTCACATGTACATTACAATCCTTCTTTTTGCTAATGCAATTTTTTTTACGGAATTTATTTTGGGGGGGGGCTAGACAAAATTTTGGGGGGGCTACAGCCCCCCCCCAGCCCCCCCCCCCCCCCCGTAGAACCACGCCTGCGGCCACATGATGTTATAGCATAAGTTTATAAAGTAGCATAAACACTTTTGCAATTACTCAACATAGCACCAAATGAGGAAAAAAGCTAGCCAGTATTGCTTTCGAACAAACAGTTATTTTGTTTCATCCCCCCACTCCCGTTAAGTGGATCGGGCAAATCATCGCTACTGAACGCCCTAACTGGCCGGAATGCGGACACCCTGACCGTGACTGGTCAGATACAAGTCAACGGGACCGAAGTAGACGGATCGCTGGCTGGGATTTCAGCCTATGTCCAGCAAAACGATCTCTTCATGGAGTGGTTGACCGTCAAGGAACACCTGTTGTTTCAGGTATACAAGAAATTGAAATAACAATTTCGATGAAGAAATAATGGGTAAAATCAAAGTTCGGCCAGTCCCATCGAAAGATGTAAACAGTTTGTCTGATACTTTCGTTAACCTTTAATTTTTTTACTGGAAATAAATTATTGTCTACCTGAAACACGCCTGTGTGTTGTACGTTTCTACAGGCTTCGGTGAGAATGGACAACTCGGCCTCGACCGAAGAGCGACGCCAACGTGTGGATGAAGTAATTCGCTCTGTAAGCTAATTATCCTTCTATCAATGATGTTAATTAACGATACACAATTCAATCTCTCGTTTGTGTTTCTCATTCCAACCATGCAGGTGTGTGGTCCCCCCCCCCCATGTTTTTTTCTTGTTCCTCTGTCATTTGCCTCTGAAAAGTCCCCTGCTAAGGATGAAATGTTACGCTGCTAGCTCCGGGTAGCAGCTCAAAAAATCATCATGTCTCAACCAAACTTTGAAAGCCCAGCCCCAACATGCAGTTACCAAACATGTCTCTCCGATTAGGCTTAGTTAGTTAGTAAATTAGTTAGTTACAACCGTTGACATGGTCTATTGCTGCTAAAAACTTCGACCGATTTCAACCAAACTTTGTCAAAAGTATCAGGAGCCCAGCCCCAACATGCAGTTACCAAACTGTGGTCAAAGGTCGTCATCGGGTCACTGGGGTCAAAAACCTGATTGTTATTTCACTCAAAACACTTCTCCTTTCAGAAATTACATGGCACAATCACGTGACTCATGAATGAACACGAATTCGTTGGCCCGCAGCTTCCGAGATCCGATCGAGCTTGTTTGAAAAACAATTCTTATATACGACAAACGTTAATTATGTCGAATTTATGATTACAGTTAAAAGAAGACTTATGGTAATCAAATCATTGTTGTGCATTATTCGTCATTATTAGGTCGGTCTGAGCAGGTGTATGGACACAGTCATCGGTAACCCACAGCGTGGAGTCAGTGGAATATCGGGTGGAGAAAGGAAACGACTTGCGTTTGCTTCAGAAGTACGCAGACAGGAGCTACATCTCAAACACAGTTTCTTAAACTTGTTGATATCAAAATAATACTGATCCTGCATTACAAAAATAGTGCTGTCATCCAACATTTCATTTGTAGCCTTACTATAATTATGTCTTGCTTGGAAGTTTTATTGTAAACGTCTGCCATGGAAGCAACGCTTTTGCTTGTTTGCACGAGCAGAGTGTCAAAGAAAGTTTAATCTCGATTAGTACCATTTCCATGTGCCGTTATTCTTTCGAAAGTCTCCGTTTTAAAAGACCTTCTCATGTCAACCTTCCCGTCTTTTTCATTTGCTATGCTAGTAGTGTGACCCATTGCGGATGAATATTGACCACATTGGAGTGATCACGTTTCACTTTACCCCTCAGGTGTTGACCAACCCCTCCTTACTGTTCTGTGATGAGCCTACCACGGGACTAGATTCCTACATGGCACACAGCGTGGTCTCAACACTGAAGAACTTAGCGAGTGATGACGGTCGTACAGTCATGTGTACAATACATCAACCACCATCGGCGATTTACCGCATGTTCGATAGGTAATTAGCCCAGATAGACCCTGTTGTCCGTGACATCATGCCGACAGGAAACCGCAGGGAAACCCAAACATTTAAGCATCTTTTGTGTGTTATTTGACCCACATTAAACAATTTATTTCAACACTTTTAAAGTATTCATAATTTCAAGAGATATACATGCTGTGAAGAAGAGAACCGTTTGCTGAAAGTTTGCATGTCACGTGACCACAATTTCCAATGTGTAAACAAATTACACAGGGTGTATTGTTACACAGTTAATTATGGTGTAGATTTTGGGAATGTTGTCACGCCATTTACGACTTCTTTACATGTACCGATTCGTGAAGAGATGACAGGTCATGATTGTTTTCGTACACATTTCAATGATAGGTTAATTCTTGTCGCTCAGGGCGCGATTGCTTTTGAAGGAAGCCCGAAAGATGCCGCTGCCTTTTTTGAAAGGTGAGTTGCCGTTGATTATTTTGTGCCCCATTTACAGATTGGATTAAATTCCAAACTGTGTTCCAGGTGCCACTATAGCTAGGAGATTCGAATAGTCTTAGTCCTAGCTAAAATTTGAAAACATATTTGTCTAAACCTCATTGTTTTTGACACTTAACTGTATTGTTCTTTCAGCTTGGGACATTCGTGTCCACCAAATTACAATCCCGCTGACTACTTTATCAAGACTCTTGCCATTAGGCCGTCGGAGGGGGAACAATGCCGACAGAGAGTCCAGGTACCAGATTAAAAAAAATAACGTGTCAAAAACTTGGTCGACACCGACGTTGGTCAACATTACATGCCTATATACCTGGCTCAGTATGTAGATGATTAGTAACTACTTAATAACAATTGTATCACTCTCGTAACTGAGCTTTTAGACTAACCATTGAAGAAAACTTGTCATTCTTATTCAGGAGATAACGGCAGCTTTCTTGAAGTCACCATACTTTGATGCAATAAAAGAGAAAAGTCTGTCACACTGCAACCAGGATATGGTACGGTTATCTCTTGACATTTGTCATCATTCATATAATAGCCACCATCATTATCGAAGATAACGAAAGATGAACATAATCAAAAATATAAACGCGTGTGTTTTTTTATAAAATCATTATTTACAGAAACAAGATGGATTTACATCTACAGCCGCTGAATCGCCGTAAGTGGAATGGGTCATATTAGTTTAGAGCGTTTTTACGAACCATGTGCTATAAAAGTTATCATTATTCGCTGGATGTAATAATTCGCTATATCAATTTAGTTAATGTATGGATTCATTTTCAAGAATTAAATGGAAAATGCAAGTATAGTTGAAAATTGTGGGGTTTTCTTTGTCCTAGCTACAAGGCTTCTTGGTGGCGCCAATTCACGGCTTGCGTGAGGAGAGCCTACCTGAGCAACAAGCGGGAACCATTAACATCCAAGATACGTCTTGTGCAGTCAATAGTAAGGCATGTCCTTCTAAATACTATATGCTGTCGCCAGGGATGTCCTTCCAACTATCTATGAATTACATTCCATACTCACCTAGAAGCAAAATAAGGTCGCCTGCCATCATACAGTTATCTGCCCACAACGTATTAGCCCCTCAGTTGAAGATACACAGTACTAAGTATCTAGCCCAATTCGGCGAACTCATTTAAAAAGCCATTTCTGAGGAGGGCGCGATGCGGCAGGTGGTATGGTACGCGCGTTCTCATTCTCCGACCAATGGGGTTATCAAATTTGCGCGCGCCTCGACTTTAAGAGCGCGTGTGGTATGCGCGCGCGTGTTAGCACCTGTTAATGGCATCTGTTGTGTTCGCCGGATTAGTCTTAAAAAAGGCAAAAGTTTAAATGCCTCAAGTTTTTATTTTGCTGTCCTTTTCTGGAAGGTTCTTGGTCTCATACTTGGCCTTGTGTTCCTTCAAGGGAAGATCGACCAAGATGGAGTCCAGAACATAACTGGTGTCCTGTTCCTGCTGGTGTCCAACTCGGCATTCGCGAACACTTTCACAACAGTCCAGGTGTGTGAACACGGATTAGCATTTGGTCATGTTGACCTCCATCCAGCTCTCGAATGTTAAGCTGAACTGTGAAAAACGTCACAAATGTCACCAATTTTGCACTTGTAATTATTTTGTGGTCTCTTCTGACGATTTATCAAGATCTGATTAAACACTGAACTTAATTTCAGGTCATACCCAATGAAATTGCTCTGATGAAGAGAGAGCATTACAGCGGTATGTACAGAGTTGACGCTTGGTTCCTTGCGAAGTTCGTCACGGAGGTAAATACCCATTCATATCTACATGAAATTACTATATAAACTTTATTATTTTGCTCTTTAATTACCATTTGGCAGTTATAATAGGCAATAATATTGTTTCCCTCTTTTTTTCTTCTTTTGCAGCTTCCGGTCCACGTAATTCTGCTTCCGTTGATTCTAGTCCTCATTCCATACTGGATGATTGGTAAGGCAATTAAATGCCGTAATTAAGCACTTTGTAAATACATTTGATAAATTTGTTCTCGGAATTATAATACGTGCCGAGCCGAATGTGCAATCTTTCTGTGGCTACAAAACTCTGAAAACAAAAAGAAATTTAAACAAAATTAAATTAAGGTTTTCAATTAATGTGAGGCGTTCTGGCAAAATGAGACAGAACTGGGCACAGGCCATAGTGGAGAAAAATGCAGAAAACTGAATGGAATAAAATAAGAGTGAAGGGGCGTGATTTCTTTCAATTTTTAGATCTATTGATTTTTGTTATCTTTGATATGTCTACTACATACACACAATTAAAAAAAAAGTAGTATACATATCGTGGATTAAAGTGTTTTCAGGAAAAACAACTGGCATCTTTCATTTTCACAAGTACAAAACTCGAACGTAAAGGCCTTTTTTCTCAGTATTTAACTTTTTTGACATGTCGATAAAAGTGAATTTTAAAAAGCCATAACTTGTCAAAGGAATGTCCGATTGAGGTGCAACAAACACTATTGTAAGGAGAATTCATTTCTTTTTTATAATACCCGCAAAATCTCATATCAATGTTTGCATGTGTCTCACTTCGCTAGAACGGCTCACAAATTTCGTTAACAAAAATCAATATCCGTTTCACCCATCTTTCCAAAGATTTATAAAAGCTTTTGGCTCAAGATATGTCAATTGCATGAAAACTTTGAGCAACAGAGGTCAATAAGAATGAACACCTATATTATTGACATCTTAATTGTTATTCTTCCCATTTTTGTTTTTATTTTTTTGCCCGATTCAGGTCTGTATCCTGCTGCGGTTAATTTCTTCACAACCTACCTGGTTATTTGCCTGTCCACCGGTACGGCCATTTCCTTCGGTAAGGTCATAGAAAGCATTGGCTTATTTGTTGCAAATAAAAGGTTTAAATTTTGCTCGTTAAATTGAAGTGATGATAGCTTTAAACTGTATTAAAGGGGCATTAAGGCCTGGAATACGCCAAATTGGGCTATAAAACGTGTTTTAAACGTCGTGTCTGATGTAAACATGCAACCGTAATTTTCCCGTCTTTTTTTCGGGAACGGTAAGACATAGGTTAGTTTCTTTTTCAACCAGACCTTTAAAATATTATAGTTAACAATCCAAAACATGCCATTTTCGGGGAATTTTAGGCCGTAAAGCCCCTTTAAATGACAAGTGTGTTTTGTTTTCTTTTGCAGCGTATTTCTTGTCTTCTGTCAGTCGTTCCATTTCCATGGCCTTGGCTATAGCGCCCCCTTTCGCCTTTGCCTTTATGCTGCTTGGTGGTCTGTTTATTAACGTTGCGTAAGTATGCATCCCACTTAAGTTCATCTATTAATATGTCCAGCCGTCCGATGATCAGCCGTGAAAAAGACAGCACCTAATGGGAAGGAATTAGGCTTAATTTTATTATTATTTTTCTTGTCTTTGCAGAGACATTCCCGTGTGGCTAGGCTGGTTTTCCTATCTTTCTTGGTTCCGTTTTGGATTTGAGGCGTTGCTCATCAATGAATGGTCCAACATAGATGAAATTGGTAGGGTCAATATATTCAAATCAATACAAAGAAATTACATTCATTTACTTCAAATTGTAAAAATGAAACAGTTTTGCTTACTTAATTAATAAAATGTTGATGTACAAGTCTGGTACATCAACAATATATAGTTACCATAATTAAGACCTTATTATTCGGTGATCGTTGTGCATGCACTTTCAACCTTTCAGAGTGCCCATCAAACTGGACTGCCCCGTGCATTGAAGACGGTCAGATGGTGTTGGAGGCATTCTCCTTCAAAGAGGTAGGCGTCCGTGCGTGTTCCTTGTTTTACTTTTAGTGATTTCAGTTTCTATAATAGCCTAATATGACGGGTAAAACGAAACGACAGGTTGTCGATATCGAGGAAAAAAATTATAGGATTGTTCCTGAATGAAGATTCGAAAAGTTGTTCTCTTTCATTCTCAGAGTCATTTCGGCATGGATCTGTATTGCCTGGCTATCCTTTTCATTGGATTCCGCCTGCTAGCTTTCATCATTCTGCTGTACCGCTGCAGACGACAAGTGAAGCATTAGGAGTCGACGAATTAATACAAAAATAGTGTGGATGACATAGAATGAAAGTCATGGTGGGGGAAACTTAAGAGACCTTAAATAAAAGCAAATTATAGGCCCTATCGTAGTTTATATTTAACGTAAACTTATAGTACAACGTAAATGAATATGGGGCAGAGACATGGGCAGCAAGCAATGACCAAAGAGATGGAACAAAAATTGATAACAGCACAGAGAGCCATGCAAAGGAGAATGCTCAATCTATCATTACGGGACAAAATCAGACATACCTTCATAAGATAAACAAAACCCCAAAGGTCAAAGATATCATAGAGAAGATCAAGGAAATGAAATGGAGATGGACAGGGCACCTAGCAAGAAGACAAGACAACAGATGGACCAAGAGACTCACAGAATGGCAACCAAGGACAGGCAGAAGAAGAAGAGGCCGACAAAGGAGATGGAGAGATGAAATCGATCACCACATACATGAACACGTACGGCAACATGGAGTAGAATGACAAACAGAAGAGAATGGAAACTGCTTGAGGAGGGGTTCCTCCAACAATGGATGACCACCAGCTGGGTGGAGTCATAGTACATCATAGTAGTAATGTATTACTTTGACCTTAATTTGCATGTTTACCCAAAGTGGGCGTGGAAAGCTTTAGTGAAGCAATTTGGCAACATTCTTTTCATTATTAACGTTATATGTTTTGCGTAATTGCGATACTTTTGGAGTGTTTTACTAGAATGTTATGTAACTGTTGAAAGTCTGAAAGAAGCAAATTTGCCAAAAAAAAAATGAAAAGAAACAAATAAATATTTTTTGGCATATTATGCCAATTATGCCATAAGAGGACTCATAACATGTGACCTGGATAGACTGGACACCTCTCCACACGTTCCTTGCCTTTTACAAATAAGAACAGAGAAGAAAAAGTGACGGACACACAGAAAGGAAAGACAGACAATCAGAGTCAGACCGACAGAGCACCGGGAAAGGAAAATAAGAAATAACACAACCAATTAACCAACCAAAACTGTTACTGCAAATATCTTGTGGGAAAGTTGCTGTGAAAAAAAAATCGTTGGAGAAATTGGAATTGAAATGAATATGGTATTAATCTGAAACCATCCTTAAACCCATGAGGGGCATATGCTACATTATTATGGTGGCCAATTATAATATGTAATCCCCTGGGAATTAATTTTAGCGGGAGATTTTTATATAAGATTGAGAAAACCTCAACAACGGCCCACCCGGCCCACGCACAAGTGATGAGATTCTAATTTGGCAGGCTTTAAGATTGCACGGCCGATGACGTCATTTGCAGAGGTCCATCATGATGCGTGTTATGTTGTGTGTCCAACATTCGAAGTCCAAAGGGCAGTGGACACTGGAGGGACCGGCAGCCAGTCTATCTATTCTCGTCACTGCTAAATCGAAACAGCGCCCTCAAGTGCCATAAGCATCAGCATTGCAGCATTGTTTTTAGTGAAAAATTGGTAAGTAAAATGCCTTCACAACTGGATAATTTAGCCCCTAATTGCGGCTTGAACTGTCGCCAGTAGATTTCTGATATTTGCCACTGCTTAGTGAACAAAATGTATCATAAAGGGTTGTCTTTATGGTCCAGACAATGGGGTAAAAAATGATTGAATTCATTTTTTACCCCACGTCAAATCATCATTCGACAAACTAGGCCCTCTGCTGTGAACAGGCATGCATTGTTTGTGATTTTTTTAAAAAAGATTTTTGAGGCCATTTGAACAAACTCTTTCATGTCTGTGTTCAATCAACAAGTCTTGCCAATTCAAATAGCCTAGGCCTAAATAAAGTGCACATAATGACATATAAACAATTTTGCTTGCTACGTTAACTAACAAATGACTAGCAATATTAAAATAACGTCAATATCTTAAAACAATTTTTTTTTCAAACGAAGGAAAAGGTCAAGTTGAGTTTTGGCATCATGAGTTATCGAAGACCCTCGGCCCCACACGAGCCGTTCTGGCACTCTCCAGGCCAACGTGCACCATCGCCCTACCAGAGATTTCCTCTCGATGATTTCAATCAAAGCACAGACTTCGACGTGGAGGATTTTATTTTCCATAACGAGCGTCCAGCTAGTCACGGCTATGGGTATGAGCCTCACTACCAACCAGTGGCTGAGCCTCCTGAGTACAGACGACGCGAACCCAGCCCACTTTTCGGCCAAGGCCCCAACTGGACACAACATGGCCGCCAAGCAGGTCCCCCGGTTTACAACCACCACCCACGTGATGAAATGCACAACAGAAGGATGGGCACCAGTCAGCAAGCTGGCCCAACTTTCAACCAACCACCTCCACAGGCAAGGCAAGGACCACACCCCCAGCGTAATCCCCAGAAAGGCAGGGCACTAAACAGGGCCGACCCACTGCCTCCGCAAGCCCATCATGCACCACGGGCACGGAGTGAAGTCCGGCAAGTCAGAAAGCCAGAAGTTCCGCCCCCAGGAGTCGAAGAATTCACCTGTACTGATATTGCATCTAACATCGCAGAAGAGACACAACCACTCCCAGTTGCTCATCCGGGCCCGCCTCCTGAACCGCGCCAAGACACCTCCAAAGACAACGACAAGAAGAACGGGTCCAGTGATGACATCATCCTTCATCCCGTCACAAAAGTGCCAGTGAAAAGGAAACCCAATGGGACGTATGAGCTTGTCGAGGACGAGACAAAGAAGAAAGCGAAGAAAGCTCGCCCGCCGTCTCCTCCGCCTAGGCCTAAGAAACTGCCGGAGGAAATCGGGGATGGATGCTATTGTGAGGTACGGTGTTGTCTTTGCCATTTTCCAGAACCAAGCAAAAAGTGTTTTTGTTTTAACAAATTATTTACTTGTTGGTAGTTAAATAGGTCTGTTCAAATCCACATTTTATTTTTCTGTTGACTTTCCACCATCAATTACTTTGAAATTAAAACAATTAATGCGGCCAGAAATTGCAAATTTAACAAGTTCTTTTTTCACCTCTGGAGAAGAACTTGTTAAGTTTGCAAAGTCCGGCTGCATTGTTAAGGAACCCTACCCTTCCTGGCCTATTATTTTGATTAATTGATTTCAATCATGTCAATAATTGTTTTCTTTTTTCAGTTGTGCGATCTTGTCTGCAGTGGACCACTCAATCTCAGAATGCACATAAGTGGAGCGAAACACAAACTGGTAAACGCTACTATTGCTCAAGTACATTCATTGATTAAATCCACTACTTAAGTTTCTGACACCAGTGCGCCACAAATTAGTCCGAAAATTTGGAACTATCAAAACTCTGTATGAGAGTCCCAAAATTTAAGGTATTGAAACATGCAACACAAGGAAATAGACTAGACAGAAACTCCTAGATTTCTCCAGCTCAGGGAGTCAGGCTTTTAAAACAGCTATTGTCTTGAAAACTGCAAGTTTAGGCTCACTTGAATGGAGCTACAGTTCGATTTGGCCAAGTTGTTTGGGCGAGAGGAGTGTAGATGGTCCACCCTCCAAGGGACCCAAGTCCAGAGGCCTATCGTCTACATTGGCAAGCTTAAGGCAGCATCCTTCAGTCAAGACTTTACCTCTAACTTGAGTTGATATTTTGTGTTGATCCTAAGACCCATCTCTTTTGATTGATCAGTTGATTCAGTACCGCACCTGAAACCTGAAACTTTTTTACCTTTTCCCAGCTTATTTTTGGTTTTTTGACTTCCTTTTCAGAATGAAGCCAAGGTGGAGAAAGGAGGTAATTGTTACTTCTTGTTGCTAACGTATCATCAAGATGCAAATGTAGTCAAGCCATTCAGATGAGACAAACGTGCCGAGTTGAAAGCCAAGATTGGCCTGGGTCGAAGGTCATAACACATAATACATTAAATACACAAATACACAAAAAATACAATACTCAAATTGTTGGTAACAATTAGTGACGTTGTTTATGACAATTTTGTGAATGGAGCCACGATATGTGTGGTGATGTTGTCGTCATGTGGCACATGTTCATGTATGTAGCACCGCTCAATGAACATACGGGTCTTCGTTCCTAACAGACCCCGGAATGCATCTGTGAACCCTCGATCTCTCCTGGCTCAGGCCCTGTGTCGCTTTCAATTGGTCTCCAGTGAGTTTGCATTGTGGCGTTCAACAAATTGGAAATTTTGTATTTCAAACGACAATCACAACCAAGTGAGTAAATAGTGATCATTTAGTGCAAAACTTTCATGCAAGACGGCCAGAGCTTATTGTGCACTCACACTTGTTTTTTTTTTGGTGGTTTACACAGAGAAAGTAGTCATGCGAAAACATTTGGGAAAGAAAATCAAGGGACGTATTACAAAGGAAGGGCCAATACCAGCCACTCACAATCAGGAGGAGACACCTTTGATAGGTAAGCCCCTCCCCTTTTTATCTTGTATCCTTCCAAGCCACGCCCCCTATCGATGTGTTCAAGATGTGTTAATTGTTAACTAAATATGGTAATTTGGGGGCAGTATCTGAAAAAAAGCCAAAATTGATACAAAAATACCACTTTTCTTGAAAATGACAGCACACCAGGTGACATGATTGTACAGAATGCTTTAGACTGTCATTCACTAACAGTCCAGTAAGATATTTCATAATAATTTGGTAGTTTTGTTTTTTGATGTTTGCAAATGTTGTATCATGTTTATACCCTTTTAAGGTGTCACCGCCATCCCATACCAGCATTTGCCAATACTATTTTTCTATTTCAAATCAGGCCATTTTTCACTTGTGAGATCCATTCTGCACCCCCCCCCCCCCACATCCTCAGTCCCCCACTGTATCCGCCCGTGACATTTTAACATAAAGTCCCTTACGATCTCTCTTTTGGCAATGCCTTGTGATGTTTCAGGTCTTGACTACGTAACACGTGTCGTCTTTCCCGATAAAGACGCGAGTGAGGACTTGTTTGAATGTAGTTTGTGTGACAAAAAAGATATGATGTATGCTTCTATCTACCAACACATCATGGGGCGGGCCCACAGAAAAGCTTACATTGTAAGTTCAGCAGCTGATTTCCAGAAAAGTGTGTACCAAATGTAGCTTGCACCATGCGTAGCACTTGCGCAACAATAAAAGTACGATGGATTTCCCAAGACTTGGCGTACATTCGTAGCTTCGCAATGTTTTAATAATAAAAGCAATATTAACAATAAAGACACGGTCTTCTATGCCGCATTTCAAGATCATCGGAGCTCTCAATGCGCTTTAAAATTCATTAACAAATTCATGTAGTCTGATCAGTCTGTTGGAAAATTTTCTCAAATAATTAATTTTAAGGCTTTAATCTACATGTTAAAATCTTGGACGAAGATAATATTAATATATGTGACGGCTGTAGCGGTGGGTATGCTTTTGTTTGTACATGAACCATTCTGGGATTTTTTTTACTCATAGCGGAAGTTGAAGCCAGATTTAGCTGACCAGTACTCCAACATTGCCAACGTCTACGACAAGAACGGGCAACTGCAGCGCCGTCAGAACAGTGACCTGTCGGCACTGCTCAACAACATCAGCAAGATAGCTGCGGAGCGCGACGGGCCTGGGGAAATGCAGATCAGACTAAGCAACGAGAGGGAGACGGATGGAGAAGACATCGAAGACTACGGAGTCGAGGGCTATGACAGTAAGTGTTTGACGGTTTGAAACCTTGGCTCCGTCTGTAGCTTTGGCTTTAGATTTTAGGTCCTCAGAATTTGGGGGACTCTACTTAAATCTTAATTGCTGTGGATTCTTTTCCTATTTGTTTCAGGTGATCCTGATGTCATGGGTTGTCTCCCACCTGGCACAGAGCCAGAGAACCGAGGCAGTGTCAAACGTCTCGGACAAAACCATCCCCATCTTTCTGCCGAACCGCCAGAGTATCCGGCCATTCCCAGACCTCCTTACAGTCGTCAAGATCCTTCCGAGCGAATGCCTCAGAGAGATACCCCCGTACTACCTCACTCACGCCTGCAACCTGCCGGGCGGGGCACTCCAGAACCACCCATCACGCGACTGCACCCTCGTAGCCCCTCCCCCGACAGACCTCCCCCTGTGACACGCCTACCATCACGGGCCCTATCTCCTGAGGAAGTCCCGCCTCATGCCCCACCCACACCCATCAATCACGCCTTGCCATCTGTGACACGGTTGCCGCCACTTTCAGCATCGCCACGCCCAGAGGTCAACGCCCACACAGAGAACACGCCTCCCCCTATGACACGCCTACCTTCAAAGGAAACTCCTCCAATCATGAACCAAATAATGTAAGCCTCAATTGCAATTTAATCCGTCGTTATTTGTAATCACTCTACATGTAGCAATGCCATGGCCAACTGAAGGGCTCTTACAACGTTTTGTTTCAGAACTGGCCGTACAACTGGCCGTTTTTGCACCGGTATTGGAGTTGACTTTTTCACCTGATGCACTGTGCTGCGTCTGACAGGGTTAGAGATCCAGTTGACCCATGGTCCTATAACCAAATTCGGGTGAAAGTAACAACAGTAATTATCAAAAGATAAAGTACAAAATTTAACCAGAATATCACCCGTGCATTTATCTTTCGCAGATCGCCAGCTGATTTGCCTCCGTTGACAGACGAACAGCTGCGGTTTTACTGCAGCGATGTCTTCATTGCTCAAGAGTACAGACGTCGGTTTGGTGATCCTAAACCACCAGCCAGTACTGCCCAACCCGAAGGCACGCAAGACAACACTCAGGTAGAGGTTGGGTTTTTTGGCATAGAGTTGAATGTTCCAGGGGATCAGGTTGGCGTAGCGGTACTTTCCTCGCCTTCCACCGCTGTGACCCGCGTTCGAATCCCGCCTGAGCCAATATGTGGATTGGGTTTTCAGTCCCTACCTGATTCCGTGCGTTTTCCCTAGAATGTCATCCTGGGGTTTTCTCTTACCTCTAAAACTTTAATTTTCTTCCACATCTTCTACCGGACCTCAATGGAAAGAGGCCGACAGACTTGTTAAAAGTGGGCTATCCTGGCATTTGCCAAATAATTACGTACACGCACATGTACATACATTCATGATACTGGACAGAATGTTCCTTAGAAATACCGCAGGGTATTGGATTTGATAAGATTTGTAAGAAAAAACAACAAGAAATTTGATTAGATTCGCAAACTTCTCCAGGCCTTCTTCCCCAGTTTAAGATGAAAGACGAGGCAGTCCACAAGTATAGTTATTTGTTTGCATTTTTTTTTTTTCCTTGTGACCTTGATTCGGTTTTGTTTTTCAGACCAAAGAAATTAGCGACAGTGCCAATGCTGGTGGAATCACAGTTGAAACGCTGCTCAAATCAATGGTGAGTTACGGGTCGTCTCATTGATTGAATAAGCAAACAAAGAAACTACTCGACAAAATGTAATAACATTTCATCTTTTATTTTGAATTATTCCTTGTAGCACAAAGTTGGTATGTAATCCGCTTGTTAGGGCTTCCCGGAGTATACTGAATACTCAAATATTTAGATCATCAACAGAATATTCGAATAGCTTTTTTAAGTGTTTTTAAAATTCGAAAACAAAAAACTACCCACATATACAGGACCGTGATGTTAATTTATCATAAAAGTGCGGCGCTTTTTTGTCAGGCACCACGTTTTGTCAACGGTAACTTTTTTTGTCAATGGCGGTTCGTCGTTCACATTCTTTAAGGAGGTTAAAGCCCTTTACAGATATAAAAAACGTACTGCAAAACACTGATGTGCCTCATATCGATCGCTGCGCGCAACTTTTAGCTGGCACGCTTTGCGCAACCTTTTACCGGTGCAGCACACAGCTGCAGCACTTTCGAATATCCGAATATTGGTCAAATGCAGTTTCGAGTAATCGAATACTAAATTATTTGAAACTGAACAGCCCTACTGCTCATATTGTCTTCACTCCTACACTGATCGATTTCTTAAAAAAAAAAGGCAGTTAGGCCAAAAAAAAGTCTCCGGTTTCTGGTATGCGCGCGCGTCGCCGTAGCCATGCGCGTCGGCAAAATGAAAAAGTTTTTTTTTCCAATGAAAGATGATGTCTCAAAACCGCCAAACTCACTGGTTTGACTGCAATCCTGCTGCTGCACAATTTTAACGTGTTTTTAGATGGGGTTATGATCGAGAATAAGCTTTATGTGACCTCTCTGGTCTCCCATAATATTTGCACTAAGTTTAGTCGGGCACCATTTGCAGTCATCAGCCGACATTTGAAGCAAAAAAAAACAGGTAAAAAAAAAAAAGCTGCGTCGCCGCACCACTTTTTGGGCAAGCTCCATACCAGAAACCAGAGACTTTTTTTTAAATTCAATCTGTCTGGTTTGTTCCCATTTTGGTTCTTGTAGTCCAACTCCATGGTGAATAATGAAGAGGATGCGAGTATGGCCATGCGGATCACCCGAGCATTGACGCAAGCCACATTGAAGTACAGACTCCGAGAAAAAGACTTTGCTGTTCAGGTTAGTAAATGTAATTAACTTGCCTTCAGAAAACTTGACTGTCTACGTAGTTAAAGGTAATATACAATGTCGGAAACATCAAAAAACAAAACTACCAAATTATTATGAAATATCTAACTTGACTGTTAGTGAATGACAGTCGCATCTATCAATTTCCAGCAAAAGCAAATGTTGTATATTGCCTTTAATGGCAGCCTCAAAACTTTAAATTGCAATTCAAGAACGTATACACTTGGTGTATCACTTTTTAAGCGCTTCACAAAACAATTAAAAGCATATTGAAAGGTACCAAGTCTTCACTTCAATTTTTCAAATCCTTCTGGTTTTATTTTCCTACAGATGCTTAATACAATAATTTTATACATGTAGTTTTCTTTCCACCAGTAATGTTGCGTTGTATTTTTTTCTCTCTTTAATTTAGAAGAAAGATGGGAAGAGGTGAACTACATGCTTGTTGTAGCAAGTACAACATCATGTTTGAAAATAAATGGAGATACAGACATGACAGAGGGTGTAGAAAATGCCAACTGGACACAATGCACAAAATCCTGACCTGAAAAAAAGTCAGACTTAACCTGATCAGCTAAGACTGCAAATAGATTGAATGGAAAGTCCATCAGGTGCACATAACAGGTGCATTAGCTGCGTATGAGAGGATTGTATCTGTTGTCTTTGCAACTCTCGGAGGACATGGAGACTGTCGTCCTTAATCGCAAATACTGGAGTGTCTTGGATGGTCTGGTAGAGCAGCGTTTTATCCTGTGCTTCAACATGTATTATTATTCAGGTTTGGTATTCATGAGCCGATACATTGGCTCACAGTGGTGCCAGCTAGAGATGAGATGAGATTTGTAGCAACAGTTCGTGGATAAAACATCAACTGGCAAGGCAAGCTGTTGAAGTTGAAGCTTTTTGCTGTTGAAGCCTGCCTGAAGTCTGTCGTCCAGTTGTTGGCTTGTTAAACCCAACTCCTTAGGCATTTTTGCTAGGATGCAACCTCAATCCTGCAAAATCCTCCAACAGCTTCCGTGTGCTAATTGTATACAGCCCCAATCCTCCCAAATAATCTGTCATTTCTTGAATGTGGTCCTTGGAGGGGTGACCACTGCCTTAATCCTGCAAAATCCTCCAGCAATCACTGTCAATACATGAGGCAGAGCCAGTGACATCCTGGAGCAGTGTGGAGGATTTCAAGTATTTCTAGGCCAACACTTATGCTCGACTGAACATAAACAACTCAAGGTCCGGCCCAAGACCTTGACACGTCGCATCCTCCATAATTAGCCACAAATTGTTGCCACTTATGCAAGGAGCATTGGAGGATTTGGGAAGGGTAGGGTTAGTCAGGAATGAGATTGTCAATTGAAAAAACGTCTGAAAATTGACTGAATGTCTGAAAGATGCATGGGTTTCTATATACTAACAATAGCTTTCTCTCAGATTCAAAAAGTCTGATTTCAGACGAAAGTTTGAAAAATCTCATGCCTAGGTTGATGTTTCAAATGGGACTGTCATTTGAGGTTGAAGACAGACAATAAACTGCAATTTTCAGTACTTCAGGATGAATTTGTATTTGTCTTTTGTTTCGTTAGGTATACCTGCCCCCCTACCCCCCACGACCCCCATCCTGTGTCCCTTCACTCGAGTTTCCAAAAATAATCAGATTCCCTAGATTTTCCATGAAATATTCGAAAATCAAGTTCAACTATTGCTTTGTTTATACCATATGGGGTCAACAGTTTTTCCACATTTTTATTTAAGACAACAAAATATAAACCAGACAGAGAAAAGTTCAACTTGGAAATTGTTTCATTGACGATGGTTTATTGAATGCAGATGGTGATCAAACACATTCATGTGTGTGTGACTGAAACCTTTACAATGCAGCATTAATTAATGAGGGTTTGTTGTGTCTAAAGAAATATCATTTTGTTGGGAAGCAAAGCTGGGTAATATGTCTTAGGCAATATTTAGAGTCGGGCATGCAACTTTTCCTCGGATCAGCTGATTTCCTCTTTAATTTCCATTTCTGCCATTCAAAATAGTAAGACACTACATAGTCTGAAATTTGGAAAGTCCTCTTTTTGTGTGAATTAACTTTGCATACATGAACAATGCATATACTTGTGTACTACAACTTCTGGCATTCATTTTGAAAAAGTTAATAAACAATTTAGATGTACAAGCATTACATTCACTGTGTGGACTTCCGAATAAAAGATGTCCACATAAACCAGTTTTTATAGATTGTGTGTGGACTTGCCCACGTCCACACAAGGTTCGCCCCTCTGGAAAACAGGCTTAGAGGCATTTTTTGGGTAAGGTTTATCCCTTGCAAAATTAAGAAAAAACACTTAGGGGAAACATAGTATTAAACAAATTGGGTTGAAAGAGTTTTCACTGTGAGTAAAATGAGTTTTTTTCCACAGGTTTTTTTCTTAACTACATGAAAACAAAGGAATGTCCACATTAGGTATGTAACTTAAACATTTGTGTGAGTGGACAGAGGTGAACACACTCCAACAGGCTGTGAACCCAAGACCACTGGATCACCAGTATCGATATTTATCGCTTTCTATGGCTTCTAGGCCCAGAGGTACAATTTGACCAATCCCTAGAAAACTCTCAACATGTCCTGCCGAGGACTGGAGTAGTAATCCTAAGGTCTGAGGTTCAACCTCCAATCAATAAGCTCCACTCGAGTACATGTACATACTTATGAATTTTAAACCACTGCTTATACTTCATTCTTTAAGAAATCAACCCATCAAACCCCAGTGGCATGTTTTGTTGAAATCTGTCAGGATGGGTACAGTACCCCTAAACTGACAGTATTTTACATTGGGTTGGCACACCTCCAGAATCAAAGTCAGAAATATATGTGTGTGCAGTTTCCCATATGGTGATGGTTCCTAGTAAATTATGCTAGAGAGTTAGAATTACATGTAAAGATCCTTCATAAATGAGAAAATTAATCTCAAGATACACAGTAGGACACACTTCCTGAACATACACTCTTGTTTTACTATACTCTCGAGGACAATGCTTTGTTTCCCTTTCTCCCTATAATATAACACTCTCCCAAAGACTAAGCACACAAATTATAACTACAGAGGGCCAATTTTAACAAAAACTCCAACTCCCGAGGACTGAAAGGATCTGTTGTTCTGCCTTTGTGTGTCGGTCCTCTGGGTTACGTAGAACACGTACACTCAAGTTCACACTCACTTTTATTTCCTTTGTCCAGAAAAACAATGAACTAATAAAATAAAAAAAAACACCACAATTTTTACACCAAGTTCAATCTGCGTTCACTCTCTGAGATTTAAGCAACATTGTTGGCTGTGTACAACAATATAAACAAAAGTCGGCTAACTCTGACACCAACACCTATTTCTGTCGATTTCAGAGGCAGCCAAACCATGAATGATTATGAATTAAGAAATAATACAAATAGAAAAATGCATAATGTACAACTGCCTAGCCAGATCACCGAGTCTTATTCAATGAGTTTATTCGTGCATTGTATTTAAAAACCTTTGACAATCAGAGACTCAGAAAAATATCTCAAGTCAAGCTAAGCGGTGTGTTGCAATGTGTCATGTTGTTGGGCATGCTTCAACTAAGCATTGGTTTGCAGTATTGCTTTGTCTATGGTCTACAGCGACACCCTACGGAACCGTTTAACCAATTTTTTTTTTTAAGAAGGCTTTTTTAAGTCCGCCAAAATAGTCCTAGTGCAGGAAATTAATGGCCCATTCTTTGTACATATAATCTGACTTAAAGGCAATATACAACACTTGCAAACGTCAAGAAACAAAGCTACCAAATTATTGAAAAATACCTTGCTTGAAAGTGAATAATGGTCTTAAGTGTCCTGTGAAATCATGGCACCTGGTGTGCTGTCATTTTCAAGAAAAATGGAATTTTCCAAGGACGGTCGGCTGACCATCGTTGGGAAAAACTTGCTTTTTTCTTCTTTCGAATACTGCCCCCAAATTACCAATATTAGTTACATGTAGTCCAAATTTTGTTTGAAGTTGGTTACATATCTGGCTAGTCTGGTTTCCCGATCAGTGAACGGTTGCAATGATTGCACTAGCTAGTCTGGTTTCCTGACCTGACAATTCCCCGACGTCTATAAATTGCTCTATTTAGTCTGAAGTGGTCAAGGAACCAGACTACATGTACCAGGACATATTTTTTTCTCGGTTTTCCAGCATCAATGAACACAAAACTTTTAACTGGTCAGTATAACATTTCCTATAAAATACTGATCCCCAAATCTATATATTTCCGAAAACTACAGCAAAAGCAAATGTTGTATATTACCTATAACTCCATCAAAATCAATTTCCCAATATTGGTGATTTTGGTTGGCAAGCCATGAGTACCAAGCGTCAAAATCTCCCGGCAGATTGGACATTTCTCAGACGATATTTCGGTTAATTTCTGTTTGCTTTTTTGAGTGCATGCACTTAGCATTCAAGTCTTTGGACTAGCTTAAAGCAAGCTAATAATATGCATGTATTACTATTACATGCACGTCATAATCCCAATATAATATTACTGCTTTAATACCTGCCATAATTATTGAGCTTAAAATTAAATCTGAAACTTATAACTAATTATCAAAAAGTACAAGTCTGTTTCATTGTAAACTCAACAATTATGAATTTTAAGATTAAACCCTTGACTTTTTAAGTGGGGCAATTTTATACCGCAATGAAGTAATACAATGATTATAAAAACGGGAGGAAATATATAAACACCAGGCCAATAGTCAGTCACCAAGCTGAGAAACTTAGCACTAGGGTACCTCAAGAGGGTCTTGGACCCAGATCACAGTCTATAGAAGGGTCGATAGACCTTCATCCCACACTTAGAGTCACCATCTTTCGTCTTGTCCTTGCAGTTGTTGATTGGTGGATTCTCCGGTATAAATGGATGACTAGAGTTGATTAGACTGTCCACTAGGTTTCCCAAGTTCTCAATACCTGGCTGTTTTTTTGTTGTCATGGAATCTATTCTAAATCCGGTAACTCTGTCAGTTGGGGAGAGAAAAAGTACCAATCAAGGAAGGTGAAGGGTCAAGTATAAAGAAATCAAAATTCATCTGTTGGGGGTTCAGACATGGGGATGAGAGGTGTCAAGTGTCAAGCAGCACAAAGGCTAACATTATACTTATGTGGAGTCAGGTTGGCGTAGCGGTACTTTCCTCGCCTTCCACCGCTGTGACCCGGGTTCGATTCCTGCCTGGGCCAATATGTGGATTGGGTTTTCAGTCCCGACCTGATTCCGTGGGTTTTCCCCCGAATATTCTTCTGGGGTTTTCCTCCCACCTCTAAAACTGTATTTTCCTCTCATTGTCTCCTCTCTACTGGTTTCTTCAGGCTTGGGAGCTACAGTGCCAAGGGTGCTTTTGAGGAATCCTTGGTTTCATTACCAGAAATGAATAACAGTTATAGTAATACTTAAAGGATAAAGATATTTTTTTCAGCCATGGGTAATTCTACAATGATTCTAATTACTATTTCAAAGCCCCACCTGAATGAAGTTCATCTACATGTAGGCTATCAGGTTTCTGTTTTTGAAACAGACAGGAATTGGTCCGACTTACCCTCATCATCGCTGTCTTCTTCATCGTTGATGCCTTCTAGCATCTCACCTTGTGGAACACCACCTCCCATCTTCCTCATCATCTAAGCACATGCAAGAAACAAATTGAAATTCATAAAATAGTGATATTTAAAGGTGTAGTAGATCATTTGCAATTATCCAAAAAATAACGGACAAAATTATTGCAGAAAAGCTTACTTGGTTTAAAGATGGTAATGAAAGTAACTCCCTGAGAAATGACTCTTTCTGGCATGCTGCCATTTTGAAGAAAACAATAAAAGACGGCCATTTCCAAAGATGCGTCGCAATTTTTGAAAATTCCTTTGGTAGTTGGTTTGTAATTCGGCAAATCTGTGAATGGTGTGCGCAGTTTGTCGTTACAGTGCGTGTCATCGCGTGGCTGCAATAATGTATGCAATTTTAATGAGGAAAAACATGCATGTGTTATATCTTTTAATTGTACTTCGTTGTCCTACAGGAAACAACTTACGTCTTCAAAGTTTCCGTCCTCTTCAACATCTGAATCATCTTCATCTTTCCATCTGTTGAAATCTACTTTGAGCCAATGTTGCTGTAGAGTAAAAACACACAAATGCCAAAGACACCATCACCATGTCTGAAACAATTCTGCAATTGGAAAGTTATTTGTTACTTGACGTACTGTGACATGCTTACCTTCTCTTTTGATTCAAGCAGCCTAGGCCAGAAGGGAGTGCCAGGCTCTTTCTTCTTCAGTGCGAAGGTGAGTTCTCTGTCGGTTGGGATTTGTCTTAAACTCTGTCCAGGAATAAATGAAAGGTGAACATTTTATGTATCAGTTTGGAGAAAAGAAGACGGCAAGATTACCATATGTGAAGTTCACTAATTTTCCTCTGTATTGACTAACAAGCCCCCAGATAGCAATTTCAAAAAACATGAATTAAAAGTGTTAAACAAAATCGCTGGAAATTTATAATTTTTGACTTGTTTTAACTGTTTGACCGAAAAGGTATAATGGGAACGAATGTGCTTTTTCAGCATCCAAAGTCCAAACCAATCTTTACGACTTACAGCTGTACAGGGAGTGAGTACACGTAGGAATTATCATCAAAATTGGACCCTAGACATGCTAGATGAGTTTTTGATACTCACACTGCCGTCAACCTCTTTGTAAAGCTTAAAGTCTAGCTCATACACATGATGCTCGTGGCCGCCTTTACAATGAAAGAAAAATCTGTCGTCTTCCACCTTGAGCTCTCGTTGTTCTTTTTCAATATCTTCCACAGATATCGTCAGTAAGATTGTGTCAGCTCTCTGGGCCCATTTGGCGGGTGGGTGCAGCTTTTTTACACTGAAAAAAAAAAAACTATTCTATACAAAATACTCAGATTTGTGTACAACTACAAGTACTCGAAAAGTTTGTCCTTCAAAAAAGATTTGTGTCTTACAATGTCTTATGTCTCAACATGTTTACAATGACTGACCCTTATTGAGACACTATGAAGAAAAATGTGTCATCAGGTTGCAACATTCTTTCCTACAAACGTGACATACAATAACATTAACAATCACCTGATCACTGACAATCTCCAGTCCAGTCAACTTGGTCTTGCTCTTGGATTCCAAGTTGGAAATATATATATTTTTTTAGCATTTTTCTACATTCTATTACAAACCTGGAGGGTTTAAATAAATGTTCCCAACATAATACTTGTGTAGTTGTGATGACTAATAATAACTGAGGTTATGAATTGTGAAAAGAAGTTGCCGACTAGCCCCATAAATGTGGCCTATTTACTGGACTGTCTCCGTAAACATAGGCCACACATCCACATGTACAAAAAACGTGTCGACGGAGCCAAATTTTGATTTTCACATTTAGGCTTAGTTTGTAGTTTTTTTTTGCTTTAGAAGCATACTCACCCTCTTTACAGGCTAATCAGAAAGTGCTGCCTTTTTCAGATGTCTAATTTTTGTGAAATTTCATGTTGAAATTTTGATACGCAAACGTGTTAAAATGAATCTGGAAATTTCACGAAAAATATACATCTGAAAAAGGCAGCACTTTCTGATTAGCCTGTAAAGAGGGTGAGTATTCTTCTACAGCAAAAAAAACCTACAAACTAAGCCTAAATGTGAAAATCAAAATTTGGCTCCGTCGACACGTTTTTTGTACATGTGGATGTGTGGCCTATGTTTACGGAGACAGTCCAGTAAATAGGCCACATTTATGGGGCTAGTTGCCGACATGAAGATACTTTTCTAAATTAGAATCTAATCCAAAAATTGTACTGCATGGTGTCGGAATTGCACAGTCGACAGCAGTCCCATAGTGCATGACGTGCGGAAACACAAAGCTTTCGCAGCAATGTTTTTCAAATCAACTGCAAAAATGAACACTGAAATTGTCAATTTTTCGATTTCACATGAGCTTCTTTTTTCCACTTTATCACCAATAATGCTAACAACAACTGAAGCAGACATAAACACAAAAGAGAAAATAAATTGTTACCCGAACTTACAGAGATGTGTCGCCCATTTTGAAAATTCTAGAACATGTGAAATACCTTGTTGCGTGGTTGCGTGGTTTCCCCCCAGCTAGCCGCACAATCGTTGCACGTGGAAGGGGAACCAGCTTTGTGGTATTCCCCGCTTTGGGATGGTTTTTATTTTCTCCCCATTATTCACGCGCTGACCAGCGCCACCAACGATGTGAAAGGATTACACCTGCGTGCGCCATATTGCAACCGTGTGTGCGCCGAATCTCGAGATCCGATAACGAATCTTGCGAGCGTACGTCATCACCAAGTTTCGGTGGATTACAACTTTCGTTGCAACAGTATGACGTATTGCTGGGAGCGTGCTAATTTTTGGTAACAGGTCATCTCGTACCTTGGGCAACTCGTACCTTGGACAACTCGTACCTTCAACTCGACGTCATTATACCGAGTCGTACCTTGGACAACTCGTACCTTCGGCAAGTCGTACCTTCAGTTAAGACGACTCGTACCATCACGCGTAGGTCAAGTCGTACGTACCGTCAGTCAGGATAATGATACAACGTTTTCCCGTCAGCGAGTTTTTAGGAATATCGAAAACAAAGAATTTGGAAAGACGAGTTGGTGGCTGGGATGACAAACAAGCTAAACTTTACAAATGCTAATTTCGTCTGACCACGCCCCCAACATTTGCATCTTACATAAACAGTGCTGAATAAATGAGGTGGAAGAAAATCGTACGAAGCAATACAGAATTGATGGTTTGCGACACTAAAATGTCTTGTCCTATATAAAAAGGGTCGTTTTCACAAAAGGGCGACAGCTATATGTTGCCTTTAGGTACGTGTGTCACCCTAATCTGGACATAGATACTCAACTAAGGCGCTGGAAATTATGTATATTATTAGAGAAATATAAACTTTATAAGAATTCATGTGACATGTATTGTAAGGCGTTTGCATCCAAAAGCGCTATACAAGTATCCGTTATTAGGCCAAATAAAAAAAATAAGTCGGTCTCTGGTCAGCGCGCACGTCGATTTTAATCATGCGCGTCGATCTTTTTTTTTTCCAAAGAGCACCAAGGAATGGGAAATTGCACCGAGGCAAATGATCGAAAGCACCAAGGCAAATTATGGAGGACACCAATGTACATGAGGACACCAAAAAAGCAAAATAGTATCCCACCTTGTCTGTACAATCCAAGCTTGAAGAAAAAAAAAAAGCAAAAAAAAAAAAAAAAGCCGCGTGGCCGCGTCAATTCCGGAACTTTGGTCTGACCAGAGACCGAATATGTTTTTTTTTTGGCCTTATCATAATTTTTTTTTTTTTATACATTCACAAGGTATGTTTCACGCATGCGTTTTACGGTCAAGGACGAGAAAACAAAATTGCATCACGAGGCATTATTACACACTGAGAAATTTGAGAAAACGAAACTCTCATGCACGTTGGATACGGCCCACCTGTTTCTCTATCAGACTTGTATTTGCATATGAAAAGCTTTAAATAGGAAGGAAAAACAACCACAGAAAAATCTTTTGTTGATGTTTTTAATGAAAACATTCTGGCATAACACGAACATGAATGGTCCGTGTTATTATAGGCGTGTGTGTAAGACAAATATAGGCCTGACGTGTACACGGTACAATGCTGTACCGATGCAATCTAGTAAGTTAGCGGGAGTGATTGATTTTGAGAACAATCTCATGATCATTTTACCACTTCATCATATCATTATAGCAAAACAACCCTCAATTTGTTGGATATTTATCCACTTTATGACATTCACATTCACATCAGCTGTGGCATAGGGCTAGTATTTTCTCCGGAGTTTTGCGGAACTGATTTGAGAATGCAGAACTTTCTGCACATTCTATTTTTTCTGGTCTTGGGCGTGGGCTGGTCGTTTGCACAAGGTAAGATAAAACGTTTGCAAATGTTGTAAGTGCTGCATCGTGTTTACTATTTGGTTTTGGAAAAGGAAGTGTTTGATAATACATGCACTGATGAAAATGATATTGCGATGAGAATGTGGATGAAATCGAATTATCATTTGGTACAACAGGTTCTAAAAAACAGGGTTTAATCTCCCGATTGATTTTCTGTCATTGTGCTGGCTGATTTGAAACACTCCTTGCTGCTCTAAGTAGAGTGATCAGGAAGTCAAATTAACAAACTTGGAAGGACCGGTAACTTAGCAATTCTCAAAATATGAAACAATTCTGTATTACTTTTATTTCGCATCCTAATAGCGGCATGATTGAAAATTGAGAAAACTCCTTAGCAAATGAGGTATTAGAGGGGTTTTGTTACGTCAAATTAGGTGCAACGAATTTGATCCCCTAATTTAGTATTCAAAATTTAAATCTATCGTTTTGAATTAATTCAAAAACTGTGCTGAGGAACTTTGTCAAATGCATGTTTTAAATTTACCATGTCGAAATAAAGGAAGTTGTTTCCATGATGCAAGTTTCCATGATACACCTATGCAGTTAAGTTTGACCGGAAATCGAGAATTTTTTTTTTTTGGAAAATAAATGAAATAAGGGGTATGTTCTTCTTCTTTTTTCTTTATTGGGTGATCAGGTACGATCCAATCACCGTTTGTTCACATTAATTGAAATGTCATCATAGGTTTGGTCATGAACGTGGAAATTATAGTACACCAGAAAAGGCACCATTATAGCCTAATACCTTGAATACGGCAAAACGGTAATTGAAAATAAGGTAATAAAGGACACGTGCATTTTAAAGAATTGCATTAAACAAATTACATTGCGTGGGCCCCATTTTAAATACCATTGTAATTTTGGTGTTCCCTTCTCTCTGTCCCCCCCCCACCCCAAAGCAGCGCCACCCATTCCTACCGGGGTGACCACCCAATTCCTCGGCACCCTGGTGGTGGAGTTCAAATGGCAGGCCACTGCAGGAGACTTCGATAACTATGAAGCCGTTTACTATGATGCGAATGGGATCGAAGTCGGAAGCGATCTCATCCCTAAGACCGAGACGTCCTTCAGGTATTTGGTCGCTGATGGCGTGGCGACGTACTCATTTCACACGGTGAAAGGTGCCACCAGGAGTGCGAGCGCAACCCTGACAGCTTTACCCGTGGTTGTTTACAACATTCGTAAGTGATTGTATTGGCTTTTCCGCAAAGTTGCGGACAATCCTGTGTTTCTGTTTTTTGCCCCTTGGGAGTTCCATCCTAAAATCGCATAAACTGTACACGTCTTTTCTGATGGCCTTTTTGGGCAATCATCTTTGTCAAACTTCAATGAAAGTTACCACAAGCAAAGTCGTGCCGCGGAAAGTGACGTCATGATGACGTCATCTTGTGTCACGTGACATCATCTTAAAGACGCATTATTCAATGGCCTATATCTACAGAACAGCAAGGCCGATGGGTTTAAACATTGCCTGTATACAAAGGCAGGGATGTGGTATAGATGGAAATTGAGCTGAAGTCACGATGACGTCATTCTGTGATTTTAGATCGATTTTTGAAGTTTTGAAGCTATTAGCACCATATCTCACGAAAGCAACATGTTAAATTCAAAATTCTGTTTGTAATGGGTTGATTAAGTAATAGATGTAGGCAGAAAAAAACGACAAATGTGTGAGTCATGATGACGTCATCAAAAATGCTGTTTTTTAAACACACATACGAGAATAAGACAAAATGGGGTGCTGCGTAGCACTTGTATTGAACTTTAGGATATATAACTTCAATCTCACCAGTAATTTCTTGGCCTTTTTTTCGGACTGCTGTCCTTCAGGACGTACAGGTACATAGGTTGCAATGAGGAAACGCGGAGAACATTAATGCCACACAAGGGAAAGTTCGATCGTCATGAAACTTCGTTTTTAGTATGCAAAATCTTAAATGACGTCATAATGACGTTATTGGCTGATTTTTTATGAGGTTATTGTTTTTTTTTGTTTTATACACAGTTGTACATTGTTTTCGATCAGATCAACTTCAGACTTGGCAGACCAAAAACATCATAAATGTGTCAATTGACGAGATGCGTAAACATGACGTCATCTAGGGTCATGTGACGTCATCTCAGGTGCACATTTTCATCAGATTGAACATGCAAAGTTAAGGACGTGTTAAGGATGAAATTGACATCGTGATTACGTCATCATTGATCATGTGACGTCATTTTAAAATTGCTTTAATGTCTTCTAGACAACCACATGTGTGATTGGGTTGAAACGAGTTATGCACTTAGGCATAGACGTGTTATAATTAATAATTAAGATGACATCATGATGACGTCATGGGTTATGACATGTCATCTTAAATTCCTATGTCTAAAGAACTACGTGATTTTCCGAAACAGCTAATATTTAATGTAATCATGTTCGGGCAAATATACTCATTAAAAAAAATCACAACGCAGAAAAGCCCTATGCTCTGTTCATCAAACAGACATAGTATCTAGCTTTATATTATTTTGTATTTTATATTTTATCACAGCTCAAATGAAGTGCTTCGAGGCCATAGGCAAGAATGGTCATCCAGGACCTTGCCTTGTTTTTTTTTTTTCAGACCCTTTTTTTAATTTTTTTTTTACTAAACTTTGTTTTTAGTCTGGAGTGCTTATTGGCAACACATGTACAATATAACCGCTGAAAACGCACATATAAAAAAAACGTTAATTTATACTGGCCGACTCGATACATATCTACCCTGTGAATGGATCAAATCTTCATTTTAGAGAAGTCGTCGAATTACTGCTGCTGTTATTTTCTTCTGAATCCAACAAATGCAATGTCAGATAGTTGGAATTAAGTCATATGATTTTACGTTTGGCCCCAAAGCTGGAACGAAAAGAGTACGCTGAAAGTGTTTAAGAATTTCCATAGGGACATTTTGGGCATTTGTTGCACATATGCCAAACAATGTGTCCAACACTCATATTCACGCATGAATTGAACAAATTTACGATAGCTAAGGTTTTTGACTTCATTCATTCATTTATCATAATGCAAAAGCAGGAATTAAGTATAGTTTCACCTTCCGTTTTTTGCGGGGGGGGGGGGGGAGGGGGGGAGGGGAGGAATGCCAAAAAGGGGATTTTATGTATGGGGCATTCATTATAGGACTATTTGGTTATGTTCTGCATGTTCGCAAACACAGCGATGTAACGTTAGTTTTCAAATTACAAGAATATGCAACATTTCCAAGCGTCCAAAATACAAAACTACCAATAATTATCGCGAAAGAACCTGCTGGGCTGTTGGCGAATAAAGCATCCTGTAAAATTATGGCACCTGGCGTGCTAATACGTAATGAATATCTAGTGTGTATATTTATCTGAAAATTACCTTCCAATGTTTGAGTAAAGTGAAGTCAATACGCACCTAAACTTACTCTATGCTGAGCCCAGGACAACTAGAAGACTAGCCGGCCCTATCATGGAACACTTTGATTTGGGCAGTCCCAACTTAGGTCAGACTGATGGCAAATTGAGGGCGCAAAATGTGTGTGCCGCATTGCCAATTTGTCTTTGTCATTCTCTGCAAATGTTATTATTATCCTCTCTCTTCTAGAGTTGCCCCCTACCCAGCTTGCCCCACCAGCGCACGACTCTATTAGCATAAGCTGGGCCAACGCACCTAATCCTGCTGACAACGTTGGGCAGTATCTGATCAGCCTGCAGCAGCCTGTAGGTACAACCATTGCTGTTGCCCCGGTTGTCGCAGTGGCTGGTGCGACACAAACCTTCCAGGGCCTAAGCGTCGCCGTGGAGTTTAGGTTGAGAGTGGATGTGGTACTTCAAGATGGGCTGCCACTGGAGTTGAACTTTACTAGAGACACGTACACTGGTGAGTGAGATAATATTGTTTGTTTTTTTGACTGACGATCACTTGCAATTTGTGCAATCTGTCCTTTGCCCATCAAGTACCTATACCGGTATGTATATACTTCCGGGTGAAGTGGGACAATTGCAGTGATATTAATCATTTGGGAGGCTAATCGGCCTCACTCGCAACTAACGAGAAGCCGAATTGTAAAGGACGCGGCTACAACGTGGTCGAGCCATTCATACATACGACCCATATATGACCATGGAGCACAGCCAGAGATTGAACGTGTTTGAGTTTTTCGGAGGGAGGAAAGACGGAGGGCTCCAAGAAAAATCCTTGTGGCACAACAGAGAACCCACTCACAACTCTACTTACATAATGTCCTAGCCGGGAACGAACCAGGGCCACAGTGCTTTTATGCACTAGCCGCCCATTCCACCTGAAAACACAAACTGGGAATCCCTGCCGGTTACACCTGTAAAGTCCGACGTCCCATTGGTTCGACGTCTCATTGGTCCGAGTTCCACTGATTCAGGTTGACTGACCCTAACCCTAACCCCAACCCTAACCCTAACTGTCGGACCAATGGATGGCGGACCAATGCATTGGTCCGACATCCAATTGGTCGTCGGGCCAATGGGACCTATAGACCTGGGACTTATAGACCAATGGGTCGTCGGATCAATGGGACCTCGGACTATACTAGAAACGTCGCCCTCCCTGTCAGGGTACCTTTGCAAAGAGTCAGACGACATGACTGCATACGTTCTGTACAGGTAAACCACAATTACGAGAGCGCGGTGTCAAGGGTTGTATTTTGGGCAAGTTGTTATCATGAGGCAAATTTGGACAACGATGGGTGGGAGGGGGGGGGGTGGGGGCTTTCAAGTGTCTTTCACAAGGTTTTTTGCCCCTATAAAATGGTTTTGTACAAGTTGCATCTGATGCCACCACTCCAGAACAAGTAGTGTTGGAGCTTTTACCCAATCCTCACGCCCCATGCCATACTGCATGTTCCTCAAATAGCCATTTTTTCCATCGACGCACGGAGTGTACATCGAGTAAAGTGGTCTATTTTTAACAACAGAATTTTTCTCTTTTAGTGCCATACCCGCCATCCAACGGCATGTTGCACAGGACGAACAGCACCACTAGCTACCTGACCTGGGACGCAGCCCCAGCCCCCGTGGGCTACTATGAGTTAATCATCACACCTCAAGGGGGTCAGCCCAGGGTCTACACCTACGCGCCGGGAACCACAGGGGTCATGTTGGACAACCTGGAGAATGGGGTGACGTATAGTTACACTCTGAAGAATGTTGTGAACACGGGAAACATTGAGATTAAGAGCGACACCTCCGATCTCACTTTTGTGTTACCAGGTCAGTGCTGGATGCATCTTAGTCTTAGTTCAAGACTGTGGTTTTGAGTTTGATCCCCTTAAGTATATAGCCATTCCGGCAGTCCCTGATATGTGGAGTCGAGCATCCACGATGATAGAGGGCGCTATCCACAAGATGTATCAAATCCAGTCTTGGAAACTTGGAAGTGGGACCCAAGAAATCATAGTTTGCTTTAAAAGCTGCAGATAGTACTGATTATTCATTGGCTCCTACTCAAGTCAGGAGTAAATATAGCCTCGCCAGACTTTGTTGACAATGCATCAAAAGTGCCCTTTCCCATTATTTACATATGGTCAGAAAACAGGACAAGAAAATAAATGTGTCTCCGGTAACATTGGCAGGGACTCATCGAGGACTTAATTATTTGTAAAGTCCTTATACTTAATCAGCATTTAGTCCAAGTATTTGATCTTTTCAAAAGACCCATTTCAGTTAAAAAGTTAGACATCAACTAAAATGTGCAGGTAATGTAAAAAAATATCAACTGCCAAATGTATATTACATTCCAACATTTTGTGATGCAGTTGGGGTACCAGAAACAGTCGGCATTATTTGTGTTCTAACCTACGACATATATAAAACGTATATGCTCTGACAATTGACCATACTAATGCTGAAATGTTTTCCACTCTCCAAAGAAGGTGATCGTCGTGTCTTCAAAAGTTTCTCTGTTTTTTTAATAAGTATAATACTTGCTGTCTCCAGGTGCCCTCTAGCTTACTTCGTCGAAATGCATTTTGCTAAAGTCATTTGTTTTTGGCAAATGAGCTACAGTTTGTTGTCAATGCCCAGTGTGCATGTCCGTGTTTGTCTTTCTGTGCCACTTGTGTTTGTACATGTAATTACATGTATTCCTGTTTTGAATAGTAACTTTTGGTAAATGCCAATAGTAGAGTCAGATATATGTACCTCATATCTTCAATTACAGGTATTGTCGAAATGTTACCGTTAAGATGAGTGGAATAAACCAAACGTGAAACTTCCAACGTTTTAGATTTCATGTACACCAATGCAATCTTCTTGCAATCTCTTTTACATTTCGTGACACAGATCCACCTGTGATCTCCGGTTGCCCAGATAATATCTATTTGGTAACTACACTTCCACAAGGCGACACTGTCTTCTGGACACCACCGAATGCAACAGACGCTACTTCTGTTGACACACACTCAACACACGTGCCGGGGCAACTTTTTCCAGTCGCATCAACTCAAGTCACATACACTTTCACCGATTATGTACATGGGCTTTCCTCAACATGCGTGTTTACTGTCACTGTCACATTGGGTAAGTGAAACTGATAATAAGCTTATAACAAATCTTAGTTTAAAGAAAACTGTTGAAGTGTTGTTTAAAGTAAGCTTTATTACACAGAGGCTTGGAAAGTAGGTAAATAGGTTTACTGCGTAGACATGGTCATTACTACTTCATCGTAACAAAACTCCGATGTTCTAATATGACTCACAGTCATATAGTCCGGCAGCTAACCCGGTTGCACTATTTCTTGATGGTTTCTAGGCCTTTGAGACCTGCATGATTCCGAGTCTGATTGATACCAACTCGGCATCCTTGGGGGAAATTGAGATATCCAAGATGGCCGCCAATGTGGCCTTGAGCATATACAGTATGTATCAAGAAAATGCAAACAAAACATAAGTGAATGCCAGACGTAGAATGTAAAGCCAAAATAGATAATATAGATATGGTTTGAAAGATACGCCTCTCCTCCTTAAAATGAGACATAAAACGTCCAAATCCGATAATTTTTTGACAGAGTTAATGAGTAATTATTCAAGAGATTACAAATTGACCATGGGACCAAGTTTTCCATTTTAAGCATTAAGACAAATAAAAGGTAGCCTAATTGTCTCTGTGTGGATATTTGACTGGCCTATACAAAATTGCCTTTAGCGAGTAAGCACAATCCTAAACACTTTCTTACAATCACCTCGTATTAAAAATGTTTAGCATGTAAACATGTTTGCAAACTGATAGCAAGACAGTGTTAAGAATTGTGTGATTGGCTGAACACATTTTTTGTAGGTCAGGCAATTAGGCTACCTTGTCCCAAGGCATGCCTGAAATGGAAAACTTCTTCTCATGGTCACATTTAACTCTCTTGAAAAATTACTCATAACTCCGTCAAACATTATTAGAATTTGACGTTTGATGTCTCATTTTGAAGACGAAAGGCGTGTCTTTTAAATCATACATATATTAGCTATTTTGGTTACATACTCTACGTCTGGCATTCCGTTATATGTTGTTGGCTTTTTTAAAATTTTGATACACAATGTCATAATAAACTTGTAGGCCCAGAACATTTTTGATAAGTGATATAGTGCACAATATGGATTTAAAGTCACTGAATCAATTTTTACGATTTCCATCCCATTTTCACTGTTTTTTTTTTTCGCCATACAATGTGAATCTTGAATTGGCCCATGAATTAACAGTTTAATCATTTTGTTTGAAGTAATTTGCTTGATTGTTGTCGACGTATTTTTTATATTCAACAGATTCACAGGATCCGTGTCACTGTCAGAATGGTGGGACTTGTTTTGGGCAGTCTAACTGCATTTGTCCTTCCGGCTTTGGTGGAATTACATGTGAAACACCTCGTAGGTTCTATGTTCTTTTTACCTTCAAAAGTATAAATAAATATTATTTTGATGTTATCTTGGAAAAAGACAATTTGCTTATCGGCAAAAGTTGTTAAAGGGCCTGGCATTTAGAGCCTAGCGGGGCCTTTAGAAAAAAGTCAAAGAAATCGGCAGTTTTGCATTTAAACTGATCTCCGATTAAGCGTGTATGCCTTGTTCAAGCAATCCTTGTCGATACGGGGCCGGGGCCGCGCATAAGTCCCACGCCTCACAGGTCCGACGCCTCATCAACCAAATCTCATTCCCCAACCCAATAAAAGCCCGTAAGTCCGACGCCTCATAGGTCCGACACCCCATAATTTCGACGCCTCAGTTGCCCCGACAGCCATTATTAATGAAAAAAAAAAAGACACAGTAAGGAATGCACCACGGACGCGTCCACCCACGGGATCGCCGCCATTGATATTAAATCCACCGAGGGCTGGGCGTGCAGTTTGGTCCGATCCAGTAAGCACCGCCCCATGGTGTTCTGACCAATCACAGCCGTGATTTATGTCCGACGTGCGTGCACTAAAGTCCGACATGCGTGCACGCGCGTATTATGCGCGCGGCAGGAAAATGCAGTGTGGCATTGGAGAGGAGCACGTGTTAATTTGCCCACGTGCGCACTGGGCGGAGCTTACTGGATCGGTCCATTGTCCGAGTACGAGTACAACGAGTTAAGTTCAAAACCACTGCAGTTCCAGTAGATTAACCGTTTTTGGCTTTTCGGAAAAATAAAGCTTTCTTTGCTAAAGTCATTTGTTTTTGGAAGATGAGCTACAGTTTGTTGTCAATGCCCAGTGTGCATGTCCGTGTTTGTCTTTCTGTGCCACTTGTGTCTGTATATGTAATTACATGTATTCCTGTATGGAATAGTAACTTTTGGTAAACGCCAATAGTAGAGTCAGAAATATGTACCTCATATCTTCAATTACATGTATTGTCGAAATGTTACCGTGAAGATGAGTGGAATAAACCAAACGTGAAATTTCAACGTATTATTTACAATCGAAGTGTGGAGGACATTGTTCTTACAAATAGACACCGTTCTGATTCTCAGAGCAATTTTGAATACCGTAAATTATTCAAAACAAAAGCAAGAAATTAAAGATAAACTCGCTTAGTTCGAACGTTGTACATGTCAACAATGACTGTCGAAATGGTTATCTATTTTTTTTTTCAGATTGTAAATGTCACATCGACTCAAGTGGTATACCAAACGCCTGTGATGTTGCAGCAGGATGCGACGTTGGAGACATCTTAGATGTCCTGGCACAGGTAGGTCATGCACACTGCCTCTTCGTCGTTACCTACGTAAAACGCCAATTAATTTGTGCGCATACCAAACTTACTCGAGGTTAATCAGATATTAACGACATAAAACATACAGGGTGAGTCAGAATGATCTGCACCCAAGTTCACCATTTTTTGTGAAAAAAAGATTATATTGAGGAAAAAAATCTGTATGTTTCATATAGGCCTAAATGGTTGTTATTAAGCTTGTCTTCCACAGGAATTTCGAAGTTTTTAAATCAGGCTGAGGCTGTGGCGGGGAGTTATGCCATTTGGCCAATTTTCCAGTCTGCACAATTTGTTTTGCCTCTTTTAAATGTGTCAATAAATTCAAGCCAGTCAGTATGACAAGTTTCAGTCTTGTTATTACTCTGCTTCACATCAGTACGTGATTTTTTGTTGAACCACCTAACCGTGGTCAAAGTGGGTTTTTTTCTCGCGGGTGTTCTTTGCTAGCGCTTTTCTTCAAAATTGTACAATGGATATACATGAAACTTTCACTTTATGTCCAAAATACCAGCCTCTAGCATATCTCATTTGCACATGTTTCGATAATCGCTATACATTAAATATGTCCTTGAATTTGGGTCCAGATCATTCTGACTGAACCTGTTGTTTATGCGATGAATACTATGGTCAACAAAGTGATTTCTTGTGCCTAATTTTACACGCCCAAAATATAAAAATAGATTGAAATTTGATTGACAATGCACAACCATGCAGTTGTTGATTGAAACATTTGATCAAGGTGTCAATAATTCGGATGTTATGCCTTTAGTAGACTACGTTTTTATACATCAAACAATCATCAACCCATATAGACATCAGACACTCGTAGATGTTGTGCATTTCTACTGAAGTATCTCCTTTCTAATTATGATCCTATAGGTTGTGGTAAACGAAAACAATGTTCTACCAGTGTCCGTTGTGCTGACAAAAGCGACGTCACACTTCGAAGGCATTGATCAAGACGGGCTCAGTTTAACGGCAACGGTTCTAGAGAGAATAGGAAATGTTACCAATCCAAGTCTCGAGGTAGGTACTAACGCCAAGATTAGCCGGGTGCCTCATTCTAACAGATCTTTATAAACTGACTCGATAGTGCACGTGCCTCCCGCCGTGGGTGGATGCCACATGCATACGAATGGTAGTTTTCTTACACTCTAAAAACTCTGGGGTCAAATTGACCCCGATATGAGTCTATATCTGCACAGTCCGTTCAGGGTCAAAAAAATGACGCTTTTCTAGGTCAAAAAGAGCCAGAAGAATGCCATTTTTGACCCGGAAAAAGTTCATTTTGACCAGAAAAAGGTCAATTTTGACCCGAAAAATGGTGGTGCAGATAAAGACGCAGATTCTAGGTCAATTTTGACCAAGGAGTTTTTACAGTGTAATGTCAAGTACATCCCGCACTTACATTTTGGAGATTGAAATTGGAAGGCAAGATTTTTTTGTCCCTTGAAAGTTGGAATCGTCTTTTGTTTCCGACCATTTGTTTTCGTAGGTGACCTTAAACGTCATCAAGACTGTCGACAACGTTCTCAATCTGCCATACGAAATCTTCGAAGAGAATGATGATGATGCTGCGGGAAGGATCCTCCAAACCTTCGAGACACAGCTGACGTACGTCCAGGAAAACCTGACGATCGACTACCTGACGAACCTAGCAGTCGATGTCGTCGTACTTGGAGCAGATTCTGACGCCGATGCCGGCATTAGCTACGCTAGCATCCCAAGAGGCGGGGTCATCGATGACACTCTGCAGAACAATGAGGATCGGCTGGATTCGGCGATCGAACCACGGAATGACGCCGAAGCATTTATTGGTCTTCCCGGCGAAGCTCTAGATCTTGTTGATGAGCAAGGTAAAGGAAAACACTAGTTCATATCTTTGCACTTAATGTTGGAAATGAAATAAAGATAAAGCTCGAACTATTTTGTCAAATTTTGCCCTTAGAGCGCTTGTAATTTGATACCTGATGACGTCATGATGACGTCACAAAATTAGTAACATTTTCATACCGGGCTCCAAGTTCATACTAGATTTTATTATCAGTCCTTTGGATCTAGTTTATACCAGTTCAATTAAGTATCTCTGCAAGGAACGCTAGAAATGAAACACATATTGGGTAAGGCATTATGAGAACCTAATAGAGTGAAGTTATTTTTAGCTTTTGTTTAAAGCCTATGATGAATAATTTGTTTCAGATTCCATGGTAAACTTGACAGTTGTCTTCGCCGTGTACCTGACCTCCAAGCTGTTTCAGTTAGCCACACCCGAGTCCCTGAGCTTTCCTGACGGGCGACAACTGTTGGTGAACAGTCGCATCATATCAGCTATCGTCGGAGACAGAGATAAAATCATTGAAAACCTATTGAGCCCTGTTGTAACGTCTTTCATTTCTCTGGACGTAAGTGACATCGATTTATACCTAGGGCCACGAAGATGCATCATTTTAAAGATGCGGAATTGTCGGAGGAATACATCTTAATAAAAAAATCCCTTACATTGACCCGATCGCACTCCTGACGCATTCCTATCTTTGACCCTGAGAGACGTTAGTGCGGTGAGTTGGATAACCCTCCGAGTAAGGCTACAAACAAGAACGGGACCCTTTTGTTGTGCTATAGTTCTGGAAGATTAGGGAAAACAAAGACTGGGGAGGGAGCATGTGGTCCGGGTAGGCACTATGTGAAGACTGTATAGTTAATGGATATGGCCCAAGAAGTTGCTTGCTGCATCGTCTCTGAACAAAGCTTTGATTTCAGTTCTGACCCAGTGTTCTTTGTACCTGTTTTTCTTTTTGTGCTTTCCAAAATAAAGGTAAAGAAAAACCATACATTTTGCATTTTAATTGACTCAAGATCTTTTCTTTTATTTTAGACATCACACACAGGTGAGTCAATCTGTGTCTTTTGGGACACTGCTTCCAGCAACTGGTCCACCGAGGGATGTACTCGGTCCACGGTCAGCCCTGGTCAACGTTCCGTGGCCTGTGACTGCAATCACCTGACTAACTTTGCTATTTTACTGGTGAGACTCTACGGGTAATATAGTTAATAACATTCTTCTGTTGTTTTCTTTGGCAAACCTGAGGTTTTTGTGTGGCTGTTTATTGCTTGCTTTCTGTTTTCGTTTATATGTTTCTCAGAGTTATTACGGGGACATTGACAACTTTGCGTTGGATGTCATCAGCAAGGTCGGCTGTGGAATATCCATCGCGGCTCTGGTTCTGACCATTTTGACCAGCTTGGTGCACCGGTAAGAATTGTGTCATGAGGGCCAAACAATCAACAGTAATGCATGTTACATGAAGTACCAGGCATTAATAATGTACATTAATACCATTTATGAATGGACTGTGGGGTTGAGGGCAGCTAGTACCTCAACCTATATATGGTGGTAGGAAAAAACGTTCCAAGCCAAGGTCAGGTATGTGTAGATTGAAGGGGTGGCTTCGCGTAAGGTGTATTTCTCTTAGACCGGATAATTTGAGCTATATAAACTATAATGTTTCTTGTCAAATGCCGGATTTTTTTAAAGACTTTGTTTTTGTTTTGATGCCACAGTGAGCTAAGAAACAAACCAGCCAAGAAGTCTTTGATCAACCTGTGCGTGTCCCTGCTAGCCTTGTACGCGGTCTTTCTGGCCGGTATAGACCGGGCTCAGTCCCCGGTCACCTGTGTCATCATGGCCGCTCTGATCCACTACTTCTTTCTGACCTCCGTCTGCTGGGCCTCGGCCGAAGCCATTAATATGTACTACCTTCTGGTCCTCGCGCGCAGGGAACTGATGCCTAGATTTCTACTGCAGGGGATGGTGTTCAGTTGGGGTCAGTTTTAGATTTCCTCATCAACAACACATAAATATTAGCCTGCTCGAAAGTAGATCGTGCCGTCTAGTTCATCAAAATTATGTTTGGTGAGATGTCATGCCTAGGAGTTCACCTATTTTATATCGAATTAATAGCCACGTTTCATGAGGTTCTAATAAAGAGAGCGTTTTAATTCTTCATTTTCTAGAAATCTACCGTTAAACATTTTCAAAGTACGTTTGAAACCAACTGCTAAAAGCTCTCAGTTATCCAAAGTGAAGACGCCCTTATAAAGAGTTGAACTTGCAGGTGCATTAATATGTATACCTCATATAAAACTAAAATTTAATATACTTTTTTTAATGGTTTATTAGGTATTCCGATGGTGATCGTGGCCCTTACTTTCGTGGTGCTGTACCTAGTCACTGGACACTGGGAACTTGAGAGCAAATAGTAAGCATTAAAGGTCCATTTAAGACGAATTTGTCCGAGAAAAAAATGTTGCAACTTTCTACTCCTCTTAAATGTATGAAAACTACATACTTTTTTGGAAAATTTTGAGATAAGTGCCTTTTTTGATAAATTGTCATTGTTTTCAACTGTGGGGGTTATTGCTGTGATGTCATTTCGGGTACAAGCCAATGATAGACTGGCTCCATGACCTTGCAATTCCCCGACGTCTATACATTGCTCCAATTTAATTTTACTGAGTGAGTCGGGGAACCAGACTACAAGTATCTACCAACACTGCTATACAATATTTACCCCGAAATCCATCCATTTCTGAAAATTACAGCAAAAGCAAATGTTGTATATAAAACGTACGTCGGATTGATGAATTTTCTTTTCTTAGCATTGAACACCTAACATTTAGACTTGGATCGTCAAAAGGTTTAGATTTCAGGAGTAAATCTTATAAATAACTACAAATAAGGTTTACAAATGTCATTGACCCCTCGAAGTTCACCAGAGATCAGAATTGTTTCCATATCTGATCATCATCTCCATTGTATAAAGACCTATAGCTTAGACTTTGGACATAGGAAAGTGAAGTTTTGAAGAACAATTGTTTGACCTGCCTTGCTTCATTTTCTAGCTGCTTCTTGACTCCTGGCAACGCACTCTACTTCGGCGTCCTCCTCCCAGTTGGTATGATGCTTCTCTTCAACGTCTTCATATTCATCCTCATCGGGCGTCGTCTCGTCTGTCAGCGCATCAAGACCTCAAAGACACGACAAGAGACCCACCTGGAGAAAGTTATCCGTCACGGTCGAACCATGCTTCTGATAAGTCTGCTACTGGGGGCGACTTGGCTAGTCGGGTTCCTGGCGGTTAAGGAGGCAACCTACGTCTTTCAGTGGATCTTTGCCGTTCTCAACTCACTCCTTGGCCTGGCTATCTTCCTGTTCTTCATTGTTAGACAGAAGACGGGCAGGGAAGGGCTGAGGAAGCTCCTCTGCGTTGATAAGATTAGAAAGATCACACGCACGCGGGCCTCACCTGCAATCCATATGCGTGGAACCACGAATCAGGGTGTTAATGTCACACCAATGTAATGGGTACAAACTGCAAGATATACACATCGAACCAGTAGGTTTACACAGGTTCTTTTACGATCCTCCCCGCAGAAAATAATTCTACATCTTGCTGTCATCAATGCGTCAAACCGACACAAACAGTAAACTACAAGTTAAGCCTTTATTAATGCGATCCATGAATTGAAAATTGCTTAATACCCTGTCGAAGATTGAATGAATGTTCTTGTCATATCGTAATATGTATCCTTAAGTGAACGTTTTTAGAATAATCATTGAGTATTATTTAGGCGTACAATTAGTCAAATTTGTACTGTAAGTTGAAAACGTTCACCAGATGCCTACGTTAGTCGGCATTAGTAAGAGCGGTTTATAACTCATCTGTGTTGTTGGCAGGGAGGCAAAATGCGCCCTCTGTTGTCATTCAAAAGTTTCGCGAGTGATTTGCATATCATGACCTTTGTGCTTTCTTGCGCGAAGGCGAATTGTAACAAGTTTTTTTTTGCCTGTGGGACTTGAACAGGAAAGACCACCAAAATTTTGGGCATATTTTCTCTCTATTTCTTAGCCAAATTTATATAATTTTGGACGGGTAGTATTGTAGATTCGTCCCTGTAAGTACTTTGGTGTATAATGTGATCTTTTTGTGAGAACATGGAGTTAATTTTGAGGCCGGTTGATTTAGATCTGTAACCTCTCTGTAGCGCGTATAGCCAGCCATGTTTTGACATTTGACCTATAATTACACATCGCTGAGCTATTTTAATGTGCCGTACTATATGTAAAGAATATAATCGTCTTGACTCTTGTGTCAATTTGTCATCCCGCTACATTTATCGTTAAAACTACGTTAACTTAGAGATAGAGTTGACAGGAAATTATGGTTTCGAGGACAAATTAGAGGAAGTAGTTTTAAAGTATTAAACTACTTTTAAAGTTACACATTGTTGAATATACGTATTACAGTTAATGGCTCTTGAATAGGCTGCTTTTCTTTTGTAGAAAGTGGAATGATAAATGCACGACACGTTCTTCAGGCTCATGAGAGTTTTGAATAATTATTTTCACACAGCGAAGGGACGCCAAATAACTCCCGTCGTCTGTCTTTTTATTTCTTGTCGTGTAGGCCTATGTAGGCCTATTCCAGCTCCTGTTAAATGAATTCGACTGCGGAGCTTGTCGGCACGAAGACTAATTGTTCTATCCTACACAAAAGTGAGAAAATAATAAATAGAGGATACACATTGGCTTTATAATAATGTTAGTTTGTATTTTCTTCAGCGTTCAGAGAAAGGGGGAATTTGGTTGAAAGTGTAAACTAACATTCACTAGAAAAATAAAGGTCTTTTGCACTCTCAAAACGCTTGTTAAAATTTGGTTGGTTAAACAGTTGAATGACATTTTAACCAAACATTGTGTAAAATGTTCAAATGTTGCCCAACGATTACAAAACGGTTGGCCCATTTCGCTTTACCAAAAAAAAAAAAAAAAAAAAAAAAAAATAGGGACAGGAATTAAGCAAAATACAAGTTCCACACATTTTAGACTTTTTTGGACATGGATAAAAATTGGCATAACATTGGGTGAACATTGCCGACAGGCTCTTCCGTGACTATGTGGGAGAATTACTTTGCAGTACTTCTCTTTATTAACTTGTTTTACTTTTCTGATGTTATTTTGCAGATACACATACATTGGCTATTGGTGTGAACATGTAATCGTGCACTAAAAGGATACAAAAAGGTTTTAAACTGTATCGATTCTTACAAAGATATAGTAGTCGGAATGACTGAAAAACCTTTAGGTTTAAACTTCAAAAAAGGGCTAAAAACGAGAGGCATAAGTTTTGTTCCTGACATCCGGCATGATCTTTCCTGCTAAATTGAACATCATCGAGATAATCTGCCATTGTAGACACTATAACCTAATTAACACGACAAGAGACATTGTTACATTGTGGGTGATTCACGTGCCAGCAAGAGTTTGCCATGGACGGCTAATTTTTTTCCCCAGTGCATTGTGAGAGATGGTCGACAAATTCGCAGCGCGGGGAATTTGAAATTGGTATTTTTTTCTGGTCAGCAGTTTCGTAAGCGTGTGATTCGAGGATATGTTTGCCCTTTTCTTTTCTTTTCATCAATATGGTTTTTTTTTGTAAAGGGGCAGAACGCTATGCCCCAATCTATAACAAAATAGCTCAAGTTGTCTACTGACACCCATTCAAGTGGGTCATGTTTTGTCGACCGTGAACTTGAAAATGGACTCTCCACGGAAAACTCTTGGTCGCGCACTGCATTATGAATCGCCCGAATTACCTTTAAAGAACGTTTCCATTTACAGTAAACCGAGTCAGGTCTGCCCATTTGGGCAGCCGTGGATCCTTGACACCGTGATATAACGAGAATGACATATTAACTTTAACATAAACTTTCTGCTGAGCGCCCACCCCCTTCAAGCACAATCTTAGACACATTTTCCTAATATGGAGATGACGTTGGTTTCTGTTTTGTTTACCCTTTTTTCTAGCGGTTCCATGTGGGGCACTTTGATTTCTGTGAGGTCAATATTGTTCTCATTGTTACTCCAATATGATTAGTAGTGCCCCTGTATGTATACACATACGGACGCAAGTGCCTACATTGCTTTAAAGTATAGTGGTGATATTCATGGCCTTTAGACTTCATTCACAATGCAATTAAAGGCTTAATGCCTATGTATCACGTTGGTATTTAAAAGAAAAGGGGGGGGGGGCAAAAGTAATATAGCGACTTTTCAGTTTTGCATCTAGAGAAATATACCAATTGTCTTGATTACGTGCCAGTATTTAAATTCAAGATAACCATCAGTTGATAATTGCAACTAGTTTGTGGTAGTCATGTAGCTGGGAACCTACATAATACAATGAAGCAGCCATTATCTTCTTTAGCGATGACACTCGCCGTATCGAAAGGTCGATCCGAGTCCGGCTGCCAAGTCCCCCCTGTGGACAGCCCCGCAAAAGCCGCAGAGATTTCCATACACGACTCCGTTATAAGCGCACACCGGATTCCAATCAGCTAGGCAAGCCATATTGTCGCCCTCAAAACCCCTACAAGCAGTGAATGCGTCCTAACAAGAAGATAAAATGGTAACTACAGTGATCGAATTCACTGATATTTGATATACAATATTCACATATACAGCATATGTATCAAACTATACAACACCTTTTGATATGCATGTGAAATTTGTAAATCAAACTAGCGACACTGGCTTTTGCTGTAGATAAATAATATAATATATATGAATCAAATAATGTACATGAATGTAATGTACATGAACATCGAGTATCGACTACAAAACAAACGGTCATTGCCATATAAACTTACACTAACATCAAGTTATCAGGCAAGTAAATAATTTGATGTAAGCAAAAATGGAGTGCATTTCCTCCAGCTGTATGAACTTCGGTACTCATTTAATGTAATCCGTACGTGGAAAAAAAAATAATTTTTTGAAGTGATTTTTGAATTAAAATACATCAAATCATGACATAATTGGGTTCTCAATAAAAAAAAGTCAAACTACAAAGCCCATACTTAATTTAAGTTTCGTGTGATTCTAGTCACTAACTAGGCGTTTTTTTGTGACTACAAAATAACATGTTACAGTAGCATTTTGTGCAATGTTTTAATTAAAATGAAGGATTTCGCTTACAAAGCACAATGAAATAAATATGTGGTTTGCCTTAAAATCGCATTTGCCTTAAAATCGTTTTTGGTGAGGCAACATACGAGAAGAAATGCAGATTAAATGCGCAAAGCAGGCCGATGTGGCAACGAACGCACACCATATTAAACGAGCGGGAACAATATGTCTTAACCGCGTAGTCAACGGTTGAAGCTTTTAGCATGTCGTTACGTACATTTGTAACTATATCATCGAAACTATATCTTCGCAATGTACGCATGCACCTACATCATCATCGTCGTAATTCACGTCGTCACCAACATCTAACTTGAACAATGATAGTTTGATAATTAAAGAAAAAGTATATAAAAACACCTGTTGAGTCAAACAGCCCGCACTTACCAACTCAAACTGCTTTTTCTCACAATCCACCTCCTTTACAATCACTGACAGCATTGCTGAAATGGAAGAAATCATCCCCATCGGATCAAGTGTAACAAGGGCTATCAGTCATCTTAAAGTCCTTTTAAAAAAGAAGGTTTTCTATGACACCAACACTACTTAGCAGAATATGCAAGACATAAGCAAGTCTTGCTGTATTTTTATGTGAGGGTCATGTAGCGGAGTCCATTTTTTTTATTGCAGCTATAGTGCTCATGGGCGTCGCCAGGAATCTTTCCAAGGGAGGGGGGCAAAGCAAATTTTTCCCCAAAATTCCTTTATTTTTTTCATTATATTCTCAATTAATCGTTTTCCGACCGTGAGCGGGGGAGCATTTGCAATACCCCCCCCCCCGATCAAATTAACACCAATATGGCTTCGCACCTCTTTTTCTTTTTTTCCTTCTCGTTTTTTTCGGGGGGGGGGGGAGCAAGTGCCCCCTTGTCTCCCCCCCCCCTTGCGACGGCCATGCTAGTGCTTAAAATTTAGCTGATGTTTTTCTCAGTGTCATTGAGTTTGCATTCGTATCAAAACAAATGCATTTTGAGTTCTAGAGACGACATTTGTCCTGGCCTGACCAAAAAGTGTCATGAGAAGAAAAAACAAACAAACAGATACTTAAATACACAGTGTTGTAGGTCTCGAGACCGGTCTTGGGACCGCTTTTTGCTGGTCTCGGTCTCGGGAGCTGTGGTCTCGGTCTCGGTCCTCTTTGGTCTCGGACCACCTTGAATTAGGGGCTGGTCTCGGCCTCGGATTATCTGGTCTCGACTTCGACACTGCTTTAAACTGCGTATCCGAGCAAGTTTGAACTCGGGCATTAGAGCGGTCGGGGTAAAGGAAATAAAGCACGCTGCGCTTACCTGCTAAGCCGAGCATCCAAACAGCAGTACGCATGGTGACTTCAGAGCAATTCTCAACGGGCCACTGTTGTATATTTACCGTTCACGAACTTAAGTGAGATGCAGATGACTAGATCGTACCAGCTTATATCAGTTAGTATATGTATACCCACGGGAATAAATTTCAAGTTGTCAAACTATCAGGAAATTTCAGTAGGGAAAATTAGCCACACTGTGGAGACTTGATCCATCCATAATTCAACCGTATGGCAGGACTTTTTGTGCAGTTTTGGAAAAGATGATCCATCGATGCAATAATCCTGGTGTCTTGCATCAAAACCTTGGTGGTGAGAGGTTTCACATTTTGCTGATCAAACGCTCTTGCATGAGATATAAAGAAATATACAGCGACAGATGGTATGTCACAATAGACGGCCATATTTCTTTCTTCGTGTCGCAAGCATTCCTTTTGATCGCGACATTATAAGAAAACTGCCAATCAATTTAAAAACAGATCTCAACCATTCGAACCCCAACGGCAGGTTTTGTTGGAATCTGTCAGGATGGGTACAGTACCCCTATTAATTGACAGTCTTTTACAATGGGTTGGCACACCTCCAGAGTCAAAGTAAGAAATATGTGTGAGCAGTTTTCCATATGGTGTTGGAATTTGCCAGGATGGATATGGTTCCTAGTAAATCATACGCTTTGGGCTGTATCCGCCGAACACTGTCAAAAATGAAATTATGGACAGGCCAAATATCGAGACCATCAAGCACCATCATCATTAACTCAAACTAAGTCTGGTCAAACCACAGCCATAAAGGGAAGTATATATCAAACATATGTGAATGGACACAAATAATACCAAAGACTACTTCTTCATTGCTTCCCCCAGTGTCTCTTATAATTAGTGTATTATAGTTATTCATAAGATGGATTTTTTAATTTGAGTGTATTATAGGATTATTGCATTTGGTTCGAAAAAAAAATGTCTGATTCAAAAAGTCTGATTCACAGACGTCTCGAAGCTTTTCCTACACACATAACAAAAATACACGAGAGGTGTCGGTGTTTGCAGTATTATTTATTCATGTCTTGGTAATTATTTGCGAATATATAGCAATTGGTTACAGGAATGAATCACGTGCATTTTAAAACAAAGATATAATACTTGAAATGTCTATGACAAGTTTCAGGACCACGCATCTTTTAGAAAATGAAAACGATATTTCGACAGTTATTGGCCAATGTTAATTTAATGGCTGGCTGACCGCAGTACCGTTTTTATGCAGATCTTCATTCGTTGTCCCCGAATTATCAATTTCTTTTTGTAAAGTCGGCTTTTTTCTACTAAGTAATACCTTGATGCGCTTTCCGTGCTTTCACTGAAAAAATCTGGGTTTAAGAGAAACATCTGGGTCTCGTTATTATGCATGTTTCATCTTCGGCTACAAACTCGAAAAATGGACCACTGCGATGAACATATTCATTCCTTAAAAATTCGTTAAAGAGCCATTTACCCTTGAAATTACAGTTAACTAAATGTTCACGGATTTTTCAACATATTAAGCCAGATTTAGAGTCAGTGAAAACACCCCTAAGAAAGTCCTTTGTTTACCCATGGAGATAGACCCAGTGTACCGTTATGTATAACCAATGATAATCCTCAGTGGCCAGGGTCATTAAAAAAAACCGTGAAAATACCCTTACAGGATTAGTCTTAAGCCCCATGTAACTGTCCGTGAAACATCTCCTAAAGATTCTTTTGACGGAGAAATAGACTTTTAATGAAAGTTTAAGGGACACAACAAATTATTGTAGGCTACTGCTCAGAATGTAGCTGCTTATTACTGCACCAATGTGTTTGGTCGAGTTTAATTCAGCCATCCTGTTAGTGATGTGGCCCACGGTGACCGGAACAGAGCCCTTCGTGGTAGGTTGCATCAGTCGGCACGTTGCCCCTCAAGATGGCTCCGCACATCAAGCACAGGTTGTTGTATGTCTTGCCGTTGCTGGCACACACTGGCCTTAGAATCTTGAAGCAACGCGGGGGGCTGTATTCATCGCAGTAATCGGGAAGCTTTATAGAAAGATGGAATATATTTTTTTGACATCTTAGTATGTAAAAGTATTTGCAAAATGAGACTTAATTTTAGCCTCTTGGCCTCTTAGTTAGACTGCCTCGAGTAGTTCTGAAGTGGATAACCACCGACTATGTTATGTGTTTAAGGATTTACAAGGTGCTGCGGCGCATTAAGCAGCCACTGCCAGAAACACCGGGGCAAACCACTTCTCTTAGCGATATGTGTTACTGAGTCCTTTTACTTGCATTACTCAACGCACGGCACCTACACGGGCTACGGCTTTACGTCCCATCCGAAGGACAATCAAAGCAATAATGGTTAAGTGTCTTGCTTAAGGACCCAAGTGGCAAGACTGGGACTCGAACCCACACTCTGCTGATCAGAAACACAAGAGCTTGAATATTTTCCTCTCAAACCGCTCGGCCATGACACTCCACAACGTTTTAGCGTATTTTGTTTTGACCTGTTCTTAATAAAATGTCAACCGATTGCTAAATGTTGGCCTAATGCGTAAGTACTGAGACAAGCTCTTTGAATGCCTTTCCTTCTAGATCACAATTATCATATTTGACCCTAGTGACATCGTCATTTCAACTGTGTATCGACTATTAGCACCGGGCGATTCTGCTATTGACACCCAAGAGTCAAAAGGCCTTTTGTCGATTAAAATTGGGAAGAAAAGGAAAACGTTCCTTTTCAAATGCTGACGCACTCACCTGCTCAACTGTCACCGCTTCGCAGAAACTTGCTGAGAAAGCTACTGAAATATAAAAAAAAAACAATGTAGTGAAAGAAGTGAAAGCAAAAGGCTTTCCACGTTCTGTTTATTAAGTCTCATAATCGTTTGCCGCGACATCATTTGCTCCAAGAAATTCAATTTCTTGACATTGACAAATACTTTTCAGTGCCCATAGTTATAAAAATGGCGGGCTAATTTACAGTAAGTGAATAATTGTTTTACCTACTTGTATGTACCCTTTCAATTCTAATGGTGGCGAGCATTTTGCAATTAGAAAACTTGGTCATCCTAGTACGAATGTGACAATATCTCTATATTTAGCAGATATTCAATCTAGACTTATACCAGGATGTAAACGATGCAACTGCAAGTGTACTTTTTCAAAGAAAGAAACATTGAACAGGTCAACCGTTAGTCAAAATATTTACACCTCATCAAAAAACCTTGGCATATTTCATCAGGAATGAAGCTTGTCCCTAGCAGACTTCAGTCAATCCAGACCACAGTTTTTGAGAGTGTATGTTTCTTATTCTTCACTGTTCGCTAAAATTCATCCTTGCTAAAACTGGCACTTCACTGGTACCTTTTTTATACCGCCAGAAAAAAAAAGAAACAGACAAAATGATAGTACATGCTTCTATAGGTTAAGTATCCGGGTGTCGTACCTGCTATGGCTATGGCGATGCATAACATCAAAGCTGAAGACTGCATGATGAAGCTTGTATTGTCAGTTGTCGAATGTTATCCGATGATCTGGGACATCAGTCAGTAAGACTGGACTTAAATAGTTTGTTGGCTCTGCGTTTCCTTGTATTGTAAGAAGAACATTTAAATTTAGGCCATCACATTTATTCTACTTTCGAACCGATAGTGTTAGGTTTTTCATTGTCTCTGACGAGACTGTTATTTGACGATTGGGGCCGGGAACGAGCAGTTTCAAATGACTGTAAACTAAACCTCATGCCTAAAAAAATACCGTTACTCTATACCTTGAAAAATTCCCGAGGTGAGTTAAATAATTATAATATACCAAGTAAAAGAATGAGGCTTGAACGTTGTCTGCTTCAGACAACCAAACAAATTGTCGTGACAGATGGCATGCTATTGAAAAGGTATATCTTGTTAAGAATTGTCGTAATGACAAGTGACAGTGCTGGTTCAATTGCAGATCCAGAAAAATTTTAACGAGGTCATTGTAAATCCTACGTTCATTCCGAACCCAGTTGAGAGTTTCTATCACAATACATACATTTCCCACACACACTACAAGAGTAACAAAATACACGAGAGGTGTCGCTGTTTGCAGTATTATTTATGTCTTGGTAATAATTTGCGAATATAAAGCAATTGGTTACAGGAATGAATCACGTGCATTTTTAAAACAGAGATATAATACTTATAATGCCTATGACAAGTTTCAGTCCCACGCATCTTTTAGAAAATGAAAACGATATTTCGACAGTTATTGGCCAATGTCAATTTAATGGCTGGTTGACCGCCTTCATTCGTTGTCCCCGAATTATATTTTTTTTTGTAAAGTCGGTTTTTTTTGCTACTAAGTGATACCTTGATGCGCTTTCTGTGCTTTCACTGAACAATTTCTGCAGAGAAACATCGGGGTCTCGTTATTATGCATGTTTCATCTTCGGCTACAAACTCGAAAAATGCGCCACTGCTATGAACATCTTCATTCCTTAAATATTCGTTAAAGAGCCATTTACCCTTGAAATTACAGTTAACTAAATTTTCACTCATTTTTCAACATATTAAGCCAGATTTGAGTAAAAACACCCTAAAGAAAATCCTTTGTTTACCCATTGAGATAGACCCAGTGTAAGGTTATGTATAACCAATGATAATCCTCAGTGGCCAGGGTTATTAAAAAAACGTGAAAATTCCCTTACAGGATTAGTCTTAAAGGTAGAGTCCATCATTTGTAATTTGTGCATTTTGTTCGTTTGAAGTAACAAAAGAGTTCAAAATCTAATGAAGGATACTGAGCAACTAACCTGATGAAGTTTCAGCTAAGCTTCAGCTGTACATTCCGAGAAAAACAGCATTCTAAGATCTCAATTTCAAATCAAAAGTTGCTGAATCATGTTTTGAATTGTTTTGAATTGCAACTATACGCGACGTCGCGCACTGATCCGACGAATTATAACAACCGCGCGCGCGTGTGCGTCGTTCGAATACTTGTGCGCGCTTCGCTGAATAACAAAACGAACTACTAATTTAAATTTTCCTACGGTGCTTCTTAAGAATCACCGTTGGAAATGCCTTCTTTCGTTGATTACTTCAAAATGACAGCTTCCCAGAAAGAATAATTTCACAGGGAGTTTAGTCTCCTTACTATCTTTCAACCAAGTTAGTTTTTCAACAATAATTACGCCAGTTACTTTTCGGATGGCTGCAAATGATGGACTCTACCTTTAAGCCCCATGTAACTGTCCGTGAAACATCTCCTAAAGATTCTTTTCACGGAGAAATAGACTTTTATTGAAAGTTTAAAGGACACAACAAATTATTGTAGGCTACTGCCCAGAATGCAGCTGCTTATTACTGCACCAATGTGTTTGGTCGAGTTTAATTCAGCCATCCTTAGTGATGTGGCCCACGGTGACCGGGACAGAGCCATTGCTGGTAGGTTGCATCAGTCGGCACGTTGCCCCTCAAGATGGCTGCGCACATCAAGCACAGGTTGTCGTAAGTCTTGCCGTTGCTGGCACACACTGGCCACAGAATCTTGAAGCAACGCGGGGGGCTGTATTCATCACAGTAATCGGGAAGCTTTATAGAAAGATGGAATATATTTGTTGACATCTTAGTATGTAAAAGTATTTGCAAAATGAGACCCAATGTTAGCCTCTTGGCCTCTTAGTTAGACCTGTTAGACCGAGTAGTCCTGAAGAGGATAACCACCAAGTACTTTATGTAGCACCCTTTAAGGATTTACAAGGTGCTGCGGCGCATTAAGCAGCCACTGCCAGAAGCACCGGGGCAAACCACTTCTCTTAACGCATGGGACCTATACGGGCTACGGCTTTACGTCCCATCCGAAGGACAATCAAAGCAATAATGGTTAAGTGTCTTGCTTAAGGACACAAGTGGCAAGACTGGGACTCGAACCCACACTCTGCTGATCAGAAACACAAGAGCTTGAATCCGTTCCTCTTAAACCGCTCGGCCATGACACTCCACAACGTTTTAGCGTGTTTTGTTTTGACCTGTTCTTAATAAAATGTCAACCGATTGCTAAATGTTGGCCTAATGCGTAAGCACTGAGACAAGTTCTTTGAATGCCTTTCCTTCTAGATTACAATCATCATATTTGACCCTAGTGACATCGTCATTTCAACTGTGTATCGACTATTAGCACCGGGCGATTCTGCTATTGACACCCAAGAGTCAAAAGGCCTTTTCTCGATTAAAATTGGGAAGAAAAGAAAAACATTCCTTTCCAAATGCTGACGCACTCACCTGCTCAATTGTCACCGCTTCGCAGAAACTTGCTGAGAAAGCTACTGAAATATAAAACAATGTAGTGAAAGAAGTGAAAGCAAAAGGCTTTCCACTTTCTATTCATTAAGTCTCATAATCGTTTGCCGCGACATCAATTTTGCTCCAAGAAATTCAATTTCTTGACACTGACAAATACTTTTCAGTGCCCATAGTTATAAAAATGGCGGGCTAATTTACAGTAATGTAAGTGAATAATTGTTTTACCTACTTGTATGTACCCTTTCAATTCTAATGGTGGCAAGCATTCTGCTATTAGAAAACTTGTTCATCCTAGTACGAATGTGACAATATCTCTATATCTAGCAGATATTTAATCTAGACTTATACCAGGATGTAAACGATGCAACTGCAAGTGTACTTTTTCAAAGAAAGAAACATTGAACACAGGTCAACCGTTAGTCAAAATATTTACACCTCATCAAAAAACTTTGGCATATTTCATCAGGAATGAAGCTTGTCCCTAGCAGACTTCAGTCAATCCAGACCACAGTTTTTGAGAGTGTATGTTTCTTATTCTTCGCTGTTCGCTAAAATTCATCCTTGCTAAAACTAGCACTTCACTGGTACATTTTTAATATTCCGCCAGAAAGAAAAAAACAGACAAAATAATAGAACATGCTTCTATAGGTTAAGTATCTGGGTGTCGTACCTGCTATGGCTATGGCAATGCATAACATCAAAGCCGAAGACTGCATGATGAAGTTTGTATTGTCAGTTGTCGAATGTTATCCGATGATCTGGGACATCAGTCAATAAGACTCGACATAAATAGAATGAGATGGGAAATTGGTGAAGAGGCTTTCTTCCTGCAGTGGAGCGAAATAAGCTAGGCAGACAGACAGACAGACAGACCGACAGACCGACAGACAGACAGACAATTGCATATCGATTAACCTCAATACACGTATTGAGTTTGACGGAGTCTCTAACGTCCTTGGAGTGTAGGCCTATGCAACATATGCTTCTCTAAAAATAACTGTTTTTTATTGTTTCTGTCTTTGCGAGGGCATAATTAAATTCTGCCCGAGCTACTGGAAGAATCTTTGTGGCTACAAAATATGTTCTCGGCTTTACGACCAAACCCCCCCCCCCCCCAAAAAAAAAACCCAACAACATCAAAATAGACTGGAATTAGTATTGGATGCTTTGTTTGTTTTAGTTAACAAACATAGCCTAATCCCATATAGACTTTTATTTGGGAAATTGAACGCTCCCTGCATCACAGTTTTGCTGCCCCCCGCGTTAACCAAATAAATTTCCATTCACGTGTCTCACTTTACGCATTTTATCATTTGTCAAGAATTTTACGAACGTTTTAAATTGTTCGACTCTTTGGATGTGGTGGTGGTTTCCCATCACCCGTTGCCTTTGTCCAGGTTCTCCTTTCCATTTTCGATTTTTCCTCGACGATAATACTCCCGCAGTTTTTCTTCCGAACAGTAAACATAAAGACGTATCACACAAATGTGAAGTCATCATGATGTCAAGATGTAACGGTCCGATGACGTTATATTAGTTCAAAAAGTGACTGATTTGTTTCAATCATAACTCATGAACAAAATGCACAATCATGCCTTGGAAAACTATTTTCGTTGATATAAAAGTGTTTTACCTAAAACGTCTGGGGTGTTCAGAAAGTTAAGGTTAGGTGAATTCATTATGCCGACAGAAGCATCTATATTAAAAACGGAAGTTCTTCAAAACCTTTTAAGGGTTAAATAACGTCTGTCATTTTGGGAGTTTAAAACATGTTAAAAACTACACAATAAAAGTTCAATTGTAATATATCAGAGAATCTTTAAAATCTATTTCATCCATATAAAACCTAGGAAACTTGGAAATATTGTAAAGTCAATGAGATATTACTTTTAAAAGGTTTCATTTTGTTTCATTCAAAGATTAAAAACATCTGTCGATCTACCTCCTTTTACTCAAGATTGCATTTTTCTATTAACAAGGTATATAATTTGTGTAAGCCTATATGGTCGAAGACTGTATAGTCTTGGTATAAAACGAGCAAGTTATAGAAGGCTGGGACTCGTATAGGGACTATTAGAAATATTGCGAGTACTGAATACGTGTACAGCTCGGAAACAGGTGGTTGTCATATCAGCATTCTGTGCAGTTGAATGTTAAGACGCATATGGTAAAATAACCACACAGACCGGTGACATAATTAGCTCGTGCTTCCGAGCCGCATACATATCCCGTACCACATCATTTCTAATGGCCCTTGTTATGGTGAGGTCGGTACAGAGAGAATCGATGCTAAATGAAACAGCGCTATGCTCTCAACAGCTAGTGAGGCTATAGTCCCCGCCTCATTATCTATTCCTAGCTGTAATAGAGGATCCACAAACCAGACTATTTTCAAACGATTTTAGAGAATTATCAGCTAAGTAAAATTTATATTATTGACAAAATTGTGGCTTTGCTCTGGTAAAATACCATCAACGGATCTGCTTGCTTTACTTATATTTTAACGAAAAACGGCTCTTTGTGCCGGAAAAATGCAATCTTCTTAGAACTTAATTGATATTGGAAAATTCACAAGAGAATACTAGTTTCTTTTCTTTTCTTTTCCTAACCAGAACAGAACTTTAACACATATAGTAATGGCTGTTGGTGATGAAATATTTTCAAAACTTGCATATTAGACATTGAAGGCTAATCTCTTTTGATTGTAATTATTAACTTTATAAACTAATGCATTACAGTGAATGTTATTAATGGTGTTTTTTCTCGTCTGCATCGCCCGACCGTCGTCTGCTACTGAATAAATCTTCAACTCAATCATCTGCATGAAGCCGAACTACGCATGCGCGTTTTGGAGGAAAAAAAACACCACGAAATGCCCGTTGAGTGCATATAGGGACGTGAACAGATGTGGGATGTAGCATTCTACAAAGTAGACAGTCTCAAGTCGACTAGTGTGACAAGTTTTCTCGTCTAATCTTGAACGATAATTTTGACAACTGGAACTGCTGCATCTTCCTACAAGGACCGTCAGTAACTGAAGTTAGTTGATATATTTTGGAGAATTGCTCTAAAGTCACCATGCGTTCTGCTGCTTGGATTCTCGGCTTAGCAGGTAAGCGTTGCATATTCATTTTCTCTTCTCATACTGACCACTTTTCTTCCTGAGTTTAAACTGTTCGAATACGCAGATTAAGTTAGTGTTTGTTTATTGTGTGTAAAGGATATTTTTTCAGTCCGGGCAGGACAAATATATCAGTTTTAGGAGTCGCTTTTATTCATTGGTTTTTATGCATGTAAACCCAATAATAAACATGTATTGTTGACACTGCTGTATAAAAACCACCAAACAACATTGATGCAGTTTTCTTGCTCATTATACTTAGTAGTGTCCATTCCAAGTACACGTAGACCTTCTTTTTTTCACAAAGGACATGAGGAACATTCTTATTTTATATTGGGTTTTGCCCTGCGACATGTTTTATAAATACTGTGTACTCAGTGCAGCTGTTCGAGGGATTGCAAGAACAAAATCACAAGCTTACTCTCCCCCACGCGAAATCCGTCACAACGATAGCCTCCTGTGTCCACTAAGAATTGACGAGGACCCTGAAATTCTAGTTACCAGGCAATGTGTTTATTGATAATTCAGCTATCTTCAAATCAAGTTGACTAAAACTCAACCTTGGGGGAATATGTTAATTAATATAAAAGACAAAAAAGTAGATGCACCATAGATATCAAAAGGCATGTATTTACGACACCTAAGCGATATTCTACCCGTTGACTAGTTAGGCACGGAATCCTTTATCTTTTTAATTTAAGAGAATGTAAAATGGCACACCGCAAACTTATTATTATTATTATATGTTTTACTTCCGAATATCATTTTAGAGTGACGTTACGGGGAGGGGATTTTGGGTATTACCCCACCCCAACCCCTCAGAATTTAGGGAGAATTAATTAATTAATTTCGTTTCGATTCATTGAGTGTCCCTACTGAAAATGACTCCAACCTCAGCCGCCCCCTCTCCCCCCCCCCCATTGCATATACGTAAAAAGCAAACAATCACGCTGTAGTGCCTGCATACCAACTGGTATGTATTAAAACCCAGTGCTGTGTTTCAACCTCAAGTGTACTTCAATAGAAAGGATGTGTTTGGTCATATATATTAAAGTTTTAAAGGGAACAATTGTGGGATATTACACAATTTAGCATCTTCCAGATGATAACCTTTGTTTGTTTGTAAAATCGTCATTCGTAATTAATTTTTCCGTCAGAAGTTATTTTGTAAATCTCATTGAACTGAGTAGGATAAAAGTACACCCTCCCGTACATATTTTTTGAAACATTTCCTCAACAGAAAAAAAAACACGTTTCAAGTGTGTTCGTGTAACTGTTATGCTCTACTGCCCATTTTGGAATCTAACCAACTTCAGATGAGTCCGTATTTGCTTAGCAGTGACCAGTAATTGGCTCAAAGGACATTTTGGGTGCATATTTAATTAAGTGTTTAAAAATGATATTCACAAAAGAAAAAAAGCCAAATGGTTGAATTTGTTTTGTGTGTTCATGGCAACCATATCAAGGTTTTTGAGTGAAATGTTGTTGTTAACTAAAATGTCAGGGTTTGGGCATTTTTGATCTATTTGGACTATTATAAGATGGAATTATTGCGAAGGGGTGAAATAAATCAAAATATGATTTGCCCTTCACCGACGTTTAAACACTGTATGCTGAGGACTGTTTGGACTGTTGATCTCATGGAGATAATTTCCTTCATTTAGCCATGCTGTCACTGATGGTACCGGAGGTGACTTGTGGACCAGTTTTCGATCAAATAGTAAGTCCAAGATGCTTGAAATATAGTTTGTTCAAGAATGCCAAAAACATCATCGCTTATAAGTTCGATGTTGGTGATGATAACGACAGCACGACGTTCATTGCGACGATAATTTAATGATAATCACGACAATGACGACGATAAAAAGTGACAACCATTTCAACAGTGACGACGATCCAGGGCAACGGGTTAGACATGCCTGCCGCCTCCTGCCCGGTGCTTTTTAGTTGGCCTACGTTTTGTAACAAACAATCCACATAAGTACAACCCGATCTTTAAAAATAAAGTCTTCTTATTTCGGATATTTGTATATAAGAAAGTTACATACGAATGTACAGTGTATGTGTTTGTGTTATTACAATATTTCGATTTTGGACAATCACAAACGTGTATACAACGACTGTAGGCGTTAATTTCGATACTGGATATTAAACATACACAAACGTATATTATCGATTCTACGCTTTATACAACCAATCCCCGTATTTATTTTGAGCGGAAACCCGTCTACAACTGTTGTACAAACGTATTTGAATATTGTATATCAAATATTGAACTGAAGTTAAAGTCACTGTATTTATTGTTTACTATTCCTCGATAGCCTGCTTCTGGTGCCTGCTCAGGCTACCCGGATCCAATCGAGGCCTGCCCCGCTAATTACGAACCGGTGTGCACTAACAACGGACTCCAGTACGGGAACATCTGCAGTCTTTGCTGGGCTGTGCAAATGAGCAACTTGGCGGTCGAAACGTTTTTTGTGTACGGCGAGTGTAGTCGCAAGAAGATACACCTTTAATAAAAGTTCTCCACTGACTGTTATCCTCATCTCCAACACCAGCACAACATTTGAAACCACGTGATCAAGACACTCGCTAAATTTCTCTAGATGCACGCTGAACAGTCGCTACCGCGTGTATTCTTACTCTCCATAATCAATGTTATTTAAATACGGTAATTGTATTTTTAAAAAATAGACATTCCCATAAACTTGTGCACTTAAAAAAATCTGACTTTAATAACCCATAACATAACCTATCCTACCCTCACTTTGAAAATGTGGGTTTTGCATCACAATCAATTGATTAATTAATGAGACATGAATATACCTTGTCTCCCTATAAGGTACAACTTTTGATGAAATGTGTCTTCCTATAAGCCTTCATTTACAGCATTGATCATAATTAATGTTATCAAAAGCGCGGCCATTAAACCTGTATCGGCTGCCATTGTATTTTAAATGAACTGAGTAGGCTTAAACCACGAACAATAATTATGCCGCCATAATGACACAGTGAATCTTGTTTGATGGTTGTCTGTTTCTTCCAGCGCAACAAATTTACAAACTAAACTCAATTCTCAATTAAAAAATATAAAATTGCCGCAAATACTGAGGCATTTAATTATTTCATTATTAAACGCGAGTGAATTTATTGCTGACTCGTTAGTGAGCCTTAATAACTTTAGTGTTCCGAGCTAAATACTAATTTAATAAAAATCTATTTTGGGGTGAAACTCGAATATTATATCATTCGTAATTTGCAGTTTAAAGATGTAAATCTCTTTTTATTTCGGGGCTTCTCAAACATGCAGACCTGACTAGATTTTAGATTAACGGAAACGTTTTATAACGGAAGTTGTAGCACGTCCCTTTAATTTCTAACATAAAAAAAAACAAATGGAAATTACACGATTCCTTTTGCATATACAATTGTGCTGCTTAGATTTATATGGTGTCTACAATAACAGGTTATCATTCCGATAAAACAAGGTTTTTTGCATCTGAGGAAAATAGGTCAGGTTCAGGAAGACAAGTTTATTCCTTTGGTTTTGTCACCTTGTGTGCTTTAAGCCTGCAATTGTTCTGCTAATTCCTTCTATTATATCTATGTAAGCATTGATAATGTTTGAATCCTTTAGCACACTTGGGGTGCATTTCTGTGTATTCGCATTAAAAAAAGGTTAACCGAAAGCAGACATTCTTCCTGCAGTTTCGCCATTTATTTCTTTTATTGAAAGCATGTAATCGTGCGTAGATTTCCTAATTGTTCCAAAACAAATGAAATAAAGCTACAGAAAGACGATTACAGCTTTATTTTGTTGTCAAAGAGAGTGGAAGAGAAATCTGCTGCGATAGAAACTTCCCAGTTGTAGCAAATTTCCAGAATAAATGTATAACGTTTGAAATGAGGGAATAAATATGTATAATAAGGGGATAGATATGTGCATGGGCGGTATTAAACATTCTGTTTAAGACCTGTTGGAGTCTGGATGTTGAAAATTATTAGCATCTAGACTCCAACCGGTCTTAAAAATAGTGTTTAATACCGACCATGCACATATTTGATCCCATTCATAAATGCCTTTTTGGTAAGAAAAAAATCAAAACGTTTTGCTCCAAAAGTTAAAACAAGTCCAACATTATACATTTTCAAAGATTTTGATAAACAAAACACCCTTCTAGCTATACAAAGGTGAGGCCCATTGGTAAACAACTCATTTTATGGAGATTGATGTGCGCGTCCTTCCTACTGCGGGATGTGGCGCACAACGCAGATGTACTGGTGTAGTGTGAATTTAGGACTATAAACTACTGACTCACTGGTAGTATTGCGCATGCCCACATGATTTTGAATGTTCAACCAATAAAACAGTGCTGGAACCGGACTTCATAGGAGTCAACATTTCATGTGACACTGGAAAAGCGTTTAAGACCAGCCAGCCATGTCTTTTTCAACCGTTTAAAACTAGCCACGTGACGAGCTCTTGACCGATAAGAATGGGTAACTGTCCTAGGTATTAATGAATTAGGATTTGGAACCCAACTTGAAAATAAGCCATGTTTATTGTCACAGAAAGCTTGCATTGTAGGAAAGTCAATATTTCTTTTTGCTCAATCGACTATCTAGTTTTTTTTGTCTGCACTTGTTGAACATACTATTGTGTAATTTATATTTTACAGTTTTCAACTCTATATTGGCACAACCAGTCTATAGGAGTATGGAAAAAAAAACATGTTACGCTTTCTATTGTATGCAGGACTTTCATGCTTGGTACCGCAATTTTGAAGTAATATTAAAGGTACTGGTCAGTGTTGGTCAATGACATAATTGTTCCAGGATTACGAAAATCGTTTTGTCTCAAGCGTCGTTGGTGCCCAGCCTCGCTGCGGTCATAACTGGTGTTCCGCCTATGCAGAGAGAAAGTCGGGACAAGCACCATCCACGTAGGTAGTGTCGGTCGGCAACTCCGTAAGCCACATCTCCAGACACAGGACGCAGAGATTCGGATAGGTTCTCCCGGTACTCGCGCACAGAAGCCGTAAGATGTATTCACAGACTGGATAATTCTCATATGTGGTATACTGATCACAAAAGGCAGGCATCTTTTTTTGGGGGGGGGGGGGAAATGGCCAGAAGATTTGCGTTATTATTTTTTTATTACTTTGAAACAGCTCACATTTAGATTGGTATGGAAGAAAGCAAATATCTGCATCAACTCGGGTAATTGATTGCACAAAAGATGCATGACTCTGGGTGCAAATAATTTTACAGGACGAACGCTAAAACGATACTTGAACTTCACTCGAACTTCACAACCTAACAGTTCTGTTCAAAACACACATCTTCTGAAAAAAAAAGGTTGCTCGGATTTTGTTCCACATGGTGTTACTGCAAACCCTTAATAGTTTAGATACTTGAACAATAAGACTTCAACAACGAGAATTTTGATGAATATAGGCTATATCAAGTAATTGACTCTCTGCCTGTTTTAGTCTTTTTTTTTCGTTTGAGATGGGTGAGGATATTAAAAATGTTATATTAAAAATCCGTCAAAACATGAGCAAAAACAAAACAAAAGGTTTGTCTATTCCCCGGTGAAGTACTCACATCTGTGGGCGGGATATGGCCAGCACAGAAACCGCACAGCAAAGCTGATAAGAACAACAAATGAAATCGAAGTTTTAGACAGTTTTATATTCTCTTCTGTGCAGCGAATATCTTCCCCCCAGAAAAAAACAAACAAACAAAAACAAACAAACAAACACCCCAACAAAAACAAACGCACTAACAAACAGACCAAAAAAAAAGGCTTCAGGCTGCATTTTGTTGCCGACTGTGAGTGGCATAGCCAGTATTGACGTCATGTCAAGGTACAATTAAACTTAAGTAAGTTATAGAACTGACGTTGATAAAATTACAAAGAAAGAAACTGAAATAACCAGTTTCTATATCGTTGGATTAAAAAAAACACCGTATTAAACAAAAATGCTAATTATTGCTAACATCTTATTGAATGGAATTTGCAAGGTTGAGGGTACTAGTTGAGGAATGTGATTTTAAAAGAGAGACATTCCCCATATGCAACGATTTGTGGGATGGAATGACATGAAACGGAACAAGATGCAACAAAACGAAATTGACTGGAATGTAATTGAATTGGATTTGACTAATTTCATTAAAATGAAATCAATTTCAATTGAATTCAAATAGTTTTTGAAAGAGTTTAAATTGATTCAGAAACAAAATCAAACAAGGACTGGTTGATCAGTTTATTTTATTCGTAGTAGGTGTTGGAAAGCATGCTTTGTTTAGTATGCAAGCTTTGTTCTGGTAATGGACGACTCTTTCAGGAAATGGCGTTTGGCGAATACTTCACTCATCTACAAGTATGAACTTACCTGAAATGCAAACAATCAGACTGAAACAACGCATTCTGGTTGCAGATTCTCGATCACCGTTACAACGAAAGTACTATTTTTGTAATTTGCAGGTTATAGCGGTATGGAACTAGTCTGCTTTTTCTGTAATTGTATTAGGAATTACGAGTCGTTTGAAGTCGTGTCTTACTTTCCACCTCTTATATACCTCTGACTTCAACATCTGTTGAAAGGAAGAAAAAAACGCGTAGACACACTGACAGCATTTTGTCGTCCTTTTATGCACTGTCACCTATTACTGGCGTGCATGACTGATGTAGAGTCTCTCATTAGCATAACATCACTTTGTATTTTCCCACTATACTTGTAATATGAGCGTTATTTTTGTATCGTTGGTATTTGTTGTTGTTGGACTTTTTTTTTTTTACTTGAATTTTGCTGCTGCCTAGGTAATATAGACCTACACATGTAGGATGTAATCGATCTACGTGAATCGCTTTTTTGGTACTCGACATATTTTTACTCGGAAATACAATCGATAGACTCCTATGGAGTTTATGACGGAGCCTCAATTAAAGTCCTTCGCGTTGATGCAACATATGTTTGTCTAAAAATGAATGCTAAAAGTTGCGGGTCTTTGCATGGGCATTGTAAAAATCCCGCTAAGAGTTAACGAAACAATGGTTCATGCCTACACTGTACAAAATGCGAATTTAATAATTAAAACGGTTTGTTTGTTCTTTAATGAAATTATATATTAAATAAAAGACTCCTTTTTTTACCCTATTCCATTAGTGTCCCTATATCCAGAAATACAACCGATTTTATGAAAGTGTGTCAACATTACCTGGACCACTCTCACATGGACATGCTGAATCGGGGTTAAGCATTGAATAGGCATTGAAGCTGGTGACATCACAGGGTGGATTGAGAAATAGTCAGGCTTTTATGTAATATATAATTTCATCGAAGAATTTAAGTATTTGTGTTTTCTGAATGTTGCAATTTTTTGGCACACTCTGTGTATATCATTTAGTTTCATCTCAAAACTGAGTCCGATTGCCGGAAGTTTACTACACTCTTGTGCAGTAAACGGTTGAGCATCTACAAATGCAGCCATGTATGTTTCAAAGTTTCGTATAAGACGCCAATTCTTGCTCTGCAAGAACACATTGTCCATCTAATTCAATGATGATCATGCACCTGAAAGAGCGTCCAGTCTGTGAGATTCATATTTTTTTCCCTGACATGATGCCTCTTCCCAGGCGTCGTCTAAAACCCATGAGACTCTTAGCAGTAATTGATGGCAATTTACATTTCTGATCATATAATAATTCAGAAAAATTTAACACGTACAGTGTATCCACGAACCACTGATTCCTTAGTTCACAGCGGAATTTTACTACGCCCTGGCAAAGAGCTGAAAAGTATAAAACGTTTATTTTTAGACAGGCATATGTTCAATAAACTCTAAGGACGTTAGAGGCTCCGTCTAGCTCCATGTTAAAAAAACTATGTCGATAGTGATACTGCTTTTGGGTAGCAACATATTCTGATCCAGAAATGCATTTCACATACAGGGTGTATAAAAAAAAAGGAAACCCAGATGTAAATGTAAAATATACAAAATCTAATAAAATTTTGAAATAAGTTACAGATCATGTGAAATGCCAATGGGCGATCCTTTTTCCAATGACACGTTGATTGTGTTTGTGCCCACGGATGGCTGAGCCGAGCCGAGCCGAGCTGAACCGAGCCAAGCCGAGCCGAGCCAACAATAAAAAAAAAAAATATTGACACAAAAAACAAGAAATGATCATACAACAAAAAGTGCAGTTTATTTAACAAGTCCCCCTTTTAACCAGTAGCCTTTTACGCCGAGTGCCCTTTTTGGAATTCGGCGCGACCGTTGGCAATGGCAACGATTTTTAGCACATACTTGGATCATTATAAAGGAAATAAACTATGAAAGTTGTATGCAGATACGGTCTTCCAAAACTAATTTTCAAAGATTTCGCCCTCCAACGCGACGTAAACATGTCGGTGTGCATGAAGTTTCATTCAAAATATAGTTTGCGTAACCTTTAGAAATCGCCCTTCGCAACCACAGGGCTGATAATATGGAAGACATAATCTAACTGTTGAAGCGCATTTCTGGTGCTGCACATGGCTACCCGAAAATACAATCGACTACCTTCAATTTGGAGATTGACGGAGCCTCTAAAGTCCTTGGAGTTAATGTACCACATGCCTGTCATCTAAAAATACACGTTTTATGGCTGTTTTGTCTTTGCACAGACGTAATAAAATTCTGCTC